TTTATATTGATCGTTGGCTCTTGAAAGCCAACTCATATCCATAATATCGGCTTGCCATTGCTCATCGACTTTATCAACCAGAATAGGTAATCTTGGGAATGGTTTTTTTCTTTCACGGAATAAACTATATGTTTCTTGGTTTTTTAACCATGATTCAACATCATTGAATTTTAAATTGGAAATTTTAATTCTCGCAGTATCATATAATTTTTTAATACCACCAAATGATCCAGATGATTCAGGATCATAATATATTTTTTCTAATTCTTGTTCGATACTAGATCCTCCCATTTTAAGTCATTAATAAATTCAATTGCTTTTTCGTTCTTAATTAGTTTAACTGCACCTGGATACTTTAATCTAATCATCGTTAATACTCTTTTTGAACCATTTGGGAATTTAGTTCTTGCACCAACGGTTCGTAAGTAAGTAATGATTTCATCTATATTACTCGCATTTGACGGTATCCCAGTTTCATTTGTGATTTTCCCTTTCTCGGTAACTAAACCAGGGATCCCTCTAATTAATGTTGTTAATGCATCTTTTGCATCCATTCTTGAGTTTGAAGGATATGGAGAAACTCTTACAGGTTCTGGTGGTAAACGATATGGACTTGATGTTTCCATTGGTAATGTATCATCTTCCGATTTAGTATCAATTAAAGTCCGATCATTTGTATGTGAAACTGCACTTTCAAATTCTGATGGCTCTGATTGTTGATCTTCATTATAAAATTCAGTTCCACGGTAATTTTGATGTTCGAGATTATGTTCTTTTGTTCTTGCCAACATATTATTAATGAATTTAACTTTAACATCAGTTGGTAAATTTTTATTCAACATACGTCTAGTTACACTGGGTCTCAAAACATTACGTTTATATTGATCTTCAGAAACTAAGTACATTCGAGTTACTGTATTCATTATTTCGACAATTTATTTGCAGCGATTGTTGCTAATAGTGTCAATGCTGGTTTAATTAATAATGGTAAGAATCCACCTTTCTGATTAATCAGATTTTGTCTCTGTTTCAATGTAGATTTACCGGTGAGAAGACGTAAATCTTTCTTATACCGTTTGAGTTGGGTTTTATGTTTAGGTTTTAAAGGTATTACACCTTTCAAGATTTGTTTAGCAATATCGGTAATTACTGGGTAAATAGATTTGGGTGAACTGGAAATGATTTTTCTTCTTTGAATATGTGATTTTGTCTTTGCTAGCTGTCGCAAGCAAGAATAACACTTGAGCGCACGTTTAACCGTCATTTTTAATTAATTGTAAGAATCAAACTTCTTATACTAAATATGCTGTTATAAATGATTCTTCATCAAGTACATTTGTTAGAAATCTAGTTTCTATTGGTGTATCAGGTTTTAAATCGAAAAATAAATATGAATATGGTTTTCTTGTTGCATCTTCATAAATATCTTGTATTTTTTTAACTTTACCAGGTAAAATCTGCCTTCCGATATTAGTTATCATTGATTGATCACGAGGATTTTTAAAATAAACTACATATTGTGAATTTAATGATATATTTCTTGATTCTTTTCCACGAGTAAAAAAGTTTTGTACTAATAAAATAACAGATAAATTACGATGATGAGATCCTTTAGTAAATAATTCACTTATCACTTTTGAATTTGTTGATTCAAACATTAAATCATCAATGATAATCCATTCTGGTTTTATACCATCAAATTTTTGTATTAAATTTTCAGGTAAGCCTTGAATAAAATTAACATTGGGCATTGAATTGAATATTTCCTGATATTCTCCGTAAAAGTAAGTTATCTTTTCTGGTGGAGGGTAACAATATTTATTAACATTTGATACTAATTGCTTAATCCAATAAGTTTTACCCGAACCTGTTGGACCAGCAATCATCATTGTAAATGGATGACGTAAATAAACAGAGAAGGTTTGCATTTTAAAGATTTAAATTGTTTATTGTTTTCTATTCTTAAGTAGATGCTGGAAAAATCTGAAAAAACGTTTTTTACGAATATTTCTGATGAAAATGATTAGCGTAAATTTTTTGAAAAAAGAAATTTTACAAAAAATGATTAACATGAATTTTGAAAAAAAAATGAATATGAATTTTTGAAAAAAATGATTAATAGAAAATTTTGAAAAATGGTTAACATAAATGTTTGAAAATGAAAAAATGAAAATGAAGATATTTAATTTTGTTGAATGATGAATTTAATTATCAACAACATCGATTCCATGTTCTTTAACATAATCCATATGTTTCTTCATATACTGAACAATATTTAGTGAACATCTTGTGTTTGTGTTAGAATGAGAATGGAGATAACAAGGTTGTCTTAGTTGGTCAATGAGTTTGTATGAAGCACCATACGTTCCGTTGATATTAATTAGAGGGATATTGAATTTATTCAATACAATTTCTGCTTCAACTGATCGAACGGCTACAATTAATTTTGATTTGTTTCTGCAAGCTCTGTAAAAAGTAACACATAAAGCTTCCAATTCATCATAACTTAAACCATTAGTGAATCCATTATATTTTAATCCGTGATGGTACTTCTCGAGGTATTGTATCTGTTTTTCCTCTTTAGGTGTTGGTTTACATTCACAAAATTTACCGACTTTCACATGAATTAAATGATCATCACCGTACATTGCAACCTCTTGTGGATGATAAGTACCATTAACATAGATACCTTGAGTATCGAAATAAGCACAAATATATTCCATGTTGACTGTTCAAAGTTTGAATGACAAATGAACTTGTGTTCACTTGATCATCCCTATTTATACTGTAGTTTGACGAGTGAGCAGAAAAGTTTCGGATCGGACTGAGCGAATCGAGTGAGTGCAGCGACATCTAGTGAAGTGTTGAGTAAATCATCAGCAGTAACTAATCCTAGGTTGAATAGATAACACTTTTCAGGCTCGACTTTATTACCTCTTATTGCTGTGAATTTATGTTCTAATAAATTCTCTTCAGTTGTTAATAAAGATAATATGTATAAGTCAATTAGCTGTTTGATAGGTAGATCCTTGGATAACAAAAATAGAGCAGCAGGAACAAATGGTGTAACTTCTCTCCAAAAGTCCATTGGAGTTAGAACATATGAATCTTTTTTCATTATTTTTAATGTCTCACTCCCGATTCTTTTGATTTGCACGTCATAGAAGAATGCTTGTTCATTACGTAAGTCATTGTTGTTGTAGAAATTAAATACAAATTTAAATTCTGATGGTGTTAACGATATTCCAAATTTAGTTGGTGAACTATTATAACTATAACGTATATCCAGTCGATTACATTTTTCACTTCGAGAAATTTTAAAGATGATTGGACCATTAAAAATTCTATGTGTTCGCCAGATTACACAACCCATTTTGATGTTTACTCTTCAAAGTTCAAATGACAAATGAACTTTCATTCACTTGATCATCTCTATTTATAGTGATTTGATTCTGTCCATGAACTGCGCAATCGCAGTTTCAATTTGTTCGACACTTTTCGCTCCAACAATTACAATTGATCCAGTATGGAAGTACATGATCGTTAGTCCATTGAGTTTTGTATATATTGGAGGGAATAATTCAGGTTCGTAACTTGTATCTTTTTTACAATATAAGTGTTTCAGTTTTTCAGTATTGAATCTAACTGAATTATAACTTGATGCTGTTATATTGGATATTCTAATGAATGTTATTTCACGATCAGGGAACGTTTCCATTAATGTCAAAATTGTCATAGGTAGACTTTTGAATCCTGTGGCTGTAATTTTTCCTGATGCAAAAACCAACAGCACACCATTATCAGTTCGTATAACTTGAGCATTGAATTTTTTCTTTCGATTTGTATTATCGACTTTGATATTTATTGGTCCGATTGACCATATTGAAACTATATTATCGATCCGATAATCAGGCCAGATTGATTTGGTCATATTTAATATTATCAAAAAATATTGCACGGAATATTAGTAGTAAAATGACTGTTATAATTATGAAAATGATAATTCGTAAAATCATGGTATGTTTCATCGTATCGAATGAGCTGACTACCGTCAGCTCATCCTCTTTTATACACATTTTATGAAATTTAAATTTCCCGCCGAAAAGTTGATCTGAAATATGGTCACTGAATGTTGGTATTGTTCTCTGAATTGGTTAGAAAACTTTGATCTGGAGTGTGAATCTGTTCCAGAGTTTCATGTGCTGGAGTGTGAGTTTTGTGCTGGAGTGTAAGTATGTGCTGGAGTTTCATGTGCTGGAGTGTGAGTTTTGTGCTGGAGTGTAAGTATGTGCTGGAAGAGGCCTTTACTTAACTACTGTTCTAAATTATAATCAGTCCAAGATTTATCTCAACTGCAATTGGGTGAATTCTGGTCAATATCAACTATCGATTCTTATGCTAAGACGTCGAGGTCCATTTGAAACAGGAGACATTGACAACTTGATCACTTATAGTGATCGATTTCGAAAGGCCATACGGTATTTGGCATAAGACTCAGTTCGTTTTCACGAATATTTCATTGTCTTAATTACTCCAGATTCGTAAATGAATTGGCACATACTAATCGTTCAATTGATGTTGATCAAATTCACTCTTCAATCAGAATCTTAATTTAACATCATTCCATCAGAGAAATTAGGCCAACGGGTCACACAGTAAATCCATGTTTCAGTCCAACTAATATTCACGTAGCCAACACTCCTGATGAATCGACATTTGATTTGGACTTCGATCTATTTTTAGTCAATTCAACATTTTGGTAGCTGTGAAGGCCTAAAATTGTCGATACCGATTGAATCGTGAAAAAATAGTTCGGAGAAATTATACAAAACACCAACAGTGCAGAACGTTTACACTTTTGTTCTAAGCATTCAATTGTAATCAAGAAGTTATGTACATTGGGATATGAGGATGAAAATAAATCTCGATTATTATCCAGAATATAATCCTAATTGTGTTTTGACAATAAGAGTAAACCACAGTTGAAATACCCAATGGATACAATGAACAGTTAATTGTTTGTATTAATATTTTAATCTCTCGGACAAAATGTTTCATTTAATTTCTTCAACAAGATTTTCTTCGTTTTGTATAATTCTCTCATCGATAGTTGGTGTTAATACTAATCTTATAATCCACGAATCAAATGTTTGGATTCCGATATTCAACAACAATTTACGAACCCTTATTTCTTTTTCACTGATGACAAATTTTACCCAACTAATTATTCAAGTCGAGTTCTCAACACAAACCCTAGTACAGTTGGTGAAGCAAATAGCACGACTCGTTTTGTTCCAGCTTATTCTCATAAACCCAGTAACTTCATATTGCAAAGCAAGAGCAGCTACAACTCCGTTATTAATTACGTGCATTATAATTTTACAGAAAACGGTTTTGAAGTTATAGCCGGGCCTTTTTCTCGAGGAAACATCAGGACCCATCGATGGCTTTCCATCAGTGATTCAATTTATGGAATCGGAATGATATTAGAATTCAATATGACGAATTCTCAAGTAGATTTATTTCTATTTGTTCGATCTTATGCTGATTACAATACTTTTGTATCAACTGATCAACTTTCTCCCGTCGAATCCACCGTTCGCTCGTTGAAAATTCTTCAAGTCTTCAAGTTTCGAGAAAAGATCTACTCGTTCGGCCTTCTGACGATTCATCTCCTAAGGCCAGTCTACTTCATCTCTCAGATATCAAACTTTTCAATCATCAGGGAACGTGCCATTTTAAGTAGATATATAATAACTGAACTTCATTCTATTACATTATATGAACGTTATGGTTCAGTTGACAAAGTTCGATTTGTTGATTCTTTTTCTATCATGAGCAATGGATCTTCTTTCTCTTTAATTGCGTTCTCTTATAATCGAAATGAAACAGATCATATTGCAGTGTTTCCATTTAATCCGATGCTGCATGACTTTGAAGGGCCAACTAATCGTTGTCAAACCGTGAGAACTTTATGGAAGGCTGATATTTTCAACCAATCTGGCCCAGAGTGTAACTCTTTTAGTTATCAGGGCGTGCTTTCGTTATCACGAATATTCTCAATACGTAAAGAATTTACAGGGTATCATCTTACAGATATTCTAACGGAAAACTGGACACGAATAGTTGATTTTGTTCCATTGGCTCTTGATGCGACTCCTGGTTATGTTTTTCTTGTTCTTTCCTCTAACAGATATTTTACCAGATATCGATATTCAATTCACTTTGTCAATGAAAATTATTCTGTCTCGACCCACCCGATCGAAAGGACATTCACTCATCCTAATATTGTTGACGCAAATGAAACAGTATCACAAATTTATTACTACGGTTTTACTCATCCACGAGCCATAATTACACTCAATCAGTATTCTTACACTGAATCAATTATTTTGTGTCCATTCTTGAACAATTCATGTATTGATTGTTTTACAACCAAAGTTTATAATCCAAATGGTAATTTTCTTCGATATTGTCAATGGAGACGAGGAAATTCATTAACATCGGGCGAATGTTCAATCGGTGGTTCAAATTCTTCTGATTCAAGGTAATAATTTGAAGAGTTACTCTTTTATCCTATTTAATTCTAATCCATCATCTTTTTTACAGAGAAACTACACTCACGAACCAAACAGTAAATCCATGTTTCCGTCCAACTAATATCCAAGTAGACTACACTTCGGATGAACCGACATTTGATTTGAACTTCGATCTCCTTGGTTTCCATTCAAGATATGCAGATATTTTTCCCTTGAACTTCACTTTAGTCGACATTACAACACTTTCATTCATAGAAAATTGTACTGTTGTGAGTTATAATCAGTCCAAGATTTATCTCAACTGCAACTGGGTGAATTCTGGTCAATATCAACTATCGATTCTTATGCTTAGACGACGAGGTCCATTTGAAACAGAAGACATTGACAACTCGGTTACTTATAGTGATTCTTTCACCATCGGTTCACCGAAACCTCCTAAATCTTCATTTTTTTATATTCTGTTTATTATACTACGAGTTTGCATCTTTATTATCTCTGTGATTGTGATCGTTGTTTTTCATTATGCATTAGTTTTTTCGCTGTATTTACAAAACAAAAACCATCGCAAAAGACAGAAAATTGTGTCACTTGCAACGAGATCAAAAAGCTAAAAGGTCTGTTGTTAATCATAAATTCAAAAATCCGAACCAAAAAATCAATCTAAAAAGCAGAATGGTTGTCTCAAGTTATAAAATCGAAATCGACGATCCATTATTTCAATAGAGCCTTTTTGGTACCTCTGGACATTATCACTCGCTATGAGGTCGTTAGTTTATTATATTTATAAATAAAAAAGTAATTTTCACTCATCGAGAAGAATATAAGTTTAACGAGGAAAATTCTTTGATTATGACTAACAATCAATTCGTTTATCGAATTCACCCTTCAAGTAGAGCTATACAAACTTCTCACGACTTTTATACTTTCGATAGAATCTCTGAGTAGATTTCCGGAAGTGGTTAATAGTCAAGAGATTTCGAAGAAATCAAAAGAATTTCAGGTCAGGAAAAGGTCATTTCTAAAAAGTTTAAACCCGAAGTAACCAAAAACTATTAATAAAAATCACTTCCGTATCATTTTGTAAAAAGATCTCAAGTTTTGAGTTTAGATATCCAAATGAAATGATAAAAGTCAATTGTTTGTATTTTCGTCTCTCGGACAAAATGTTTCATTTATTTTCATTGACAAGTTTTTCTTCAATTTTTATATTTCTCTCATCGATAGTTGGTGTTAATTGTCATCTTCTTATCCACGAATCAAATGTTTGGGTTCCAATTTCCAACCACAGTTTATGAGCTCCTTATTTCTTTTTCATTCAATTTCTTTAGAAAGTTATTCATCAATTAAGCCTTTGTGTAAACTTTTATCGTTGGGTTAATGATTGGAAACTTTTACTGTTTGCTGATCTTTTTATAATGGGTGGAATCTTTCATATATTTCTTATTACCACGTTGCATTGTCGCAAAATGAAAACTTGCAAATGATTTTTAAATTTCGAAGAGAATCTTCACCAATAAATGTTGATGGAACAACAGTAAATTAAATTTTAATAAATGATTTGAGATCGAGGGTCTATCGAAGGCATACAAGCTGTGGGTAGTTTTCAGACTCCTGATCGAAGAGTGAAATGGATCAACATAAATAAAATCAAAAAGTATTGACCAATTCTGGAGTAATTTAAGATAATTTATGCATGTGTTTCTTTCGAGTTTTTGTATTTATAATCCAAAACGAATCTTCGAAATTTTAGACTTTGTTTCAAAGGAATCATTTCTCATTATTTCGTTATGTTTTGATGTAACGGAGGTTTTAGTTTTAAAATACAACGAAAAAAATAGTAAATAATGAAATACAATGAGACCAATTACTGAGATAGTAAAGGAGAAAACTCGTAATATTATCAACAGGATATAAAGAGATGAAGATCCATGAGAAGATGGAGGTCTCGGTGAACCGATGGTGAAAGGATCACTATAAGTGATCAAGTTGTCAATGTCTTCTGTTTCAAATGGACCTCGTTGTCTAAGCATAAGAATCGATAATTGATATTGACCAGAATTCACCCAGTTGCAGTTGAGATAAATCTTGGACTGATTATAACTTAGAACAGTACAATTTTCTATATATGAAAATGTCATAATGTCGACTAAAGTGAAGGTCAAGGGAAAAATATCTGCATATCTTGAATGGAAACCAAGGAGATCGAAGCTCAAATTAAATGTCGGTTCATCAGGAGTGTAGTCTGCTTGGATATTAGTTGGACTGAAACATGGATTTACTGTTTGGTTCGTGAGTGTAGTTTCTCTGTAAAAAAGATGATGGATTAGAATTAAATAGGATAATAGCGTAACTCTTCAAATTATTACCTTGAATCAGAAGAATTTGAACCACCGATTGAACATTCACCCAATGTTAATGAATTTCCTCGTCTCCATTGACAATATCGAAGAAAATTACCATTTGGATTATAAACTTTGGTTGTAAAACAATCAATACATGAATTGTTCAAAAATGGACACAAAATAATTGATTCAGAGTAAGAATACTGATTGAGTGTAATTATGGCTCGTGGATGAGTAAAACCGTAGTAATAAATTTGTGATACTGTTTCATTTGCGTCAACAATATTAGGATGAGTGAAAGTAGCTTCGTTCGGGTGGGTCGAGACAGAATAATTTTCATCGACAAAGTGAATTGAATATCGATATCTGGTAAAATTACTGTTCGAGGAAAGAACAAGAAAAACATAACCAGGAGTCGCATCAAGAGCCAATGGAACAAAATCAACTATTCGTGTCCAGTGTTCCGTTAGAATATCTGTAAGATAATACCCTGTAAACTCTTTACGTATTGACAATGCTTCAAAATACCCATCTTGATAAAGGTTACACTCTGGACCAGATTGGTTGAATAAATCAACTTTCCAAAAAGTGTCCGTAGTTTGACAGCGGTCAGTTGGCCTTTCAAAGTCATGCAGCATCGGATTAAATGGAAACACTGCAATATGATCTGTTTCATTGCGATTATAAGAGACTGCAATTAAAGAGAATGAAGATCCATTGCTCATGATAGAAAAAGAATCAACAAATCGAACTTTGTCAACCGAACCATAACGATCATGAAATGAAAGCGAATGAAGGTCAGCGTAGAAACACCCACGTAGGCCGATACCCTCAGTGTTGATTATAAAGTTTGAAAGCTGAGAGATGAAGTAAACTGGCCTTAGGAGGTCAATTGTAAGAAGGCCGAACGAGTAAATCTTTTCCCGAAACTTGAATACCTGAAGAATTTTAAACGATCGAACTGTGGATTCATAGTTATGATAATAATAGCCACGAAAAGTAGCGGTGTAATCGATATAAGATAGATCGGTCGAGAAGTCGTTATATTGGATCCTAATCTCATTGCAATTTCATAATTTGAACCATTAATGGAAAGCCAACGATGCGTATCGACTGTTCGAATAGAAAAAGGTCCGGCTATTAGTTGAAAACCAATTTCTGTATAGTTATAATGCGCGAAAATGACATGGGTGCCCTTCCTGTGCAATAGGTAGTAATTGGGTCTACGAGAATAAGCTGGAACAAAACGAGTCACGCTTCTTTCTTCACCCACTGCGCTAGGGTCCGAGTTGAGAACTCGACTTGAATAATTAGTTGGGTAAAAATAGTTTTCAGTGTAAAAGAAATAAGGAGTTAGTAAACTGTTGTTAAAAATTGGAATCCAAACATTTGATTCGTGGATTATAAGATTAGTATTAACACCAACTATCGATGAGAGTAATATACAAACTGCGAATAAACTTGACAATGAAATCAAATGAAACATTCTGTTCTACTGTAGAGACGAAAAACAGACAATTGGATTTTTTTTCTAATTATGGAAACACAATTAGGATTATATTCTTTGGATAATAATGGATTAGAAGATGACAATTAACATCAACTATCGATGAGAGAATTATACAAAACGAAGAAAATCTTGTTGAAGAAATTAAATGAAACATTTGTCCGAGAGATTAGAATATTAATCTGGTGTGAATTTTTATCATGATAATATTTCAGGTAAAACGCATTAGTATGCATTTAGGAAAACTTTATTTTTACCCATAGAGCTCTATGGCAAAATCCAACTTTGAAGCCCTGTATCTCAGGAACTAGATCTTTCCTCATATACACACTCGCACATAATATAGAGTTTGACCTGAGCTATATGTAAAAGAAATTTCAGGTCTCTAAACGTGCGGACCTAATCCGAAGTCAAGCCTTTTTAGGTAAATCATCAGGAATTAAACTTGAGTCAACATTATAATTTAAGCCCGGAATATCATTGGGAGAAACAATTACACGATCAAAATTAACTAAATTGAGTTTATTCTTGATGACATTTTTGATTTTTAATGTTTTTATTAAGAAAATTATTTGTTTGTTAAATTATTTTAGAGTAAAATGTGGTCTAATTTGCGCCTTAATTGCCTAATAAAGTGTCACCTATTGTGTGATTTTTAATTGATTATTTGATTAAGTTTAAATTTAATTAATTTTCTAGAAAAGCCACCAGTCTCAAGCCGAGCAGAAAATCAGCTTAAAGAGAAACTCTTGAGCCAACGGACATATCTTATTCCTTACCTAAATTTCTCATAGAGAAAATCGGGATTTGGCCTTTAAATACAGACCACAGTCACATTTGAGCTTCGAAAATTCTGAAAAAATTCATCATTTATATTTGACTGATGGCGCTTTTAATGACGTTCGAAACATTATTCTAGGACCTAACATTCTTGAGGTGCTCACTCATTTTCGGTCACCCGATATGTTAGAAGAGAGAGAAGAAAATAATTGGTTAATTGTAGTCATGAAAACCCATCTAAAATTTATTCATCTAAATTGTTTATAATTAAGATTGAATAATTTTCTTTTGATTTCTCTCGGTAAATTTGGCAATAAATGACATAGATAGTTAACATAAATAAAACAATTAATCATATTAAACATGATAATTATAGTTAATTGTTTAGCTCAACAAAATAAAAACATCTTATTCTTTGACAAATATAATTAAACGGGGAGAAAATGGCATAGAGATTAAAGAAAGGAAGAAGATGAAAGTGTTGACAGTTTTTCTTGTCTTCTTGAGATGGATGAAGATGATAGAAACAATGAGAGAGAGAAAGAGAAAGAGAGAGAGAGAGATGGTGATGATGAGAAACAAGTGATCGACATGAGAATACGAATCATGTTCAGCTCCATGGAAAAGGAAAACGTCAAGTATAACTGGAATTTTGGTTTTCTCGATTATCGGTTTGTACGAAAATGCACTTTCGATGGTTCAGTTCAACTTTTCTTAAATTGTTGAATCAAATCGAGCAATGGAAACTTTGAGTGTGAATCCTAATCAATTATAACAATCAATTTGGATTGAGATTCTTTTAAAAGATGTTGACAATTGAGTTTAGTTTTGACTTTTGATATCTCGTAATTGTTTCCTCCAATGGAAACGTAAGTCTGTTAATCTCGATCAAAATTTGTCGTTAATTAACTCCAAATCATCTTCCACCACAACCAGAAATCAATCATTAATCATCATTAATCCAAATTTTGTTAAATTTTGCACTCGAATGTTGATTTTCTGCTTGTGATGAAGAGATTTGATACCTTTTTCATTTCTGATTGGTATAAACACTTTCGTTAATTGTTAACACACAATCCAAAAACAAAACACGTTAAACTTAAATAATAATCAAAAATAATAATAGTAAATATATGATATACAATTTAAAGTTAATTCTCCCCGTGGTGTTTGCTCTTGGTTTTGTAATAATAATAAAAACCAAATCAACAAATCAAAAGACTAGAAAATTTTGCAATTTCACTCGAAAACGTTTCTCGGCGATAAATTGAAAGGTAAAATTGGCGCAGTTGCTTCGAGTTGTATTGCAGTTACCAAACAATCAGCTGCTCGTTTGTGTTCACCAAGTTCATTTAATACGCAGCCCATATGAGACCAAGTTTCGTGAAGAGTGGCATCCACATTAAGGGAATCTCGAAGATACTTGTCGGCGGAAAGATGATTACCAAGTAGATAATACGAATGTCCAAGTTGTTGTAAGGCTCTGGCATGTCGAGGATTAATGGAAATGGCATTTTGAAAGTAACTTTTGGCCTCAGCGTATCTTTGACGGGCTTTTGCAAGGATTCCCTTAACATACATTAATTGATGAGACAATGGACCGAAAACAACATTGGCAACTTCGGCTACACAAGCTTCAGCCTCCGAAATCTATGATGAGAAAACAAAGAGAAAAGTTAATTAATTAATAAGTATGAAAGAAAATTCAATTTTAATACAATAGAAAGAGAGAAAAACTTACCAATCCTAATTTAATGTACAGTTCAGCAATTAAAATCCATAAATGTAATTGAAGATTCCAAAGTTGCTTCTGTCCTAATGAACCATCTTCAAGTCCAGGGCCAATTGTTATTGCACCTTCACCAAGAATTGGGCAACTGTCCAACGATACAATTTCACTGAGAGTTTGCTCCATTTTCAATGAAAGAGTATCGTAATTAGTACCGGTAAGTGTCACATTATTGCCGCTATAAAGCACCTTATCCTTATCCTCGTTGGGTAAATTTTTACAACATCTTAGCATATGTTTGGCAGTTTGTAAGGCTAATTCATAACCATTATCGGAAACAACTTGCTCCAAATGAGCCTGAAAATAAAAACAATCAAAGAAAATGAGTTAATGAAAAAGTTTTCCCATCATGATTAACAAATTAACAGAATCAGTTTTTGATTCTCTATTGCTTTGGTTTACCTTTACATAGAGTAAAACTAATTGATCTGGATACTCTTCCAATGATGCTTCACATAATGAAAGGGCTTCTTGATATTTTTTCAATGCAGATAAACAAAGTATCATTAATTGTATACTTGGAAGATGGTATGGATTTAATACTAAAGCTAACTGAGCATGATGCATTGAATCATTGATGACCCTTTGATGGGCCATATGAAGACCCAAATGGTAATAGGCAAGGTGATCTTCAACTGGACCTTTGGCCAAAGCTTGAAAATATTTTATCGATTCATGAAGATGTAACTTTTTTAACTTTTTAACTGTTTCAGTTTCTTCCTCGTAAAGTATTGCATTAACAATTCCAAGGGTTAAATTAATTCGAGAGGCAAGAATACCCTCGGTGTCTCGGTTTAAGGCTTCCAAGGCAAATTCCAATGCCTTCTCGGGATTATTTAATTCCAAAATATATACTTTGGCAGCTAATATACAGGGTACTGGATCTTTTGAGTCAATTCGAGCCACTTCTTTGAAAATCAATATCGCTCGAAGGGGAAATTTTCTCGTCTCCATGACACTCAGACCAAATTGAAGCCAAATATGTTTTATCTCAAAGGAAAATTTCATCGCTTTTTCAAACATATCAAGTATATAATATTTACAGGGAGTTAAGGCGATCACCAGGAGATCATGGATGGCGATTACATTTTCTAATGATTGTCGTCGGGTCTCATTAAATTCACTACCACGGTCAAGAACAACATTTCTCGCCGCCAGCATTTCACTGATCAATAATAAAAGGATAACCTCTTCTTCACGTTCTCTTGGATTAAATAAAGATTGACCAAAATATCTATGAGGTTTCCAGTGTCCACTAAGGGTTGTGATACTTGTATCAAATGGAGTCCAACATGATCGGGATACACTACGAATAATTAATTCAGCTAATTTACGGGAGACAACTTGTCGAGTATTTAAAGTTGATTGGGTTTCACAAACGTTCATTATACTTCGATATTGATTAAATGCTTTGGTTATTTGATCATTTTGAATAAACAATATTGGTGCTCGTTGAATACCAGTTTCCAGAATTGGTCCAACCGATACAATCGCATAGGGTCCAAGGTGTTTCTCCATATTTTGCAAATATCGCAACGTTAGATCAGAAGCTTTGGTTAAACAGGTAATCGCTTTCTCTAAACCTTTATCAATACTCTTTTCTTTTTCTAAATAGGAAAGAATAAAAATTTAAAATAGAACATTAATAGAAAAAACTTAGAAAATGAGATAATAAATTCACTGGAATAACAGTAATAACAAGAGTAAAAGCGAAGTACATAATGATGAAGAGGAGAAAAAAAGAAATATTAACAAAAAGATATTGTGTATACATCTAAATGGATGAATAAATTGAGGTAGAATAGAAAAACTAAATTATATTAAATGAAGATGAAAATGATGATAAGGTAAATGGAGATCAGGTAAAAAAAGGGATGAAGAAGATACGGAAGAGAGAGAGAGAGAGAGAGAGAGAGAGAGAGAGAGATGGGAATATTAATAATCCATTAGATGTAGTATTTGAGTTAGTTTCTCATCTTCAGTTATTCATTCAATGAATGGGGATGATGATAGTTCCTAGGTTGATTAGATGAACCAAGGAGAATGGGAGTAAAGGGAGTAAAAAAAGAGAAGAGGATGGAGAGAGTGAGTGAAAAGGTGGAGGTGGAAAAGGAAGAGCAGTGGAGAGAGAGATAGAGAGAGAGAGAGAAAGATCTAGGTAACAACACACACACAAGGGAGAGAAAGTTAATCAGACTCAAACATGATTACATTACCTAAACACATCCCTTTGATGGCGAAAGATTCAGCCACCAATTTCATTATTCGATGGGGTAAAGGTTTCTCACCGCCGATTATTGAGCTAATTCCGGATGCTTCGATTACTTTTAAAGCTAATGGCTGTTCACCGGACATAAAATGTAATTTAGCCAATAATAGGTTAGCATCAACTTGAAGAGCTGAACAATTTGAGGCATTAAGGCAAGATTTTAGGTGAGCTCGAGATTCTTTTAGTAAATTTTGACCTCTAATAAGATCACCACCTTCAAGGTAAAGCTCTAATTTAGCTTCACCTAAAAGAAATTCAATTAAACCATTTCGACCTCCATCTGATCCAATTGATTGAGCCAATTCAAGAATTTTTCGCCATTCACTTTCTTCCCGATACTTTTCGATATCACTCTCAGTCCTTGTTTTACCTTTGATTGTTGATGCCATGTTGTTGTTGTTGTTGATGTTGATGTTGTAAAAAGGATGATGGTAAATTATATCAATACAATTGTAGATGTATTATTATTATTATTATGTAATCAATGAGTCAATGTTTGAGTGAGTTTGTGTGTTGAGTGTTTATGTGAGTGAGCAACCAAAAGCAAAGGAAACAAAAAGAAAAAGAAAAGAAAAAAGGTTCATCAGTGAGTATATTTCATGAAGGGAATAAAATTGTTAAAATAAAAGGAAAAAAGGAAATAAATAATAATATATAATCAATTATCAAGGAATAATAATAAATAAAAGACAATTGGAAAAAAATATCAACAACAGAAAAGCAAAAAAAAAGGTAAACAATAATTTCCCCCGAATTTTTGACTGCCATCTATTGGCTTCGAAAGCTACTAATTGTTAATTGTTTTTCTTGATTGTTGATGTTTAATTAACTTGTGAACATTAGTGATTGTGGTTACATCTTAATTGAGATGTTGTTTTGTTTTCTACAATTATTGTTACTATTTTGTTACAGTTTCTTGTTGTGACACAAATTTGATTAGTTTGTCAATCTATTTTGATGGAAAGTTAATTAACTGCTATTTTCAGTTAATCATTTCAACAATTAACAAGATTTTTTTCTCGATACACTTTTAGTTCAGTTTGTTAATTGTCACTTGTTTCTTATTGATTTGAAATACATTTTAATCTCGCTAATTGTGTCATCCTCTCTACTCTTCAATGGTAATTGTTTACAATCAATTTCTTTGTGTTAATTGTTGTTGTTAATATTAATTTTGATCGATAATTATTTGCTCATTTTGGTTTAAATCTATTTTTAGATTGGTTAATTAACTAATTTTATGAGAGATTTATTTACACACTAGAAAATAAATCTAACAATCAATTTAAGTAAGTTAATTATTCTGAAAACCATATGGATTTTCATATAGAGTAATAATTAGGCAATCTGATGATTAAACAATTAATCATCTAGTAAATTAAATTGTAAACCAGTTAATTGATTGTTTGCTTAAACTATCAAATGTGATTTTGTTTACAATTTATTATTACATAGAGTGAGTTGGTTAAATTGTGTGGATATCAACAATTAAGGTTATAAATTGAAAGTCAAACTGTTCAGAGTTAACAATCAGGTGATTATAAGTTAATTACCTTTGTAACAATTAACTTGATTGAAATGAAAGAGAGTACAATTAAACATGGAAAAGGGAAAATTAAATTAACTCACCAGATTTACCCATTTTTTTGCTTCCTTTCTCAGAATTTAAATTAATTATAAATAGGTAACTAATTAGTCAACTTAAATCAAATGTCCATAGTTAAATAACAACCAGATTGTAACAATTAACAATCAATTTGGGGAAATAATTAAACACAAAGTAAAAACAAAACTGTAAACATAAACCATAGTTTCCAATTTTTGTCATAGGAAAAATAGTAATTAATGATAATCACAACTGGGAAAATTAAGAGAGTAACAATGAGCATATAATCACAATTAAACTGATTAATCTAATCAACCTTAGAGAAATTAATGATTTCCTAGCAATTAATCTGCTTCTTTCAATCATCTCTATGTAAAAGATAAGAGAGTGAGAGAGGAAACTTGGAGATTGATAGGAAATGATGATGATGATGGAGAAACTTAATCAAATAGAGGAGAAATGATTAAATTGATAATCAGTAAATTAGATAATCAATTTTGATAATTTAAAGTAATTACAATTGATCAATTCTTACCAAATAAAATGATCACCAATGGTAAAGGTGTTTGACTTCAAGTGATGTATCACATCCTTGGAAATTAATTGTCAACAATTAATGGGACACTCATATGGAGAGAGAGAAAGAAAGAGAGTTGATTACACAAGAGAAATTAAATAATGTTATTGATTGTGTAATCACAATTAATTGTATATTTATAAAGAAGAATGAAACAAATTGTACAAAAGTCACTTATTAAGAGTAATTTAAAATTGTGATTAACAATTTTCGTTGAATCAAAGTTGTAATATCATGAAGGAAGTTACTAAATTGATTGTTTTTAATTGTTACATTTCCACCGGAACCTTGATTGTTCATCACAATTAACACTTACAAAGTAACATTATAACAGTGATCAAGCAAATTTTACTCGTTTCATTTCAAATGTATAATCATTTGATCACAATCAAAGTGATTTAACTTGAAACGGGAAAAAGGTTAATCTAAATTTGGTTGTTGATTAAGTTTTTCTTGGTTACAATGAATTAAGAGTGAAACTGGTGGAAGAAAAAATTTACAATGATCAAAGTAAATTCAGTTTCCTCTTAATCTCTCCTTTGATAGGTTTCTAAGCAATTAACTTAACTCACATTGATTGATTGTTGGTATACCCTTTTAATTTGGTAATTTATATTTACTTTTTTTTATCGTTATTGAAATGAACAAACTTGGTTCCTATCAATGGGTAAATATAGTTAACGATTCATAGTTAATTGTACAATAACAACAAAAAATGATCATTAATTATTCAGATGAAACAAAAGAAATGTCAGTAAATTGTCAGGTAATTGACAATCTTTAAGTAAAAGTTAAGCACAATTAAGAGGAAACCTTACATATTATGAATATGAATGTGAAAGAAGCACAATAAAAGATATATGATCATGGTGATTAGTCAAATGATTATGGATAATAATATATAAATAGTTAGTCTAATTATATAATTAATATAATCAATACATAAGAGTTGATTACTATCAAGTTATTATAATGTCATCCATTGATTAGAGATGATGATGAGGAGGATGGAGAGAGGGAGAGAAAACAAATTAAGGATAATTAATAGACTTACCTTTTAATGATCGACGGATAAAATAGTTTCTATCACAATTAATTGTCTTGATTGAGTTGGTGTTAATTGTTCCAGTGGTTATGGTTGTGATTGTAAAGAAACGTCCATTGGTGAAACTTTGTAAAAGGGTTGACATTGAATGGATTTGTATTAGTGACAGATTGTTGATTGTCTGATTAGTTGGAACAATTAGATTATTGTTATATTTACAGGAGAGATGGAGATGTTAATTGAATGAGATTCTGAAGGAAATTAAACTGAGAGTTAAGGTGAGGTTTGATTTAGTGAAAGTCATCATCATGTTGCTTTTTCCATGGTTGGTGTAGATGGTTAATCATAATTGATGGTTGGAAATTGTGATGGTGATAGAAAAGAGGACAGCCAATGATTAAGGGGAAAATGTTATATTCTACCTGATGTCCTCGAAAAGAATCACTGGTTTTCTGTATGATTATGTAGCCATTAGAGAGAAGACAAGTTGAGAGAATTTTTTTTATTCTCTTTTCTATAAAACGAATATTAAAAAAGAGAAAAGAAATAAATAAGAAAAGATTAACCAAAGATCATTAAGAGACAATTTATATTCTTACATTCATTTTATGGTAACCAAATCAATCGATTAGTTTGGGTAATGGTTAGAGACCAGAGAATAATTAACCAATTCTATTGATAAGACAGGAAAATTAATCGACAATTAATCAATTCAATAGTTTAAAATCTCATTTGCAACAAGGAAATTGATACTTAGGCCTAAGGGAAGAAAAGAAAACACAACAATTAAAGAGATTGACACTTATTCCAATCCAGAGAATAGAATTAATTTGATCAACGATTGCTTAATATAAGCGAATAATCAAATCGGACAATTAATCACAATTAAAGAGAGAGAATTAAATTAAAACAAGAACGAGATTCAACCGGTTGTTTGATTTGAAAAAATTTCCATTCGGGGGTCAGTTTACTAATTATGGAAAAGTTTGTTCTCTTTTCTTAGAACTTTTTTTTCTCGATTAATTGTTATTTTTTTGTTCTAACATATTGTTGTAATTAGAACGATTTACCAATTAAATTAATTGTTAAGGTGAGAGAAAAATTTCCTCAATTTACCTTGAATTGTAATTAGAGATCAGTTTGGTTAACAATTAGAATGGAAAAGTTTGATTAAGGTTACGAATTAAATTGTTTTCATATAACAATTAATTTCCATGTTTTTCATAATAATAATAACAATTTAATTACGATAACTAATCAATAATTTGAAATTCTCATGAAACTGAAATAATGATTTTAATTTAATTCCAATTCAACCTAAATTATTAAACTAATTGTTCCCGTTTCTTGTTATTGTTTTGTTTTAATTTCCAAATTTTTTGTCAACTCGATTTTCTTAATTGTGAATAATTGTCAATTACTATTGACACACCTTAATTGTGACTCTTGTTTGGTAAATTAAATTAGAGTTAATCAGAAAAGGAAAAAGTTGATTAACCAAAACAAAAAACTATCTAATTGTTTCTGGTTGTTGTTTACATTGATTGTTGCGGTTAATTGATATTAGTTTTGTAATTGTTGTTACAAAATGATGATGATGATGATAAAAAATGATCACATCTCTCCCCTTATTGTAATAAGTAACAAAGGAAGATGCTAATTAATGGTGATGATGATAATTAGAATGATTTAATTGTTAGAAAAGTGAGAGATGATTATTGTTGGTGATGTAAACAATTTCTTTGATTATGTTGCCCTGTTCATGGAAGCGGAAAGAAAGGTGATAATAACAATTAGAATTACTAATGATTATCAACACTAATCAAAGAATCTCAAAGGTAATTAGTTAATTTAATTCTTTAAAAAATTGTAATTTTTTTCTCGCTCAATATCATCCCGTTAATTTAGGTCGACAATCAAGGTAAACAAAAAAAAGGAATAGAAAATTGAGTTGAACCGATTGAAAAGAAGATGATGAAAAAGTATAAGAAGAAGCTCATGATGATGATGATGATGATGGCGATGATGATGAGGAAGATAAAATGATGATGGAAGATGAAGAAAAACAAGAATTTCTTTTCTGGACTGAGATTCAGTTGGTTGTTTATTCTTGGTTGAGAAGATAATCTAACAAAAGGTAGAAAACATGTTTTACCACAATTCTTATGATGTATCCTGTTAACATCTCACAATTTCCACCATTAAATTTCATCTTTCAAATTCAAATTGATTCAATTTCAATCAACTAATTTAATTGTCTTCCAACTGATCACAACAACAAAAAAACGAGCCACTCATCAAACTCCCTCTAGGAAAATACAAAAAGTGGCTAACCAGCTGATCCAAATGTCAACTACAATTTGAATATTTATCAGTTCAATCAATTGGATTTCCCATTCTCTTGGATTGGTTTTGTTTTTCCTCCACAATTACTGGTTAATTTAGTGATTACAATTTAAAATGATTAACCATCAACTCAACTTGGGATTTTAATTACTACAAATCAATTGGATCATCAAGGTTTGTATTTTTCTCTCTCTGTGATCAATCAATTTGTTTACCTCTTTTCTGCTATTCCATTGACTTTAATGTTTGAATTTCTTTCTTTCTTTTTCTCTTACAGACTAGAAACATATGATTTTTTTTTGAAGAAAAAGCCTCAACTATAAACATCATCAATTCTACATGTTGCAAGGTTCAACTGGATTAATTTAATTTCCATAAATTGGTTAATTGTTATTCCATTAAATGTTTACTCGCCAATGGACATCACCTTGTTATCTGTGACTGTGACTCTCCAATAGCTTTTTACCCTTAAGGTGTGATGAGTTTTCACCTTGTTGATGTTGATATTTGTCATCTCCAATTTCAATTGCTGTTGAATCTCTGATTTGTTTTTTTTTCTGTGTAATATTATCAACTCAAATTCCATAATCAATGGTGATAATGAAATTACGGCGAAGATGTCGCAGTGATTTTATTAGATTATCTTTCCTTCTGGTATCAGTAATTTTTGTCCTCTTCTTACTCTCAAGTAGTAAGAATAAAAGTGATTCAGAATTTGGAGAAGATATTTTTGATCTAACAAATGATCATAATAGTAAAGAAGGTAATTTATTCAATCTTATTCCATCTTCTCTCTCTCTCACCTTTTCTACCTGGTTTCATGTTCATTCATATTATCATGAAAACATCATCATCACCATCATCATCGTGCTGTTAAACTGTCGTGTTACTTTGTTGCTATTCAGTGAGAAAGGTTAATAAGTTGATCCATTGAAACGATCATCTTGAGGCTATTTTTTTCATGATGAGATTGAAAAAATCATTCATTTAATAAGCGATGATAAGATTAATATACCAAGCAGAATCATTTCATCAATGATTTATTACCTAACCTTTAGGTTACTCAACAATATAATCATCACAATCATAAGATGCTATCCTTTAACTGCATTACCATTGACCTGGAAATGATGACACTCACCTGAAAACTAGATCACCATCATGAAGAAGATGATGAAGATGAAGATGATGATGATGGTGATGGTGATGATCATCTTGAAGATGTGTTTCTTGTCATTTTACCTGAATTTTGATATTATTTTCATTTTTTTTTCCTTCTACAGGTTTGATGAAAAGCAATCCAACTGTGATAAAACAACTGAGTGCCAAAGAAGCTGAAATTTACCATGATCTGAATCCAGTAATTAAAGGTTGGGGTGAAAATGGTCAATCAGTTATACTGACCAGTGATAGTGAAAAATCATTGGCTCAGAAACAATTTGACAAAGGAGCTTTCAATGTATATATAAGTGATCGTATCTCTCCCAATCGATCACTTCCCGATCCTAGGCCATCAGAATGTTCAAAGGTCTCTTACGATTATAATAAACTTGGAACGGGTTCAATTGTGATCATATTTACCGATGAAATTTGGTCAGCACTGATTCGTACGATATGGTCAGTATGGAATCGAACACCTCATCAATTATTGAAAGAGATTATTCTGGTTGATGATGCTTCCAATCGAACTGAACTTCAACAACCATTGAGAAATTATTGTTCTCATTATTTTGGTGATCAAGTTAAATTGTTTCGATCAGACAAACGAATTGGTTTAATTCGTGCACGAGTTTTGGGAGCTAAAAAAGCCTCAGGGGATGTTATTGTCTTCCTAGATTCTCATTGTGAGGTAACCAGATATTTAATTAAATCATTTTTTTTAACCAGAAAACTTGATTGAGATAAAGTTACAATCAACTTTACGACATTTATAAACAATCAATTGTTTATCTTAATTATTGTCAGATAAATTGATTGAATTGTCAAAACAATTTTCAACAATCAACTTTTCAATCAATGGCAACATCTTAATCATCTTGTTATTATATTAGTTAATTAACCAGTAGCATCTATCGTCAGGAAATCATTGTTAGAAATCAATTGATTTCATCTAATCAATTGTTGGAAAAACTTTTTCCGTATCAATTTGATACAATTAAGAATCAATTGTTGATGAAATGTTTCCTCTCCCAATTGATTATTACCTTTTTTTTTTACTCAATATTATCATTACAATCTAGTTAAATATCATTATCACCATCAACTATTATCATTGTTAACTACAATCATCAAGTTAATCATTGATACCAATCAAATCACTATTAGTTAATTTTAACTTGAGGTTTCAATCATATTTCAAATCCTCAATGAGTTAGTACAACAATTTAACCTGCACACCTTAATTTCATTAATCATCTTTCAACAATTAGTAAATCAACTTTACCTCTGTTTCTATTATACAACAATTAGTTATTTTTTTTTGATTAAAAATAACTAAATTGTAATTATTTTAATGATCAATTAGTTTACCTTTTTACAAATTACAATTAACATGCAACTAACATCAAAATTATTAATATTAATGTGATCATTTGATTGTAAAGTTAATCTAATAACTTTTGATTTAACTATGATTCCGTTAATTGTAACAATTAATCAACTATTATGATAACTTTTTTTTTCAGTCCAGAGCTTTTTAATTAACTCCCATTGATTTAGTTACAGTCAGTTAATCGTAATTACTTTTAATTTTTCACTACGAGTTTAATTACAATCAGATAATCTTAATCATCATGACCTATTTAATTTTAATTCAGTGGACAATTAGTTTTAAATCACATCTCATCATTATCTTGATTGATAAAATAAATTTTTGATTCCTTATTAATCATAACAACAATTAATCATTTCATCAACAATTTAATGATAGTTTTTTTTTTAAATTGTCTGAAATTAAATGTTTCAAATTAATTGTACACCTTTTGATTATTTAGTTTAATCATCTCATAATCCATCAGATTTAATTGTAACTATTAATATTTTTTCATTCATTTGATTGATTTGATTTTTGTTGCCAATAATTATTTTAAATTGTTTGTACTAATTTAATCACTATGATAGGTGAAAATTTAATTTTCCAATTGATCAGATTGATTTATTATTATTATACAATGTTAACAATTAACTTTGAATACATTTGATTGAGTTAATCAAAATTGAAAGAAAACAAATTTGATTAAATAATATGAATAACAATCAAATTGTATTAATAAGATTAACATGCGATTTGATGTTATTAACAATTAAATGAAAATGATTGTCTTATTTGGGCACAATCAAAGTAAACAATTTAATTTAATTGTCATAATCAAATTTAAGCATTTTCAGTATTAATTGTTTACTTGATGAAAAGAAGATGAAGAAAAGTATTCACAATTAAATCTGATTGTTAAATCAACACAGTTTCGGTCACAGTCTTAATTGTTATAATAGAAATAAATTATTTCGTCTTTTATTTACAATTAATTTAAATTAACAATAAATGACCAACCAGGAATATAATTGTAATTAGATTAACTCTACCAATTGAGTAACAATTTAAACTTTACCTTCCTGATTGTAACTTTATGTATTTAATGGGCTATTGTTTAATCCGATTTTGATTGTAACAATCAAAATTCAATCGCAATCAAGAAAAAAAAAGTAGAAGCATAAGAAAAATAATCGTTGATTGTTGTTTACAATTACAGGTTAACTGTTCTGGTCATTATAATTAACTTTTTCACTTCCACAATCAGTTGATGATCATGATAATCATGATTAAACTGTTAACATCCCAAGTCTATTATACAATTACCTTGATTGTTACAATTTAATCTTGGAATCAAGTCAACTCTTTTTTTCCCCGTTAACTATTATCCAACTAATGTCACGATTAACTATTTTCTTATATTAATAGTTAATCATCTTGATAAACGTAACAATTAACCAACAACACTTTCACAATATATAATTTATTACTCGAGTTAAACTGATTTACTATTGTAAGAAACTTAGTGAGTCGTGATTAAGTTTAATTTGGTTGTTGGATTAGTTTGATTTGTTTGATTTAAAGTTAATTTTACTAATCACCATTAACTGGAACTTTGATTGTTTTATCATTTAGGCAACTAAAGGTTGGCTTGAACCTTTAATGGCGGAAATTGCTGAGAATCCTAATCACGTTGTTTGTCCGGTAATTGATGTAATTAGTGATAAAACATTGGCCTACAATTACGGGACACCTTACTTTTTTCAAATCGGCAGTTTTACCTGGGCAGGTCATTTTACCTGGATGGACATGGACGAGGAAAAGCTGATTGAATCGCCGACGAAAGCGGTTTCCTCACCAACAATGGCCGGTGGACTTTTAGCAATTAATCGTAATTACTTTTTCTCCATTGGTTCGTACGATGAAGCAATGGAAATTTGGGGTGGCGAAAATTTAGAAATGTCCTTTCGAATTTGGCAATGTGGGGGTAAACTGTCCATTCACCCGTGTTCTCATGTAGGTCACATTTTCCGTGATTATCATCCCTACTCTTTCCAAGGGAAAGATACTCATGGTATTAACACACTTCGAACCATGATGGTCTGGATGGATCCAGAGTATCGTCGGTACTTTTTCATGCATCGAACTGATCTTGCCGATATTAATCCAGGTGATCTAACCGATCGTTTAGAATTGAAGAAACGTCTCAAATGTAAATCATTTAAATGGTATTTAGATAATATTTTCGAGGGGAGAAAATTTATCTACGATCAAAACGCTCAGGCTTGGGGGACCATTCGCAATAGGAAAAGTGGCCTTTGTTTGGACACTTTAAATGAGAACGAAGAGAAATCTTATCCTCTTGGTGTTTTCCATTGTGAACAAAGACTCGCCAATCAATATACTAATCAATTTCTTACTCTTACGAATGACGGTGAATTAAGACGGGACGAATCGTGTGCAACCGCTACCGGGGATAAAGAGGGTAACGTTAAGATGGACAAATGTACAATCGTTGAGTTTGGCCTGAAAAAATCGCGCGAAACGATGGCCCATGAGAAGAAGAAGCAAAAATGGAAACATTTAAAAGGCGGTTGGATAGTTAATGTTGGAACTAATTTATGTTTAACTACGAAGAAATTAAAATCAATGTCGAAAATTAAATTAACTAAATGTAATTCGTACGATCCTTATCAAAAGTGGAGATTCCAATCATATGCTGAAGTTGATTTCATCTGAACAACAACAATTAACTAATTATTTATTTCCAACTTAATCTTTTAAATCAGAATGTTGAACTTTTTTTATATTCTCTTACGATGATTAATTAAAAAAACGATTTAATTGCCAATTTTTCTAATTGAATTTTGATTATTTTCATTGTCGATTTTTTTTTGATTGTTGATGAGAATAGGAAACAATTTAGAATCAAATTGTTTGTCTTTTTCCTAATGGAAAGTTAATTTGGTTGTTTGGGTGTTGAGATTTAAATTCAATAGTTAATATTATCACTTTTAATTATTTTCTTACTTAAATTGCTCGAGTTTTTTTTCATCTAATGATTTAGTCCAAAAATCGAAACAATTAATTTGCTAATCAAAGTGTTTTATCGTAGTATCAATTGACGATTTAGAGGTAATAATATCTACAATTGTTGTTGATTCCAAAATGCGATTATTTTGTCTTGTCCTTTGCGTTAATTGCTGATGATTTAAAACAACAACAGTAATTAAAGTTGAAAATTGTAGACAACAATTGATTATCGTTGATTGATCAACAAATTGTTATTTTCTTAGTCTATGGTAGGAGTTTGTTCATCAATGTACAAAAAGAGAGAGAGAGAGAGAGAGAGAAAATGGCCGATTGTTGGTCTTTGGGTAAATTGTTTGACCAACTTTGGTTCCTTAATTTTAATTGTTTGTGTGTCCGAATCAAAATGAACAGTCAGTCCAATCAGCTGATGATCACCATTAATGTCTTGTATTGTGTAGTAGTTGAGGTTCAATTCAAGGTATGTAATAGTTTCAATATTTACATAATAAACAGTAAAATTTTATAATAAATCATTGTAACGTCTTAATGTAACAATTTCATTTCCATGCTAATGTAATTAAAAAGTAATTAGTCCTCATATTATTAGATCACTTTCTAATTGTCATGGAAAAAAAACAATTTCTCAAAGGAAATTTCAACTCCTTCCTTTCAATTATTGTCTTATCACTTTCTATCCATGTTAATTGATGTTTGATAATGTAAATCAAATCAATCATCAGATTGTAAATTGTTTGGTGCGAGTGAGTGAATGTATTTGAAAAGAGAGGAGATGCTTTTGTGTAATTGGCTCGATTATCTTTTGTTTACTATGAATCAATAATAAAACATTCTAAGCCCAAATCTATGGAAAAGGGAAGAAAGATAATTTTCATTAGAATTTTTTAGTTTAATTGCTACTCATTAGATTTAATTGCTTACTCTAAGAGAAAAATCCCAACTTCCAGTGGATAAAGCTGTTCCATCGGGAGAGACTTTGATACAAGTGACACGATTTTCATGTCCATATAAAATACAGAGTCGTTGGCATTTCAACGCATCCCAAATGTGCACAGTATAATCATTGTAACCGGCAAACAGGATACGACCTAATTAATTGTTAGAATGATTTTCAATTAATTTCTTTTCCATTGATATTGATTATCTTTGCAATTTATAGGTAACTTACCACTAACTGAAAAATCGACCGAGTTTACACCGAAAAACATACTTTCTTTTGAAAAGACAGCTACTTCTCGATCAGCACGTAGGTCATAAAGACGGCACTGGATTAAAGGAAAAAAGATTATCAATGTTAGAGATGATATAAAGGTGGAAATAATTAGACTGATTAATACTAATAGATAGATCAATCGATAGATAGATATTTACAGAGGCATCATCTGATCCGGTAAGAATTGCATCTCCACTTGGATGATACTTTACAGAATTGATATCGGACTCATGTCCTTCAAATGATTGCACTGAATGTCCCGTTCTCAGGTCCCAAATTAATGCTTGTCTATCACATCCCTGGATGGTAAAATGAAATAAAGGAAAAGGAAATGATAATTAATACAATTGGTTGAGAAAATTTTCACAATTATCAAGGATAAACTCACGGCAGAGACAAAAGTATTGCCAGTTTCAGAAGGAGAGAGATCAATGGCCATAACATCACCAAGATGACCATGGAAATTTTGAATTAAAGTGGAACATTCAACATCCCATAGTGAACAAGTACTATCCCCACTACCAGTTAGAATCTAGGTAGATAGAGAGAATAATATTATCATGGTAAATTGATAACAATTAAGCAAAAAAAAACAAATTACTTGTTGATCAGTGCCAGGGAAAAGACAACAGGACATGTAACTAGTATGAGTTCCTACGTGTTTCTTTTTAGCTTGAGCATCGTCTTCTATACTCAATGGAAAAACAGTTATTTTATTGTCCAATCCTCTGAAAAAAAGAGAAAAGAAATCAATTAAAATCTAATTCATATATTAATAAGACAATTAAGTCAATGTGTCTTACCCACAAGCTACCATGGTCCCGGAAGGTGCATATGCACAGGACATTACCCAGGTTGTTGGCATACTAATCGCGTGTTCCTATTGTGATAAAATACAATTTTAATCATTGAACACAGTTGATTAATTGTTAATTGTTACCTTATTAGTGGTAAATGCATCCCAAATAATCATTTTACCATCTTGAGATGAACTGACAATATGTCTCTTATCAAGAGACCAATCTGAACATAATACTTTTCCTTGGTGTCCTTTTAATACTCTCCTTTGTTTTATATTAAGAGTTCCAAGAATTTCTAATCGTTGAGCTACTTGTGAAACTGTTGAAAAGAGAATAGAACAACAAAAAAAAAGAAATAATTAGCAATCAAATTCTACGTAGAAAAATGAAACTTAATTCCAAAGGAAATCAATAGAAATTGAAGACAAAGAAGTTGAACTCCATTAGTCATAACGGTTAAGTAGAAAATTTGAACATTTGAATTGAAGATTTTTGAGAAAAACAAGATGAGCATTAAATCAATTAAACTGACTAATTACATAGACTAATTGTTAGTTAAATTAGATCAAAGTGATTAGAAAAACAGGAAGAACCAGATTAGAAGATGAACATCCTGGTAAATAAACATTTCCAATATGAAGAATGGAGTTAATTCTGGTTGTTTACAATTTAGAGAGAAGAACAAGAAAACTGACAAGAGAATAGATTTTATTGGAACTTGTATTGTAATGGAGGACAATTTGTTAATTGTTAGGGTTAATTGTTGGGTAGAAGAGGAAGATTATTGTGGTGGATTGGAAGGAATTCACTGAGATAAACAGGGAGGGTGGAAAACGAATGGTAAATGTGATGGTATTAATTGTCTACTTACATGTAACATCATTTAATTTTTTTCTCTCCTCTTCTAATCTTGATTTTAATCTTTCAATTTCTTTTCTCAGATCATCAATTGAATCACTTGGTTTCTCTAAATCAGGACAATCTAATATAATTGCACCACCACCACCGCCATTACCACCAGAATGTTGAATTGTTGTTGAGGTTCCACTGGTAGTTGCTTGTGATTGATGATCACCATCACTGGCCATCATTTATTGGAACAATTAACAAACCAAAAAGAAAAAGGAAAACCTTTAATTACCACAATCAGGTTAGAAAACTGTTTCTCTTTCAATAGAATCACAATCAACAAGGAGAGAGAATTAATTTACAAGAGAATTTAAATTTAATAACAAAGAGACTGAAAGAAATTCTGGATAAATAGACAGAGGAAAATAAAAGATCGAAAGGAGAGCGAAAGAGAGAGAAATAGAATGAGAGAGAAAATGATGATATTCGAAAAAGAGAATAGAATTTGAATTTGAATTTTTCTTGTAGATTTTGGAATCAATTGGTTTTCATTGAAGAGATTTCGATTATTGATTATGGTGGAATATTAAAATTCGTAATTGCGATTATATAAAATAGATTAGAATAGGAAAGAAGAGAGGGAAAAATTAGAAGAAGATGAAGAAGATGAAGAGAGAGAGAGAATGAGAGAGTAGAATCAATGAATTGGATGATTTATATGAATGAGAGAAGAAAAAACCAGAGAAGTAGTTCGAGTCTCTCGAACTTCGAGACTCGAAGTTTCTGCGCTTTTACGATTAAATTTTCTTTTTCTCTCTCGTTTGTTATTTTCTTTTCTCATCATTTTATCTTCTTAATGTTCATTTTAATATCGAAAAAGTTTCTTTTCTTTTGAAGAAAATTTCTACTCGACAATTGGTTATTTAGAATTTTCTTACTCTCTAATAATTTGAACCTTTCGAATTTTTCGATTATTGTTCATTTGGCGAATTTTCTATCTTGATTTGTGTTCTCATCAGCTGATTATCCTTTTCATTGTCGTTCATTTAGAATTTAATTGTTTAGTTGAGACTAATTGTTGTTGGTCAATTGTTGTTTATTTGTTTTCTTTTTTTCGTTCGATAATTTTGATTACATAAGACACTTTTGATTGAAATTAGATTTAATTGTTTGGTTGGTTTTCATTGAGTTCGATCCTTAGATTTACTATGATTTTAATAGTTCGTTAATCGTTGGGTCAATGGAAATGTTATTTTCCCTTCGACCGCTTTACTTTTCAATCGCTGACTGAAATTTTTCGCGATCAATCGATAAGTTTTAGAATTTTCTTCTCTTCTTTTATCCTCTCTCAATTTCGCAATCTCAGGTAAATGAGAGTAAAGTCGAAGTGTTTGTTGTTTCATCTCTTTCTCGGTGAAAATTTTCCTCGGTTTGATCACTTTTACTCTGATCGGTTTATATTCAGTTAGAAAATCGTATTCCCGAGAGTTTAATCGATTCCGTAAGATAAATTCTTCCAATTGTCGTTCCAATCGACATTCGGCTGTTGCTTTTCGTATTGCTGAGGCCATGTTTATCTCTTGGACTCTCGATTGTGACCTGGTCAGAAAGTGTCCACACTTTGAACGGAAAGCTTGTTGAAGGCTCAGTTCTGGTCCATTTTCACTTAGATAATAACCTGGACTTTTATTGGTGCTTTGGGTTGACATTTGGGATGACAAATTCACTTCGGGTATTATAATTGTCCAAGCGATGGACTTTTCTGTTTGTGTCTTTCGAGCTGATGGTTTGTTGATTAGTAATTTATTGTTGGCACTTTTTCTCATTGTTGCTAATTGTGGGTTATATGTTTTTGTTTTGGCCTCGATAATTGGATTATCTGAAGTTTGAACACCAATTGAGTGTTTTGTTATTGTTTCCTCGTGTAATTTGTAAATCATTTGATCAATTTTGGCATGAATCGAGTTGAGTGAACCTTTTTTACTGGTCAACCTGCTGACCGATGGTGACCTTACCTTTGGACAGGTTAGATGAGTTGTTTGATTGATCGGTTCAACAGTGGAAATTAAACTTTCATCGGTTGAAATGTCATTTAATTGTTCACAAGAGTCTTTGACAGAATCAATTTCAGTCTTCAATGGTTTGTGATTAATTTGATTAATTTCTTGGTGAGATTCATTAACTTTTGCAGTAGATGATTGGTTAATACAGTTGTCACAATTTTCATCACAATCAGGCATTGATAAATCATTGATTACTCTTTTCTGTAATTCCGATTTATAATGTAATTCGGATAAAACACTTTCCATCCTTTGAAGTCGATTTAATTCCCTTTGAAGACAATCAAGGTAATTCTTTTGCTTTTCAATCATATACTTAAATTGTTTAATTGTCTCCGGTGCAACTTCAATACTAGAAATTGATGAATAATCTGATGAATTCACTGGAATAGATTGATCGGGATTAGGAGATTTCATTGATTGTTCACTTTTCTTCAATTGATTATGAGCAATTTTCTTCACTTCAGTTTCCATATTGTGGATTGGGATTCGATGATGAGAAATTGATTCTTTCTCACTAATCATTTCCTTGACAGTTCCAATGTTGACAGTTCGCTCATCCTTTTCTTCACTGGTAAAGGTCACTTTTTTGTTCACTATTAACAATTAAAAGAATAACATATTCAATTAGAAAGAGAATGAAAAGATTTACATATTTAGAAATAATCGAAAAGACTTACTTTTCCTTAGATTATCTGGATGAATGTTGAGCATCTTCATCTTTTGACGTAGCCTTTGATTAATGAGAGCAGATAAAGATGATGAGGATGATGAAGATGATGAAGACTGGACTACTGATGGTGATGGTGAACAGGATGATGAGGTAGAGATGTTTTCTAAATCACAGTTAATCTGAGGAAGTGATTTATTTTTCCTCAACAAGCGAGACTCATTGCAACTCGAAACGGTTGAATGGTTAGTACAGTAAATGGATGTTGACTCTAAGGATGAAATTGAAGAGAGGCTTGTTAAATCTTCCAGGGAGAAAGATGTTGATGATTGTTGCTTATTAAACATTGATTCGAACATAATTTTTGAGGAAAATAATTAGTGAGAAAAACAAAACAAAATCCAAAATAAACTGAGTGAGAAAATTTTTCGAAAAAATTTGTTTTTCTTTTCTGTCAATCAAAAGAAACACAAAAATCAACCATAGAAACCAAACAGCGAAAACCACTAATCACCAATACATTTTAATTGTTCATCTTCTCCATCAATAACAGTAAACTTGATTCTTTAACCAAATCAATTCACTGGAAAAATATTAACACAATTAAAAGTTATCAAGTTGATTATAAAATGTTCACTTTAAAAATAATCAATTCTCTTTGTTGACAAAACTGTAACAAAGATAATAAGACAGTTTTACATGAGAATACAATTTGAATTGTTTGTAATTATAATGTTCGATTGTAGTGATCAGTTATAGAAAGGTTTTTACACAATTAGCTAATCACAATTAAAGAATAGAATCAAATTAAATTAATAAATTTCAAGTGAAAATTTTAACGTTTTTTTTTCAAAACAAGAGCCAATCGATGTATCGGATCCCAAAGGAAAAAGTATCGGATCCCACACATGTTTTCCTTGTTTTCATTTTGGTTTAAATTGTTTCAATTAACTAATTGTAATTAATTAACGTTTACGGTTTTGTAGATTGAACAATTTACTCATGTTGGGGAAATTAGCTGTTCGTGGAATACACAATTATAGTAGAAGATCATCTATTTATTCTGAGAAATGTTACTTGGTTAGAAAGAGAATCGGATTACGTTTATCATCTTCGTCTTCTCAACAATCTGATTTGGAGAAAAAATCTGGCCAGCAATTAAAATCATCGGCTAATGGACCAATTTCATCGGAAATCCCCAAAGAATTTATGCCTCAAGAGGTTATCGATAAAGTTCAATCTGTTCGATCTTTAGATGTTACAACTAAAGTTCCACTTGTTCCAGTTGAAAGTCTAGGAATCAAAGCTGATGTATTGAGAGTTCAGAAAAATGGTTCTTTCATCAAGAGACTTTTCATCGCTAAATATGATACTGATTTTCTTAGTTATCCTGAAATTTTAAAGACTCGAAGTGAATTTGATGCTATTCAGAAACAATGTGAAATGGTTGAAACGTATTTCCATAATTTCGCCAATGACAGTGACTCTTTACATAAATTGAAATTTGATTCGTTATGGAAAATGACTGCCACCGAAATGATGACCATTTTCGAATCGATTGGACACACTTTGGCCATTCGATTCAACGATTGTTTCACAAAGAATGTAAGTATTGAGATAATAGAATATAGAATGTAAATTAATGTAGTTTCTAATTTTCAATTTGATTCTGTTTTCTTTGTAGGTTATTAGTGAACAAGATGGAAATGAATTGAAAGGTTACTTGGCAATTAAGCCTAATCATCCAGTTGTCGACATGAAATGTGTTCATGGATTATTCAATCTTCTTAATCACAATTGTCTTGGTTTTGGTTCAGTTGAATGGGGAGATAATGATGGAATTAGAGATCGTATTTTATCATTACTACGAAAAGATCCTTCGATTAAGATTGGTTTCGCTTGGACAGAGAGAGAAGCTCCTTTTGGTGCTGGAAGTTTCGCTGATTGGGAAACTGTTGCTCGTCGATCAGCTGATGAATCAAGTTGGACTCTTTCAGGGTCAAAAAATCGTATTCTCAAAGATAATTACGATTATTATGTCATTTTTGCTTCGACAAAAGATTATAACGAAGAGGAGAAACCCCAATGGATGTTAACTGGAGGCACTGAATCTCCACCAGGAATTGTTGGTTTTCTCATTCCATCTAAAATGATTGGTAAAATTGAAGATGAAGAAGTGATTAACGGACTAGTCTATCAAAAAATTACCTTCGATGGTTTAGTCTTACCAACGGAAGATCATCTTTTAGTTGAACCTTCACCTCTTGGAATAAGATCATTAAACATTCGTGGTCTTGGTCTTCTTGGTACCTCATCGATAATTTTAGGATTAACCAAATCACTTTTAGCTGATTGTTATCGTTATCTATTGAAAAATCGAGCACCACTATTAGAATGTCAAACAGTTGAGAAACTTTTGGTCAACATAACATATAAAATATACACACTCGAATCATGTTTATATTTAACATCTCAAGCCTACGATGCATTTGATAATGTTAATGCCGATCCAGAGCAAAATTTGGAAGCTTCAATTTGTAAAATTTTAGCCATTGAATTAGGACATGAGATTATTGAGATTATCCAATCAATTTATGGATCACAAATGTTAATAACTTCTCCTTTACATGATTTCCTTCATCTTCTTGATTCTTATCTTGATAATACTGTTCATCATCGTGTTAACATTGGTACAAGTGGAATGTGGTTCGCTGGTTATTACAAGAATGATAATATTCGTAAACTACGATTAGCACCATTCTTTCCCGTCTATCGACTTTACGAACTTATCAATGAATATAAATTGTCCAAAGATAAGCCCAAATTAATCTACGATTTAAGAGGTCACGTTCATCCTTCCCTTCAAGAAGAAGCTGATAAATTAGAAACTGTTTCTCTTAAATTTGGATTAGGAGTTGAATGGATTCTAAAACGTTGGGCTGGTGTAAGTTTATATTAGTTTGATTGATTAACTTTTTTGTTGGATTAAATTTTTTAATTTTTCTTTTCTTTTTCTTTTTATTACTCAAATATTATCATTTGTATTTAGCAAACCACTCGACGACAAAATGATCTGGAAAGACTTGCAGACATGGCCATCGATATTTACGCAATGACCTGTGTGATTTCAAGAGGTTCAAAGGCTTATTGTGATGCCGTTAAAAATGCCGACATGGATCGATACACAGTTTCATCAATTGTTCATCATTTATATGAAAAAGGAATTTTAACTTTCGAGGAATTGAACCGTTCACAAGAAGATACCGATGAATATAGAAATCATCATATCCATAGAAAGAATATTGAATATGGTGGTTATTTCGCCCAATCTTCACTAAATAGAATACATTATTAGTTATAAAACAATCAACAATTAACTAATTATCTTCTCTCTCTCTCTTCATTTCTTTTTCTTCTCGTTTTTATTACCAAACAACAATTTTATTTGGAATGAAAAAAAAAATCTATAACGAAACCTTTAGTTGTATAAAAAAAGAAAGGAAAACATCCAAATATCAAGTGCATATATTATATAGAATTTAGAAATAATTAATAAATTGTAATAATAAATTCCAATTGGTAATTGAATTGAATTTCAATCGAAAAATGCAAATTTTGAAAAAAAATCGAAAAAACCGCCAAAAGTCTATTTTCACAGCAAAAGAAAATGAGCTCTGAGAATAGACTAATTTGTTTGGCGGAAAATCATTGCATCAGTTTCTCATTGTAATTGTCAAAGGAATAAACTTATTGTGTGTTGCCCTCTCTAAGTCTTTGTCTCTAATTGTTTCTAATTTATTAATTGAATTTGTGTATTTTTGGCTTTTATTTGTTTCCAAAGAGAAAAGTAAACTGTACTCAATCGAAATGTCTTCTTCTTTCCATAGTGATGCATGTTCTTATGACGATTCTCAATCGGCTATGATGGAAACATCTCTTTGGGATGATCTTCCCTCCGTTAATCCTTATCTTACTCCACCGAGACATGAATCTACTCCATCTCGCAAGACTTATTCAACCCGTCGATCTTCACGATTGTCTAATCGAAAAAGGTCAATCCCTTGTGATGAAAATACACCAATAAATATGGAGAAAGCTAAAAAACGAACCAGAGCAGCAACAACTTCACGAAAATCAAAGAAACCAATGAAACCAGTTAATCTTTGGGATAAAGCGATGAGTAAGAATAAAGATTTGGCCAAATTCATTGAATCTTATAATGAACAAATGGAGAAAATCTGTTCAACTGAGCTTTCCATCCGCTCAGAGCCAAATGCAAGTCTAAATTGGTTTGAGAGAGACTCATCAATACATTTATCAACATTGGATGACGAAGAAGTGTAAAAGACTATAAAAAAAGAAATTCTTTTACAATCTAAGGTCACCCTTGCCTAATCTAATGGTCAACAATCTACTCTCTGGCAATAACCTGTCATTATATTGATAAGATTATCATGTTTTTTTCTCTAATTATCTTCTATTTTTTCCTCTCAATCTAAAATCTATTTTTTTCTCTCCTCTTTATCCTTTAATCTCTAACTCTCTCTCTCTCTCTCTCTCTCTCTCTCTCTCTCTCTCTCTCTCTCTTTCTTTCTACTTTTCTCCCCTTTACAAATCATCTAAATCGTTATGGTTTAATAATATTTTTATCTTCCACCCCTTACAATTTACTTAACCAAAAGATCTCCGAAAACTTAATCTCTTTTGGAGAGATGAAAGTTACGAAACAAAAAGTTTATCTCAACAAACAATTTACTCATTGTGATCCCTTGAGAAAACTTGTCAAGTTGAGATACATGTAATGTCAAAGTTTCTTTACTCATATGATAAAAATTCAATCCCCCTGTTAATCAACCAAAAAGAAAAACATTTAATAAAAAAATAATTAACATTTATTGTTCTATCAAACAAAGAAATGAAAATTTATTTCATCATTTCAATTCGCGCGTTTGGATTTACCGCCAATTTTTTCCTTCCATCCACATGTTTACCTTTTGGTAAACAATCAACAACATGTTATCATATTTACTTTATTTTTCATCTTCTCTTTGCAATTAATTGTTTCTTTTATTTATTAAATTGTTGACTCTTTTTCTTTTCCAGTTAATCTGTTAAAATGTCTAAAGAAAGTGACGCTGATGATATTACTGAAGCGATTCTTGATGAGACGAAATCTGAAACATGGGAATCACTTGGTGTCTCTGAAAATATTATCAATGCTCTTAATGAACATGGTCTAACTGAACCAACCGATATTCAGAAGGGAATAATTAAACCTGCCTTGTCTGGAATATATGATTTACTTGGAGCTGCTCCTACTGGAAGTGGTAAAACTTTAGCCTTTGGAATACCTTTAATTCAAAAGATTCAAGAGAAAAAGGATTATTATGGTGATAGTAAATTAAGAGGTCTTATTATTACTCCTACTCGAGAATTGGCTCAACAAATTAAAATTCATCTTGATAGAGCTGCTAAATTTACTACTGTTAAAATTGCTGTGGTATTTGGTGGCTTATCTACCCAACGGCAGGAAAGAATTTTGACCAAAGGTCAACCGGATATTCTTGTTGCCACACCAGGTCGACTTTGGGAGATAATTAATGAGATGGAGATTCCTCATGTTTCACATAAATCTGTTTCTCATATTCGTTATTTGGTAATCGATGAGGCTGATCGAATGACGGAGAAAGGCTACTTTTCCGAATTGACCAATATTCTTAGTATAATCAAGGAAAAAGGGGCCAAAATCCATCGCCAGGTATTCCTACTTTCGGCTACATTAACATTCATCTCTAAAGGACCAAAGTTAATCAAAAAAATGAAACAACCCAAATTACGATCAAAATTGCGACACATCTCACGAATCATTGGAATGAAAAATCATAAAATTATCGTCGATTTGACAGCCGGAGGTGTTGGTACACCAAGTCGTGAACAATTGTCCATCTTTAAGATTGAATGTTTAAAAGAGGAAAAAGACCTTTATTTATATTACTTTCTATTAGCTCATCCTGGTCGATCAATAGTATTTTGTAATAGTAAAGATTGTCTTAGACGTTTACAGCATCTTCTAACAATTTTAGATCAAAAGCCGATCCCCTTACACGCGGCCATGGAACAGAAAAGACGACTCTCGAACCTTGAACGTTTCAGTGCCGATCCCAGAGGAATTTTATTAGCCAGTGATGTCGCCGCTCGAGGCTTAGATATTTCTTATGTTGACCATGTTATTCACTATCAAGTCCCTCGAACCGCTGAATTATATATCCACAGAAGTGGCCGAACCGCTCGAATGTCCAACAAAGGGATTTCTCTTCTTCTTTGTGAACCCGCTGAAAGTTACACTTATAGAAAACTCTGTGGTTCAATCAATGATTCCCAAGATTTAGATTCTTTTCCCATTGACGATGTTAAACTAAATCGACTCCGTGAACGACTTGGAATTGCTAGAGAATTGGATGTTCTCACTCATAGGCAAAAGAAAGTTAAATCTCATGATGACTTTTTCCGTCGAATGGCCAAAGAATGTGAAATTGACCTGGAAGATCGAGATGATCTATGGATGAAAGATGAAGATTCTGCTCCTAAAGAAAACAAAAAGATCAAAAATTTACAAAATCAATTGAAAAATCTATTGAAAAAAAATGTTTTCTAACAAGTAAATCTTTTCCCCGATTCCCAAACAATTGCGATTTATAAATTAACGATTGAAATGACACATTTTCTTGAAATTTTAGGTGCAATCAAATTAATCATGTTCCTGTAAATACTGATTGACCAACTGTCAACAAGAAAACCAAATTAAAAGGTTTAATCATAAATTACTCTTGAGGATTTCCACCAATGATGACATTTGATTATTATCATTATGATTATTGTGAACGATGAACTTCAGCTAAATTTAATTTGCGCACTTGCAGCCTGATAATCAACATAAAAGATAGAGTGAGATGAAGTATGAATGAGAGAGTTAATCCAGCTCTCCCCCCCTCTCTCTCTCTCTCACTGTCAATCAAATTGGTTAAATCATCAATCAAGAATCAAGAATTGAAAGAGAGTATATTATCAATCTAAGTTGCGATTTCGTAGTTATATCGATCTTTACGTTTGATTAAATAAAACCAATGAATTATCAGATAATAGTTGTGATCAATTCTGATGTCACATGGAATCAACTTTTCTCTCTCATAAAGATTATCCGATTATCTCTGGAAAAAAAAACAGTAAATGAAAGAAAGAGAATCAAATAGGAAATAGATTGGTGATTAAGACCTGATACTTAAGGAGTAGTTAACTTAAGTCATACTCGATTAACCTTTATTTGGATGCTACAATATTGGAAGTATAAAAAAAAGAAGCCAAGTCGATGGGCTAAAGACAAACAACAATTAATCTGAATCAATTTTAATCACCAAATGATCCATCGAACACAATCTTAAATGATCAACTGAAAAACTGATTTGAAACAATAATCAACTTGTCAACTCTACGAGCACTCACAATGAGAATGGAGAAAAAGTAACTCGTTAATCATTTGGAAATCAACTAAGTGCTTCTCAACAATTAACCTCTACATCTAAATTCATTGGAACAATAGTAATTATTGTTATCATCTCATGTTCATCATCAAGGGAAACAACAACGACGAAGACGAGAATTCAAATTTTTTTTTAGGTCAAAGGGAACATCCAAATGTCGAAAGGGAATCGAGAGGAAAAAAGTTCGAAGGGAAAAAAGTTCGAGGAAAAAAAAAGAAACAAAAAGACTAATAAATATCGAATCAAGAAGATTAGTTGATGGTTGATTTAATCTAATTTACCATTAATGGTGTTGATTGCCAGACAGCGCAGTAGTTAAGTGTAACAATTGAAATTACTATCAACACATCAACGATTATCACCAAAAATATCACATTAATATCTTAATCTTTTCCATTGAACGAGACTGGAATTAACGTAGAAAAATGTTAATCACCAGAGATAATTGTTTGATAACAATTAACTATTGAAGAGAGGATTGAAAACTCGTTGATTGTAAATGGTTTTACACAGACTAAATTGTAATTAGATGATTGCTGTTGATTATTCTGTTAACACAGGAAACTCATTTTCTATTTATTCCTGGTAATTTTCACTTGTTTCTCGTAATCAATTTTCTTCCTCTCTAACAATCAATCAATTATTGATTCTAATCAATAATAAATATTATTCTAAATTAACGAAAGAGTAAAACAAATTGTTCCTTAATGATATTGGTTGATGTAATCAACCGATCGACGCCGTTTTTGATTGTTACAATTACCCGATTTTTATTGATAATCATTTCTGATTATCAGTTTTATATTTATACTTATCGATGATAATTAAAATAACCCAATCAAATTAAGGGAAACAAAAAAATTCAACCCAAAAGAAAACAAATTGTTACAATTAGTTATTTTCTAATGAATATAATTGTTAATCAGATTTCATCAGATTATTGATTACATTGGACATGATTAAATGTAAAGAGTAACAATCAAGGCAATTGAATATACAATAGTTAATTGAGATGATTACAATTGTTGATTAACCTTGAAGTGAATTACATAGAGCAGGCAATAGGAAATTACTGATTAATCATTAATCAATATAATTTGACAATTTATATAATTAGTGTTTAGATTTTGCTTTAAATTGATATAAATTAGTAACAAATATCAGCTTTCAATCAATTAAATTACATTGTATTAGATTATCATCTTGAATTGATGAAAATATTATCATTAATTGTAGCTGATTACAATTAGCAATCATTATAAAGACAATTGACTTTCTTTGGGTTAACAATTAATTGTTGATTAATTACAATTGGGTTGATGTAATAAAATGTGGCTCTGATTTGGATCGATTATAATTAACTGGTCCAGATTGATTATTGTTAATGTTACTTTTTTTACTATTGGCACAATTAGCGGATGATGATGTTGATTGGTTAATTATTAACAATTGATTTGGTGATGATGGAGTGTTGGACAATTTATAATTAGCTTGATTATTTTGATCTTTCTCAATTACTGAGGTCAATTGATTATTACCACAATTGAGTAAATTGTCACTGTATCGACGTTGTTTTGATAAAAGTCCAAATTCAGATGAGATAATCATCTCATTTGGATTAATTATTGATCCATGATTAAGTTGATCTTTGGTACAATTTGAGATGATTGAGGATAACGGTAAAGTGGGTGGTGATTGTGGCTGAGGTGGGGAAGATGATGATGATTTAAATAGTGTTGAACAATTAATCGGATCAAGTTGAGATTGTAATTGATTGAATAAACCAATTGATTCATTAATATTAATAGATTTTGATTCAATTACTTTTTCATCTTGATAATTATCATTGTTTGGTTGCCTTTTACCCTGATTATCACCAGCATCGTCATAATCATCGGCCACTTCGGTGGGTTTATCGGTTAGATAGCCCGAAACGGGCGGACTGGACTCACTGTGACCCGAATCGTTTGACAGGTTAACAGATTGTCCGCAAATAAATCGGACTAATTGATATCGATACTTGGCTAATGATGTTAATTTACCTTTCAAAGTTTCATTTGGTTTACCATTAAAGGGTAAGTTAACTGTCAATTGATTCTCAGGGTTGGAAGTTAATTGTCTTTCCAATTCTGATGCTGATCTTTGGTTAACCATATCTGGTTGATCGATCGGTTGACCACCACCACTAATCACCTGGTTCTGGGGCTGGTCACCGGAAACGATTCGATCTGATTCTTCAAGCTCATCGTGGGTCGAAACGCAAAGTAACACCTTCAATATGTTGGTGAATCCAAGACGAAATCGAGTTGACATTAGGACATAAATGAACGGATTAACGGAGGAATTAAGGAAAGCGAATAAGTTAATTGATAACATTGTGAAAAAGTAATTATGTTTATGCATGAAATTAACTTTCTGATATTGGGTTACAATTGTCACCAGAAAATAGGGTGTCCAAGAAATGGTAAATGCTAATACAACCACCAGAATCATCTTTGCAATCTAATAACAATTGTGAAAAGAGAAACAATTAAAAACAATTAGTGTTTCATGCTAATTACAATTATTAAATTTTCTCTTCAATCATTTTGTGATCTAATTCATTTGATTTGTATCATTTCAAGTTTGCAAATTGGAAACAATTAAAAGTGAACACAAAAACAAAAACAATGTCTAATCTAAATGAAAATGGTAATTACAATTTGTTAATTGTTAAGGTAATAATATTTTTCGGGTTTAATTGTTGGGTGGGTTGTTGTATCAACTATTTTAGATTAACGGGTCAATTACAAATGAAGTAAATTGTTATTGTTTTTAATTGTTAAAAGGAAAGTCAATAGATTGGACTAGTTAGATTATAATAGTTTATAAATTATCTTGATTTGATTTGGTTTTACCTTTTTTTTTAACTGTTAATACAATTGACCAACTGATTTAGTTCATGATCATGTTAACACATCAACAATTAAGATTATAAGAAATTATAAAAATGAATAAGGAAAAATATTCATGATTGATTACAATCAATAATACAATTAACCCTTTTCAACGATTTATATTCATTGTTAAGATTAATTGTGCTTCTGTTAATCATCAACAATTTAACAGATCAAAAGTAAATAATATCTTAATCAAATTGTCAAATGTTGATCAATTTAATGGTTACAACAATCAAATGAACAAAATATAAACTCAATCAACAAACTTGTATCGATTAACTTTAATTAAATTAGTTGTGGTTACAATCAATTAAAGTAATTTACATTGAATAGTCAATCAATTGGTTAATTAATTAGTCCAAAAATAAGATGATATAAACTAAATTAGTTGGGACAATTAAGATGAAAAATGATTAGGAAAATATTACCATTAATTTGGTAGGAAAAGTAATTAAAATTTTTCCGCAATTCTAATGGTTGATTAATGATTAGTGTATATGATTAATTAATCACAATCAACCAATAAAATAAATAATAATTGATCAGATGAGAAACAATTTAAATCATAAAAGCAAAGTTTAATTTCAATTGAAGGCTAAAACATTTCCAATTTACTAATTGTTATCTGATTATATAAATCAGGCAATCGGAAAGAAAGTGATTAAATAATATTTTAAATTGCTCTCCATCAATAGAGATTGTTGATTGTTAACTTTTGATTAGAATTTAATTCCACTGAAATTGAAAACTAACTTTAAATCCAATGTAAGTATTGATTTGATTCTGTAATCAAATCAACAATCAACAATCTGAATTAAAGTCAATCGATCAACTTTCAGATCATTTAGTTTACTTTGACTCTCTTTCTCTGACTTTAATTCAGTTCATCTACAATTAACTATTAATAGAAAATGATGATTAGTAGCAAGAAAATCCCTCGAAAATAATAACTAACTGAATTAATCAATAGATGATCAAGATAATTCTAGTCTTAGATATTTATAGTTACCTTACAATTGAATGATTATCAAGATAATCGTAAAACTAAATCAAAGAGAAGAAGTAAAAAAAATTAAAAGGACCCACAGAGGAAAAAGATGATCAAACTAAATCATCATTAAATTGTTCATCTAATTCCCTTAATCCATTGTAGATCAAGATAAAATAATCAATCTCAAGATGATTACCTAACCATTGATAGAGAGAAGGAAAAGTTTCCCATCCATCCGATGAAAGAATCAAATTAAAATAAGAATAGATTGATTATTCCAACTGATGGTGGATAGAACATGAGAAAAGAAAAGATCAACAATTAACATGATGAATGAACAACCGAATCAACGAAAAGAAACAAATAGTAAACAATCAACGAAAAATAATGATCAATATCATGTAATATTTAAAACTAAACAATGAGAGTAAAGTTTTGTCAGATTAATGAACAGAATTGGAATATATATAAATTCAATCATTAGTAATACAATATAATCAACAATCATCTGATTCGATTGATCTAATTACCTTTCGGTAATACAATATAATACAAATACTAATGCAAACAAGGATTGAGAAAAACATAATTTATCATCTGAATGGGAACCTCAAAGTTAAAAGGTATCCAAAAACCACCTTAACCTTAACCTTTACCACCACCACCACCACCACCACCATCATCATCATCATCATCATCATCATCAATATCACCACCATCATGAGCATCAATCCACCCACGATGTAAATGATACTTAAAACAATACAACCATTAAGTAAATATTAAGCTTAATATATATTGTTACATGTAAAGTGTTGGTGGTTGTGGATAAACAAAATGTTGGGTCTACATAAAGTGAATGGATAATACCCTGTATATGCTGGGCAAGTTGAATTATCACCAATTTTATGAGAAAATCAATTAGACGAAAATTTATCCTTATAATATCAATATAATAAATAATTCTAAATATATAATTAGAATGATAGTAAATGGTTGGAAAGGTTTTCTCAATTACGATTGTAAACTCAAGTATTAGATTGATATTATGATAGTTTACCTTGCGACGGTTTATTTCTTGTCGACGGAGAAGACCCTCTCTTTGGAGGATTGTTTGTTTGATTAAACATCGAGCAATTTGATAGCAGGTCCAACCAATTAAGATTAATGGTATCAGGTAAAAGAAAATGAATAGACAGGTATAATATTTACTTCGGAAGGAAGCGGAAAATTCAGTGAAACATGTAACCCTTTCGATGGTTCCAAGGTTGGAAGTCAATCTATTGGGTGTTGCTTTTGATGGCATAAGAAACGGGGTTGCGCTTATTAGAGGAATATACCAAACACCATGGAGAATTTTAATTGTTCGTGATTTAGATTGATGAATTCTACTTGTTAATGGATGAACAACGGCAAAATATCTGGAAAGAAAAAAGAAAACAATTCAAGTTAATCGACGTAAAAACGATCGTTAGGTTGTTGTTACTAATTCGTTGACGAAATTTAGGTTAAAATAGACATTGAAAGGACTATTTTCACAGAAATTGATTTCTAATCAATGGAAATTTAGAGTTAGAAAAAGAAATCAATTTAATTGAGATTTAATTGTTGCTCTTTTCAAGTGGAAATTTATTGATTTTCTATTAAATCTGATCAATTGCTTTTCAAGTGAATTCATGTTCACCTCTCTTATGGGAATTAAATTGTAACTATTAACCGGAACCAGAATTAATTGTTAATTGTGATAATAAATTCAACTCGATAATTTAACTTATCTAATTATCATAAATTATTGTTATATTTTCTGATGAAATTAACTAATTTATTTGATCATTTGGGTTGGTTATTTGGTCACTTTTAATTTGCTTTAATTATTTATTGCATCTTGTTTAGTTAACTGTGAGTTTAGGTAAATGATTAACTTATTAAATTGTGAATCGGCAACAATTAAACTATTTTGTTACTTTTAATGGTGAAAAAATTGTTTAATGATTTAAGGATTGACATTGAATATTTATTATAAAGCAAAAAAATTGACAATTAGTTGATTATGTTAGCAAAGGGAAGGAAAATTGTTAAAATTAAAATCTAATCGTAATCAACTAATCATAACTAATTTTAAATCAATTGAAATCATTACGAAATTCATATAAATATTCAACAATTTAGCTCAAGGAGAGATCAACAATTTAACTTTAATCGTTAATAATCAAATCACTTGAGTAAATATCAATATAAATACACCAACAACTTTTAAATTGTTACTTAATTGTTACCAAAATGAAAAAGTAAATAATTTATCCCAATCATCAAGATCAAGATCAACAATTAATCAACAATGAATTCAAGCAATTGATTAATTTCATTTGTATTTAGTAGTAAACACAATTAATTAACTTAATTTCCTTGATTATTTATTTTCAACACCACTAATTATCATTAAAATTAATCAATGAACAATTAAGCAAACTAATTATTAATCAATGATGAACATGTGAGTTTAAATTATGAAATTAAAAAAGCAAATAAGTTAATCAACTTGATAACAAGTAATCAATTTGAATTTTAATCATCAAAAATTGTTACAGTTAATTAATCAAAATTAATCAACAGTTAATCAAAACCGTTACATTGATTATAACCAATAAAACATTGATCTTAAAAGTGATTAATTAATCAAGGTAATCAAAGATTTCACCTACACAGATATACAAAAATTACCTTAATTATTAATGATTAAACTATTGAATGTCAACAATTAAATGATTCAACTTTCAATTTGATAAATTAATCAATTGGCTATTTGTTAATCCAATTGTTGATTTATCTTTTCATCAAACAACAACAATTTAAATCAATCCCAAGAGCAGCTAATTGTGATTGATTGTAATTAATTCATCATGTTAATATATAGATTATGATTAATGTTAATTCAATTCTGTCAACTGAATCAATTGTTACATTGAATCAAATTAAAAATCTCAGCCAGTTAATCAATGACAATTAACTTTGATTCAGCACTTTAAAATTGTATCACATTGATTATTATAAATTACGTTTTGATAATAATCATCACCCACTCAGTGAACTAAATTAAATTAAGATGAAAAAAAAACTCCTTGAATTAAATTGTTGAGATTGACAAAAATGTCAACTAATAATTAAGATGGAGTAAGAAAAAAGTTAATTACAATAACAATTAAATTGAAGTAATCAGCAGAAATCAAATAATATTATTAACGATACACAATTCTAGCCATTAATTGCTATCAAAATGAAATGATTAACAACAATTAAAAGATGACGATGAGAAACCATATTAGTCCAATTAAACGTTTTGATTGTTAAAGTTAATCAACAAATGATTATCATGATAATCAATATGAAATTCAATGAAAGATAATTAATTAAATTGTTATTAAAATATCAATATGATTAACTCATGATAACCATGTTATTATTATTACAATCAACTAATCCAGTTATTTGGAAGCAAATTTATTAAATTTATCAAATTATTCATGAATAAGTTTCTGTTAAATTATTTAAGCTTTGACAGAATCTAATTATTAATGGTGATATTAAATTGTTGAGATGATTTAATCAAGGTTATCAAAATTGTTACTTAATATCAAAGATGATATTTTATTATTATATTGATGTTATTAAACTTTGTCATGTTTATTGTCACTTAAATTGTTGTCAAATTGTGATCAATGTCTTCGGGCAATGTTTAACCTTTAAATCAACAATTAACCATTTTGAGATTGGTTAAATTGTTCAACAATCAATTGCCTTTGAGAATCAAGACTCACATTGATTATTTAATATTATAGTTAATTGTGTAAGAGACTTGACAAGAACTCTAAAGGGTCGGATCTTCTTAATTAATTCCACTCTTCATTGAGTAACAAATAACAATTAATTATTTACCCAATTTTAATTTATTGATATAAATATTCTGGCGTATGTAACAATTAAAGGTTTCATAGGAAAACGTGTAGATTAGTAATAAGAGAAACAGTAAAGATGGGACTAACTGTAGTTAATTATACGTGGGTGAGTGACTGAGGATCAAGTAATTGATACTGAGTGATCAATGATGATAATGATGATGAAGTATTTAAGGAGTTTGCAAAGGAAACGGAAATACTGTAATGTATTGCACAATAATAATAACATGATTAAAAAGGGGAAAGAGAGAGTTGATTTGTATGGCAAAGAATGACAAAATAAGGTTAAGAGGGAACATTATGAGTTACACCCCTTACAGAGCCCCGAACTAAAGCGGCTCGTCGACTCTTGATCGGGTTGACAGTCGTCTAAACGGACGAAGAAGTTCCCGATTAAAGGTATACGGAGGAGGAAGGGAATTAACAGTTTTGATAGGAAAAATAAAATCCGAAAATTGGTATTTGGTTAATTCAGTTGCTTCCTCTTTCTTTGCTTTTGTCATATATGGATGAAGTTTTAATTGTAAAGGCCAATCCTCGATCTCTTCCATAACTGCGTGCAATAAAACGGCCATATTCATATTTTTTGGGTAGTTATATTGTAAATAACCATTTACTCTTCGAGTACCATTGCCATGGACTAAATTGTCTTCTCGGACGAATTCAATTTTCTTATAATCCAATAAATAACTGTACATGGTGAAAGCGGCATCAATGATTGGTGAGTGCTCTTTCTCTTGGATAATTGTGTTGAGAAGTAAAAATGAAATGTATTTAAGTCCAAGGGCTTCATCTGGTTTTGCGCGACATGAATAATATGATGAGACGCAAATAATTTTTGGTAAAAGTTCCAAATGATCAGATGGAGAGATGAATAAATTTACAAAATCAACTGTTTGATTTGAAACAATAATTCTGTCGTAACGACGAAGAACAGCAATAGCTTCTGCTCGAATTTGCTTAAACTTTGGTGCATCTTTTAACTCTTGCCAAGTTAGTCCATGAAATCGAGTATTGAAATCGAAGACTGAAGATTTAGGATGTCGACCAAATTCATTGTAAACAACATTACCAGAGGCATCAACAATTGAGATCCAACATGGGGCATGTCTAATTTTTCCATCTTTCATGTTGATTTGAATTGATTCAGTGTCAATGGCACAACATTTAATATTTTGATTGTCCAAATCAACGGCAGCTTGAGTGATAGTTTCGACTAAATGTTTTGGAGGTAACATGTGATGAATCGATTTCATTGAAATTGCATGTTTGAGATTTAAATATTTTCTATTTCTTTGGCTTCGTTTATAATCGTAAACTTTGACTTTGTTTTTCGATCGCCATCTCCAATGTCGTGCGTCTTTTGCAGTTTTAAAACTTTCACGGCTTTTTGGTTGAGGACATGGAGTCATCGATGGATTATAACCATCGGCATCAGGAATATCAGGAATTACTGGTAATTTAAATGGTTGTGGTAATTGTTGATCAGGCCAAATGATAGGTTCTGGTGTTGAATGATGAGCAGGATGAACATATGGTATAATGTATTTAACTGGTTTAATGATTGGTTCAGTTGTTTTGTAATTATAAATTGATTTTTCAATCGATGGATTAATTTGTTGAGATCGGTTTCGATCGATCGATTGATAGATTGATTTTGATGAGTTTGAAGATTGATCATCTCTTGAACGATGTAAATCATTTTGACGATGGACCTCGATCGATCGATCGATAGTCTGAGGAATTGTTGATGGTTTTGCAGGTTGATTAATATTTGGTTGTTGATTTGAACGATAACGGATGTCGGAGGAGGAATAAACAATATTAGGAACATCAGGAGCATTAACATAAGTTGCATTTGCTTTTTGTCTCTGTTTTCTGAGCTTTTCTTTTTCTCTTTTCTTAGCTCTTTTAATTGCATCAAATTCACTGATTGTCTTTGAAACTGATTCAAGATCTTTCTTATATTGATCTTTTTCTTCTGTAGTCCAATATAAAGGTAAATTATCTGATGATGATGATGATGAAAGTTTTGAAGATTTGTTGGTGATGGTTGTTGAGTGTGATGGTTGAGATGGTTGAGGTAGAGTGAACGACGACGAGGATGAGAAAGGTGAAGGAGAAGGTGGATTTGATTTCTTCGGATCAGATGTGATAACTGAGAAAGGTGAATTTCTTTTTAATCCATATTCTTCTCGGGTTTTCTCGATATCAGCAAAGATTTCGTCAATATCAGCTATCGATTCGGTATACCGATTGTGATACAATTGAATGAGCTCTAACTGACGTTCTTTGATGGGATCATTTGTTTTGTTCAATACGGTCGAGAAATGAATTGTATTGTACTCGTCAGGAAATAAAGGTTCAACTGGATTAGTAAATATCTCACCAAGATTATCAGTGTTAACACGATAATCGCCATTAATTGTACATGAGTTTATATGATTACATGTTTCAACATAATCACCAATGAATTTACAATCAATGTAAATACATTTAACTTTCTTAATCTTTAGACAAAATCTAACAGTTTCATCAAGTTTAACCAAATGGACTGGATTATTTTCGAATGAGCAATCAGGATTGAGACAAATAAAGTTTTCCTTGTTCGTAGTTAATAGTTTTCGATCCGTTATAATTGGTAGATTTAGTAGACATTTTCGAATCAAGACCAGGTAATAGGCACAATGACCACAATAAGCTGACTCACATCGTGAACATCCAATTCCAAATCTTGCCATTTGACAACATAAGAGACAAGTTTCTCTTTGTTCAACATCGATGTTATTTGCATCGATAAGACCAGGCGCGGGTATTACTTTAGTTTCCACAACCTTGAAGATTCGTTCATTAACATTAACTCTTTTGAGTATTTTTTCTCTTATTAAATCTTTAAATAAGGCAACCGGATATCTGCTTATACCATTTCCTTCAGATGATTTATATTGAGATGATAAAAACTCTGGCATGATGATTGAGATCGATGAGTTGAACTCGGTGATCGAGTGATCGATGATGGACTGTGACCGATCGGTCTTAGTCTATTAAACGATTGATTGACGGAATAAAGTTGATCAGATCACTACAAATAAATTGGTCTCTAATCACCAATGTTAATTAAAATGTTCTTATTGATTAAAACACCTAAACAATAAGTTTCACAAGCAATAATCTGATGACTCAAATGATGAGAAAGAGAAGGAAGATTCAAACAATTGGACTTGGACCGATCGGTCCTAAGTCTTATTGATGAGATAAATTGTTGTTGAGACACAAATGTTTCAATTAATTGAAACAATTAAAGAAAAATAATTGAATAAAAGAGAGAGAAAATTCAAATTATATTTATACTAAAAGAGTGAGAGAGAGAGAAAAAAAATGTGACTCTTTGGTCAACAGTTAAAACGGAAATGGAAATGAAAGGGTAACTATGGCACTTTAGAAAATTAATTGGCCAATGGGAGAGCAGCTTAAAGAGAATAGAACAAAAGATGTTCTTTTTAGAATAAAACAAAGGAAGAAGAGGGAAAGTGATTAGAATAAGATTAGATTTTTGATCAAAGACCGATCGGTCTTGATTAATTATCTTATTTTAATTAAATTTGATTTCTAATCATTTAAATTGTGATTAACTCGTTTATAAACATTTAATTGATTATGTTTAGTATCGTTTAAATTTGTCTAAATCTAATTTAATTAGTATTCTAAATAAGAATAAGTGTTTCAAGATTTGCTTTTTCTTCAGCTTAAAATAGTTTTAAATGAAACAATTTAGATTAATTTTCTTTTGTTTTAATCTTTTTCTTCCCTAATTAATTCAATTGAAGACAATTTGTGCGTTAATTAGAAATTTACCTTTACCTTGTTAATTAAGATCTGAAAGCTTCGATCGATCGATCGCTTGGCTTTCAGTCTTTGCCTGTTGAAAAATCAAAAATTAGTGAACCATCCATAGAGTTTAAATCAATCGATCGAAAGATAGAATTAGATTAGAATCACACATAGATTAGTTTCTTTATCAAATTGGTTTATTTTAATGAATTAAACTGTTGAAGAGAATCATGAAAATGAATTGAATTAAAATGAATTTATTGGAAAAGAGGACCTAATCCTGGATTTTCTGAAGTGTCTTCATCAGTGGAAGTATCTGTTGTGTCAGAAGATGAAATTTGTTCTCTAACAGGAGTTTCATTTGAAACATAATTATTATTCTTGAGGAAGGTGAAGAGAGCATCGTCAGCAGTTCTAAGACCTGAGGTATCGATATAAGACCAATTTTGAAAAAGATCTTTTTCCGCTAAATCCTCAATAGATTGAAATCGCTTTTTCTTTTTCAATATCTGCAGAGTTTTCACAACTGTTTTCCTAGCAGCAGTATTTTTCTTTATGTGAAGAAGTTCACGTTTGGTTCTTCTAATAAGAGACTGAAGCTCAGCAATTTGTTTAACTCTTCTCATGACGATGGATTTGTTTAAATTGATGTTGATCAAATGACCACGAATTTCCTCATTAGCGCTGAAACTTTCGCTTTGATTAAATGGATTAGGAACTGACATGTTTTCAATGATGACACTGGATGAAGAATCTCTTCTATTTTCACTATTCATAAGAAACTGAATTGAGTTAACTGGTTAACTAATTGTGAAAGAAGCGGGAGAAACTTAGTTTTCTTAAATCGGTCGATCTAACTGAAAACTTAGTGTGACGGTAAGCAAGTGAAATGGATCTACTTGGTAATTTGACTTTATACTAATTCTGTTCTTTGTATCTTTCAGGTTGATTTAGTTGAGCTTTTGGATCGATCGATCCAAGCTTGACTGAATTATGAAAATTTGTGGATGATGGTGATTCAAGTAAAAGGAAATTATTTTACGAAAACTAAAGGCAATTGGAACAATGAATGGAATCAATTAAAATTTTCTATTAAGAAAATCAAAGGTGTGAAAGGTTAAGACTTCTAACCGATCGGTTAAAGTCTTAAAATGTCTTCGCTAGGGGGAGTTAGATTTGACAAGACTTGAGTTCGATTGAACTTGGTCGAGTTGTAATTAATTTTTTCAAATTAATTAATAGATTTAATTTACAATTATGAAAATAATTGAAAATTCTTCCTCATTCTTTTTGTTTAAAATGTTAATTATTGACTTGAATTTAGTTTAAATTGATCGATTGCTTGCTCTGAATTGCTTACTGATTCTGTTACTTTCTCTCTAGACGATTTAGGATACGTTTTAATCTCTTGAAATTTACTATTTCTGTCTCTTGTGTTAACGTGTCTATTATTTTAGCACAACTATCTTTAACATCAATAATTATATATCTACCCTTGAATTTAGGAGTTAACTTTTTTCCTACCTTAAGATCGGGTGCTTCAATTGACTTTTTAACAAACTCTCCGACTTTAAAAGGTGGTGCTTTGATTGGTGTTTTTGACAATCTTTCCTCTTGATTCTTGATGATGGAAAGTTTAACTTCTTCTCTTGTTTGATTAATATCGTTGCTTGGATGACTATTTGAGGGTAGATCAAGTTGATTTTCAACTGGAATGCGTGGATTTAAATTGAAGAGAAGTTGATAAGGTGATGCTTTTAATGATTCTTTTGGTGTTGAATTATATGAAAGGATGATTGAAGGTATTTCTTTATCCCAATCTCTTTTGTTGAGAGTGTACATGTTAATTCTCGTTCCGAGAATTCCATTTAATCTTTCAACTGCTCCTTGACTTTGAGGACGAAATGCAGTTGAGAATATATGTTTAATTCCTTTTTCTTTCATATATTCTTTAGTAAATTTATGAACGAAACATCCACCATTATCTGTTTGTATAACTTCGGGGAAACCAACGAATTGAGTAATGTAATCGAGGAAATGAATAAACTCTCTATGAGTTTGATTACGATAAGCTTTAGCAAAGCAAAATTTTGTGAGATAATCAATACAGGTAAACAAGACTTTGTTTTGTTTAGATGATGCAGGAAAAGGGCCAACTACATCAATTTGAATTCTTTGTAGCGGTTTATCGGGAATGGGCATCATTCTGGGTCTCTCGTCATTTGTTGTTTTATGTTTATAACTTAAACATGTTTCACATGTCGAGCATTTTTCTCTGATGAAACTTTCCATTAGAGGAAACCAAAACTGTTCTTTAATCCTCCTTAAAGTAGGTCTGAACCCATAGTGACCTCCAAGTGGTTCATCATGGTAAGCGTTGAAGACTCGATCTTTTAATGACTCAGGAAGAACAATCGCAATTTTTTGTTCTTTTCTTCTTCTGTAGATTATTCCTTGTCTCTCGATGAATTTGTTGGTTAACTTATTCTCTTTTAATTGTTGTTTAACTTGTTGGCAGAAATTGTCTTCACTTTGAGCTTGTTTAATATCTTTTTCTCCTTTGGAGAGAACTGGTTTCTTCGCAGTAAGAATGAATTTTTCAATTGTTGTGAAGTTGAATAAATCAGGATTACCAGTTTGTTGAGCAATTTCTTTGGAAATTTGTTTCGCCAACAGAACAAATTTTAATTTGTTATCATTAAGCTCATTAGTTTCGATTGCCAGGATGTCATCGTCGTCACAATGTTCATCTAATTTTATTTGTTGAGTTGACCAGCTACTATTGTAATACTATTGTATAAGCAAGTTGATGCTTGGCTAATTTTTTACCGAAATAACTAACTGGTCTCCAATTTCCGTCTTCTAATTGGAGTAACATTCCACCCACGGCGATGGAACTTGCGTCTACCATTAGTTTATGTTCTTTGTGAGGGTCGAATTGACATAATTCGCAATCTTTTATCAGGGCTTCTTTTATTTGTTTCCATATCGCTGTATGTTTAGGAAGCCATTTAAATTTACCGTTCCTTTTGGAACAAAGAGCAAATAGATCTGAAGCGAGAGTGGCGTAATTTGGGATGAATTTTGCTAAGTAGTTGAAGAGTCCAAGTTGAGACTGTAGGGCTTTAATATCTCGAGGAGGCTCAAATTGTTTGAGTCTTTCGACCTTGCTAGGGTCTGGACGAATATAAGTTCCGGAAATAATGTGTCCAAGGAACTTTACTTCTTTGTGGCCAAACTGAGATTTAGCTAATTGTATTTTCAGTCCATATTGAGATAACCTATCGAATACTTTCTTAGCGTTGATGAGTAAATCATTAAATGTTTTTCCAAATATAATTACGTCGTCTATATAAGCAAGACAGCTCTTGTACAGCATATCACCTAGAATTCTGTTAACAAATTCTTGAAAGTAAGCAGGAGAATCGGCCAATCCCATCGGTAATCTTTTATAACGGTATAAACCGACTTCAGTAACAAACGACACTTTATCTCGTTCAGAAGGTCTCAAAACAATTTGATGAAACCCTTGGGCAAGATCGATAGTGATGAAATAGTTGTATCCATTTAGCGCCTGTATTTGGTCATCAACATTAGGCATGGGGTATTGTCGAGTTCGACACAATGCGTTTAACTCTTGAAAAGAGGTAACCAATCGCCAACTACCGTTTGGTTTCGGAACAAGGAAAGCAGGGGAACCACCACGAGAATTAGAGGGTTCGATAATATCGTTATCTAACAGCTCTTTGATTTTCGCGTCGAGTATCTCTCGCTTCTTTGGACCTAGACGATATGGTCTACATTGAGGAACAGGATTTAGTCCAATGTCAATCTTGATGTCCACGATATCAGGTGAAACGGCGCCTAAATCATACTTGTGACGACTGAAGATGTTCTGATTATCTGTGAGAAAGTCTTTCATTGCTTTCTGTTCGGCTGTAGTTAAATCTTTCGAGATTCCTTTTCTTATTTCTTGCTGAAAATCTAAAATTGCTTCAGGAAATTCTTCTCTTCTCTGATCTATCTTTCTTTTGATGATTTGTTTATCGTAATCGACTTCAGAGATGTGATTTGCCATCATGGCCCAGAATTGAGGTGGTGGATCAGGTTCATCAAGTGAGACCGCTCGGACTCCGTTCGATGCCTGTCCATCAACTGCAATTTGATGATGGGTGTGGATTTGAGAAGATGATGATGTTGGTGTTGATGAAGGGCTCGGATGAAAAACAGATTTGTTTTCCGAAAATACGAGGAAAAGCTTGGTTAAATAAATAGTTCCATGTTGAAGGTCCAGGTATGCGCATTGATACTTTCATTGGTTCACCATGACGTTGTATCACAAATTGACCTTGAGGAGCAGAGAGAATCGATGTTGAAGTAAGGAACATGAAATTGTGTCCCAGTATCATATCGTAGAGCAGATCGTCGAATACATATAATCGAATTGATCCTTTAAAATAATCAGGCCAAACTTTTACGTAGATTTGAGTAACACCAATACACGGTTTGGGTTTTGAATTACCATGTAAACCGAAAAAATTGATTGGTTTATAATAAACCTTTAAATTGAGACGATCGGCGATATCTTTTTTGATTAAAGATGTACCAGCGCCTGAGTCTACCATTGCTCTTAATTGTTTAATATTTGGATTATCTTCGATCGAAATATTAATTAACGGGTCGGTAGGATTACCTTGATGAGCAGCGGAGTTTCCCATATGGAAATGCGATTGAACGTTTGAAGCTGATGAATTATCACGATTTGAAGCGTTACAATCATTTGTGACATGGTCACTTTTGCCACATTTTTCACATTTAGTGTCAGTACCGTTGTTGTTTGTATTGTAGTTTCTTTTACTTGAGGAACGTTGTCTTTGTTGATAATTAGAGTTGCGATTGTTGTTTCTTTGTTGATTTGATCTCCTTTGCGCTTGATTGTCATTGTTGGTGTTGTTTGTTGATGGGGGAGAGTTTGTCGAAGTCGTTGAAGTACCTTGGGGTCTAGAAGCGTTATTAGACTTAGAAAAGAGTCTTCTACTATTTGTAGGAGACGGAAAGGTTTCATTACTTTTGACAGGGGAATCATTCCATTTAGACATTTGTTCACCAATTTGATCAATTGTTTCGTAGCTACTATCATGAGATAATTTGAATCTAAGCTTAGGAGGAAGGGTAAAAACAATACACAAGGCGATTGATCTTTCATCTATCTTAGGGTTAATTGTTCGGGCTAAAGCTTTGAACTTCTCGATGTATTTAATAACATCAGTTCCTTTTTTGAACTCTGAATTATAAAATTCTGACAAAGCTTTTGATTTTTCTTGCTTACCGATGTAAGTTGATCGAAGACGGGAACAAAGATCTTTAAATGAGATCTTCCGATCCTCTTCTATCCACTTTCTCAGCGAAGCATTCATATGTTGAGGTAAATTTACACCTAAAGCACGAATACTATCCTTATTATTCAGATCTTTCCAAAAGATTTTATTTTCAATTTCATTTAACCAAGTGTTCAAACTGAGGTTTGAATTGGCGAAGGGAAATTGAATTGTTTCCCAGGATAAACAAGCGTTAGTAATAACAACTGGTTTTTCCTTAGGTTTTCTACTTGACCTTGTCCTAACCCTGTTAAGCGGAATTGAATCTATTTCAGATTCTGACTCAGAATTGAAGAAATTGGGTTCAGGATTCTCTTCTTCATCATCTTCTTCTTCACTAGAGAAATCTTCAAAAACGCTATTAGATGGTTCAACCAATTTAAGATAAATTTTCCTTTGATCAGGAAGAAATTCTGTTAAATCTGAAGCACAAAGTGTCTTACCTCTGAAAGCTTGAGCTTTAATTAGAAGCTGAATATGTTTTTCAGTCATACCTGCAGATCTAAGTTGTTTCATTAGGGTTGGGCATTCCAACCATTTTTCGTTGAATAAGGTATCTTTTTTGAAATCACTTTTATCTTTAATGGCTTCGTGATGAAGAGCCATCGAGATTATTGCTTGATTCACTCTTTTTGCGAGGATATTAGGTTTTGAGTCAGCGGGTATACCGACTGCTCGTTGAAAGATGATCTTGTTGGCGTCATTTGAGGCCCAATCTACTGCAGTGATCTGATGAGACATTGTGGTATTGACAACAAGAGTGTGAGTGCTGTTGGTTGATGAATACGATGAAGATGATGGTGATGTTGGAAGAGCAAGTTGTTGTGTTGGAGGAAAAATAGACTCTAATAACTGTTGATTAGATTGTTCGGAGAGATCAAGGATTTGTTCTGAAGATGATGTTGGATCAGTTAATGATGTTGGATCAGACATAAAGTTATTTTATCACAAGACACAATTTACAAAAGCTTAAAGCTTAATTAACAAACGGTATGAATTTGAACTATCACCACGTTGAAAACACGTTTCCAAATAGACACAGAGGAAAAAGGAAAAGGAAATTGACCCAAAGCGATCGCTCTGTAGTCTATAGGTAGTAACAATGAAGGGAGGGGGAAAAAACAAGAACCGGCATCTCCACCATTTGTAAGAGACTTGACAAGAACTCTAAAGGGTCGGATCTTCTTAATTAATTCCACTCTTCATTGAGTAACAAATAACAATTAATTATTTACCCAATTTTAATTTATTGATATAAATATTCTGGCGTATGTAACAATTAAAGGTTTCATAGGAAAACGTGTAGATTAGTAATAAAGAGGAAACAGTAAAGATGGGACTAACTGTAGTTAATTATACGTGGGGTGAGAAGTGACTGAGGATCAAGTAATTGATACTGAGTGATCAATGATGATAAGGATGATGAAGTATTTAAGGAGTTTGCAAAGGAAACGGAAATACTGTAATGTATTGCACAATAATAATAACATGATTAAAAAGGGGAAAGAGAGAGTTGATTTGTATGGCAAAGAATGACAAAATAAGGTTAAGAGGGAACATTATGAGTTACACCCCTTACAATTGTAAATTGTTACCATTTATTTTTTTTCCAACCTTAATCATAATCAATTATTATATACTTAATTACATTGATTTGATAGGTTAATTGTTTGGAAAATGTTTAATCATTATGAATGTAAACTGATCATTATCATTGGCAGGGATTGATATTTAATTATGATTAATAAAATCAATGTAAACATTGGAGTTGATTAATTTTCATTATCATTATTAGTTTAATTATCCCAAGGTAATCAAGCTTTTCTCACAGTTAATATTTGATATTCCAACTAATCAACTAATTAATTGTTATTCTACTCATCATTATCATCTACCAGTTAATTGATATTTAGAAATTGTGTTAACCTTTAACAATTAAGTTTCCATGGTAACAAATCAAAAAGTTACGAATTTTTTTCTCGAACTTGGAATTTTTTTTCGTCAATCAATATTAATATAAGAAGTTGATTCAACCCTTAATTGTTGGTAATTGTCAAAGGTTAATCAACTCTTTCGAGAGATTTGTTTTCAATTAAATATCAACAATTTAATTTCACTCTACAATAATCAACAACTTGGTTAAAGGTTATCAATGTTTGGGTGAAAGTTAATTGTAATTAAAGTTGATTATTAGAGGGGGAAGATTATTTTTCAGTTAATTTATTGATCATTAAGTTGATTGTGAAGACAATTTGTTTATCATTTTAATCACAATTTATGATGAAAAACATGATTCCTGTCATTCAATTAGTTTTAATTAAATTTTCCTTCCGATGTTGATTGTAATTGTACAACAACAACAACATTTGATTGTCAATAAATGTAAATATATTGATTTGATTTGAATTTTTTGTTAACTCTGATGATCAAGAAATGATTAAGAAAAGTGATTAAAGTTTAGTTAGCAATTGAGTTAATGGTTTAAAAATGATCACAGTTATTAATTGTTAATCAAATTGTTTACATGTTACTCTGGTCTTGCTGTTTAAATTGTATTGCAATTAAAAATTGTTTATCTAGATTGTTGATCAATGTTGTTAAATTGGGTCACTAAATTGTAATAATTGGTTACTGTTAATATTGATTGTGTCTTCGTTGATTGTTGTTAAATTGTTTGACCAACCAGACTTAAAGTTAATCATAATAGTAAGACAATTGAAAATGTCAATCAAATTTGATTAATATTATTTCAGTCTAAGGATATTTAATTTTGATTATAATCTGTTAACTGTCAACTGGTTTTCATATATTAATATGAAAACAATTAAACCTAAACCACAATTAAATAATAATAATGCCAACGATTAAGAAAAATTGAACAGCAACAATTAACTTAATGATTTGAAAATGATCATGAAATTGAACCAAATTAAAAACATAAACTTAATCGTCTCATTGATTAGTAATAACATTTTGTTTTTGACAATCAAATTAATCAAAAACAATTAATTGGTACAAGATTTTTGTCAAGACGGTCACAATTATGACAGTTAATCAGTTAATCAGTTAATCAACCATAAGGTTGACAATTAAGACCATTAATCATATGTTTTCAATGTCAGAACAGAAAATTATTTAATCAACAACTAATAAGAAACATGTCACAACAATTTACTGATTGTGATTAAAGGGAATGGGAAAAGGTGCTAATCAATTAAATTTAATCATTATAAATGATAATCAACATGGAATCGCAATCAGTTAACTAATAATATGGATAATCAAATTTAGATGAAAATAACTTTCATCGTAATAATATTTATGATGATTAACAATTTAATCATTTGATCACCGGAACTAATAATAAACTGATGAAATGATGTAACAATATCATGATGATAAACTAATGGTGATCAATAAATTGTCAACAATTTAACGATTATACGAGTAATCAACAGTCTATGATGGCAGAACTAAATTAAATTTAATCATCACCATCATCTTTATGCTTAATCAAGCTGAAGATGATTGTTGAAACCTTTGTATCCATTTGATTGTCAGCAATTAGTTTGATTTTTTTTTATACTGTTGTTGATATCAACAAGGTCAATGAATTGATTGAATGTAATTGTTGACCAAATCGAGTCAAAAATCTGTTTCTTAATCAGTGTCAATGAACAATAATCAGTTAATCATATTAATTATAATAATACAATCTAAATACAAATCAGCTGATTAACCAGTAAATCGTAATAGCAACAATTTAAATAACTAAAGTGTCAAAATTATGATAGTGATTAATCAAAATTATCTCATGAAAGTTAAAATTCATTCACACCAAAAGTGTCCGATTAAAAAAGTTAATCAAGTAAGTGATTAGTGAATTGTAAATAATGAAAACATTGGGAAAAGGGTTAATTGTTGAGGATAAGTAAGTGATTGATTTAATTACCTTTCAAAACAAATCGCCACCAATGTTAATACACTGGTGAATACGATGACCGTTTGAAGGTAAAGCAAAGCAGTGCAAAGGTCATCGTTGAGAATTGACCATGATGGTGGAGCAATTAACTCAATTAGCTTAATTGGTGCGACGAAAAATCCAACCAGAGAGTCACAAATTGCTAAATTAACAATATAATAATTAACAACCGTTTGCATCTTACGATTAAAAATAACGGTTCCGATTACAATTAAATTGCCAACCAGTGAAAAAATGATCACAATTAAATAGAGGATGATGAATATTGAACAAATCAAATTAATCTGAGTGAAATCAAGATATTCAGGATCTGTGATTATCGTTGAATTTGATTCATCACTTTGATTATATTCAATAAAAAGGTTTTCATTGATTTGTTCATTAGAGTTAATTTGATTATCATCATTTTCACTAATCACTTGAGAATCAGTTGTTAAGTAATTGTAAGAAGTTGTGTTGATTATTAAATTGATTAATCCATTGGTAGTTAAAGTTGCTGGTTTTGTTGTTGTTGATTGGATTTTAATTGTTACGCTTGTTGGAAAAGTTAAATTTCTGTTAATCATTTGAATCTTTGGGCAAAATTAATCACTAAATGATTAAGAAACTGCGTTTAAATTGTTAGTTGATGATCAACATGATAATGAGAACGATGATGAGGATGATTATCGACTGAACGATTTACTGAACATCATTGAACTGAGAATTTATATTTTCCTTCTCGAATTGAGTCGATGCTTAGAACTTTTTTTTCTCTCTCACTTTCGAGCAAACTCTTAGTTAGAACTTTTTTCGGTGGAATTTTTTTTTCTTCCTCATGATTATTACATGAATTCTTATGAAAAGGAAACTGTTGATTTTCTTGAACATCATATCGAACTTATGATTCTATGTTTACTTTTATAATGTTTAGAACTTTTTTCTCTTGTTTTTTTCTTCATTTTTTTCGAAAACGGAAATTCGAGGAAAAGTTAAGAACTTTTCTTGTAAAAAAGAGGAAAAATTGGGAAAATAAACAGTTGATCAGATTGATTGTTGTGAAATGAAATTATTGATTTATTAATGATACTAATAATGATAATTGGTTATAATTAAACAAATTGCATTTTGAAATCTGAGTTTGTTGTTTTGTGTTTTTTTTTGTTGGTGTTTTATTTGTGTGTGACATTTACCAAGCGGTAGCGTAAGGGGCAGCGTAACCATGGGCTGCGAATGGGGCGTAAGCGTATGGGGCAGCGGGGATGGCAGTAAGAGCTTGGTGTTTGGTGATGGTGGCAACTGGAACTGAGGTTGGCACGTATCCATTTCGGACTATTGATGGACCTTCTTGGTAGGTGGTGTATCCAGGTCGGGTAACTGTGTATTGGGCAACAGCGGGAATGGCATAGGTGGCACCTAAAGATACACAAATAAAGATGATGATGATGAGAATGATGAGAATGATGATTGATGGTCAGTTTGATGTAAACAAGAGCACAGACACAAGGAAAGGGAGTGAATGAGGATGAGGGTTTAGGTGGGATCACTTTTGGTCACAAGGTGGAGGTCAGTTGGTGGGAGGTTTACATACCTGGAGTTGACCAGTCTGATCGGGTGAATCGTGATTCTGGGACATTGAAAGCGTGTTGGGTGATTCCGGTTTTAACTACTGTTGGAATTGAAACTGGAGCTTGAGCGACACCAGTAACGATGGCGGCGGCTGGAGCGTGGATGTAGCTACCGTAGGCAACTGAGAAGAGAACTGCGAAAATGATCTGAGAATTGGGAAGAGAAACAAGATGAAAAGAAGATAAATTAACAGCACAATTTAGATGATTAAAGAAATTAACAAATATCAATTGAAATATTAATTTACCATTGATTGCATGTTGAGTTTTGTTTGTGTTTGTTGATTTCTCGTTGAAATGAAAATGAAAAGTTTTTTTGTCTATTTGTTTTACTCTTGGGATAACCGCTAATCCGAATGGCCTGAGAATCCAACTAACGCTACTTTATATACTGATCGGCCTGTGTCCACACCCATGTCCATTCGTTAGTATTTTTCACAAGGTCAACTCCATCCCTCTCACTCACTCACTTTTACTCTCTTACATCAGATTCTTGATATTAACTTTGATACTTTTAATTTCTTTCCTTTTTCAAAGGGAATTGGAAAAAGAAAGAGAAAATTCTGAACACCTCCTCCCAATCATCTCTTTCTTTTCTTCTTCTTCTTTCCTTACTATTTTCCCTTTTAGATGCGAAACACGAGCAAAGAAAGAGAAAGAAAGAGATGAGGATGATAAAGAGATGAAAAAAGAGAAAGTATCAGTGAGAGAGAAAGAGAGAGAGAGAGAGAGAGAGAGAGAGAGAAATTCGAGGGTGGGGATAAGTGAGCAAAAGTGAGAGAAGAAGATCAAGATGAAAGGATGATGATGAAAACGAACTCAATCATTTTATCTTCTTCCTCTTTCTTTTTTTTCTCTCTCTCTCTCTTCTCCATCTTCATCTATTCTTTCTTCTCTATCTTTCTCTTTTTCTTTTCATCATCTCAAAAATCTGAATAAGAAAGAGAAACCGAAAGAACCGAAAAATTCCAGGTCAATATCATTTTTTTTCTGTAGATGAACAACTTTTCCTGCCACTTCGATAGCCGAACTCATTGGGCTTCGCTCGAGGTCATTCAGGGTGAACCGAGCCTTTCAATCCTATTTTTCATCCTCCTCTTCACCATTATCATCAATTTTGCATCAGAAAAATAAGAAAAAAAAACTCGTTTCAATTTAAGGCGAAATAGGAAGAAGATGAAAAAAGACGAAAATCGAAAGGAAAATTAAATTTTCGAACGTAAGAAAAAGCCTTCGTTCTAACGATCGCTTTTTCCCTCTCAATCATCTCTTTCTTTTCTTGATCTACATCTTTCTTATCATCATTTAGCTCTTTCTCTTCATCATCTTTCTCTTTCTCTTTCTCTTTCTCTTTCTTCATCATCCTTCCTCACTCCACCTTAATCTAATCAAAAACAACTAAATCATTGCAAAATCTGCACCATTTTTGGTTAACTAATTAACTAATCACTATCATTCCAAATCAATGATGTTAATCAACTAAATCATCATCAAAAATTATAAACTAATCATCAAACTAAATCATAATTGTCATCCTTGTCCACCTTCAACTCCAAGCAACAAAATTTCATCCACAAAATTGACTTAATTTAAATCGACTGTCAAACAATTAAAGCAAATTTTTTCGTACAAATTTTGATTAATTGATATTAGATAAATTGTATGGTGCTATTACCTTAATCGTGGATTAGTTAGTGCGTCATAAAGACCCTGAGAAAACCCTCACGAGTTAATGTTCAATTTTCCATTTTGACGTAACAATTAACAGACAAACAATTTAAACGAGACACGAGTTTCTAATAGTAATACAATTAACTATTCACACAATTAAAACCCTTCACAATCCCAGTCTCTCTCTCTCTCTCTCATCCAACATAATCTATTATCATAATCATTAGTATCATTACCCCAACGATCAACGTACACAATCATAATAACAACAAAGCTACACTCAAATAATCATAATTAACCCTCGGGCAATTAAATTCCAGCCTTTAACTATCCAACTAACTAACTACAAACCTAATCTGTAACTAGATTTTTTTTATATTCAAAATCAGGGTTTTTTCAATTTCATCAGAAGCCCAGAGTGACCAACGCCCAGTTTGTATACACCCAATCAAATATCACAATATAATCATGCTAATAATTATAATCATCATCATCATCATCATCATCATCAGAATCAGAATCAGCATCGGCATCGGCATCAACAACAATCAATATATTAATCAGCCTAATCATAATATAGTCAAAACAATCAAGGTCAAGATTAAAAGTCACACATTTAAGATGAAAAATTAAATAAAAATTTAAATGATTTAAGATCTACTTGATTTGATTTGCGAAATCAAGATCTTGGGTTCAACTAATCCAACTTGGTGAATACACTTTGCGATTTAATCTTCCAATCAATTGATCTTTGGATCAATCGATTTCAGCTTCTAATCTCGGTTGGTGAATACGGGCCTTAAGATGAAAAATTAAACTTTTTCACTTCGGGATTAGTGTTAATTATAATCATTATTTTACTAGTTGGGATTACCATTCATGATTAAACCATCAATCTTGATCAAGAATTAAATTCATAGACTTTAATTGTTGATTTTTCCCAACAATTGAATCTTATTGTACTGATAATTAATTCAATTCGTTTAATAACAATCAAAGTTTTTTTTTCTCTCAATGGTTAAAACTTTTTCATCTAAAGGTTCACATTCATTTACATGATTGTGAAAGTTTTCACTTCACAATTTAAATTGTTAGATCGTTGATTGTTGTGATCAACAACAATCTGAATAGATTAACAAAAAATTAAAAGGTCAACTAATTGTTTGATTATTATAATTCAAACAATATTAATACCGTTAATCAATTGTGAATTTTAATTGTTCCTTGAGAGTTTTTTTTTCGAGGTAAATTGTTAATTCCTCCTCTGAATTTAAATACAAATTTCTTTCATATTTAACAATTAATTTTAACAACAATCTACTAATAGAGTTAATTTTAATTGTAATACGTTAATCATTCAATTAAACTTTAAGATGATATTTAGTAAATCATTTTAATTGACCTTCTTAATTATCATACTTGCAACTTGTTGATTATGAATTAAACTTTTTTCAAGTTTGATTTATCTTAATCACCAACAATCAACACCTATTGTTATTATCAACCTGTTAAAAGTAATCAAGTTAATCATCATCATTAACATGATCATCAACAAGGTGTATTAATATATTGAGTTAATCAGAGACAAGGTCATCACAATCAAATTTGATTGTCATTAATTGTGTGTGTGTGTATGTAAATTAACAATCAGTGTAAATGTAATTAACATTTTCATTGTTTTTTGATGAAAACTTTTATTAATCATTATGGTTTAGTGTTAATTAACACTTAACAACAATTTATTAACTAACATCATCGTCCAGTAACAATCAAAGGTTATTAAACAATTTAATTAGTGTTTAACAATTTAACCCAACAAGGTTGATTGTTACCATTAAATCAATTGATATTTTAATTAACTTTCAAAAGGTAAATTGTATCATTAATATTAGTTGATCAATTAACTAATTTCATCTTAATTGTTGTATTCAAATCAAAAGTTAATTGTGGTCAAAATTTGTTTTTTTTTGTTGTTGTTCAATAGTCAATTGTAATTACAATCATGATTACCACCAGTAATAGTAGTTAATTGTTAATTAAATTAAATTAGTTGCAGTTTTTTTTTATATTTAATGAAAAATAATCAAAGTGAAAATGAAAAAGTTTTTCAATTTTATCCTTAATTTAATTTTTTCGGGAATCAACAATTACAATTATAACCTAATCATGATAACATTGATTAACCCTGAACTTGAATTGTGAAATTAATGCTTTTTCCTGATTGTTATCAACAATCAAAACCCTAAATCATGTTAATTAAATCTCTTAATTGTGTAATGAAAAAATTTCGATACAAAAATGATTAAGAAAAAAGTTTTTTCTTCTAAATCATTTCTTTCTCGTCACCATGAGAATCGTAATAATCATTTGCGTTTAATTGTTTCTTTACTTTTCCACAGTTAATTAATTGTCGTTTCTAATTTCTAGATACGTGATTAGCATCAGCAATTAAAACAAATGCACACACAGGAATCAATTTAAATCCATGATAATTGTTACATAAATTCAATTTCTTTTCCCAAGTGATTATCTCCTTTGATTGTTGATTCTCATTGACACATTATAACAGATTCGTTAATTGTTGATTAACTGATTGTTACCTAATTTCTCCTACTGTTGATTAGTTTTACCTGACGATTAAATCATCTAATAAATACCAAAAATGATTAACTGATAGTTCAAGAAACTGTTACTTAGTTAATCATGATAATCATATTGTCCATCAACAGGTAATCATTAAGCCTCCAAGGTAAATTGTAATATTATATTTAAGATAATTTAATTTAATTAGTGAAGGTTAACAATCAGCTGGAGTTGATTAACTCTTCTGCTCACTGATTAACTGATTGATTTGTTTTTTTTACGAAAAAAATAACGATAACAATTAGCCAATAAATCAAGTTACTTTAGGTTCGTGATTATTGTTAATCAGAAAAGTTAATCAAAGGTTAATGATTAACAATTGGTAACCTTCAATAATTTAACACTTACCTGTTGATTATCAAGCAAGATGATTATAATCATTATGATTTAAGTGATAGTTTCTTGAACTATCAGCTAACCAATTCAACTAATTGTGCTAGAAATACAATATAATACAACTTGAATAGACTTTAGCACAATTAAATATCAAATACAAGGGATAATTAAGTTAATCAACTGGAGATATTTTAAAATTTGATTTATTAATAAAATGAATGAAAACTTTTCCAATTTAATAAATAAATTTCCCCATGAATAATATGATAAATTGATCACCAGATTAAACTCATTGGTTAGATTATCTATTTTCATATTTAATCATCATTAAGATTGATGGTTTAATCATGAATGGTAATCCCTAACTAGTAAAATAATGATTATAATTAACACTAATCCCGAAGTGAAAAAGTTTAATTTTTCATCTTAAATGTGTGACTTTTAATCTTGACCTTGATTGTTTTGACTATATTATGATTAGGCTGATTAATATATTGATTGTTGTTGATGCCGATGCTGATTCTGATTCTGATTCTGATGATGATGATGATGATGATGATTATAATTATTAGCATGATTATATTGTGATATTTGATTGGGTGTATACAAACTGGGCGTTGGTCACTCTGGGCTTCTGATGAAATTGAAAAAACCCTGATTTTGAATATAAAAAAAATCTAGTTACAGATTAGGTTTGTAGTTAGTTAGTTGGATAGTTAAAGGCTGGAATTTAATTGCCCGAGGGTTAATTATGATTATTTGAGTGTAGCTTTGTTGTTATTATGATTGTGTACGTTGATCGTTGGGGTAATGATACTAATGATTATGATAATAGATTATGTTGGATGAGAGAGAGAGAGAGACTGGGATTGTGAAGGGTTTTAATTGTGTGAATAGTTAATTGTGTTACTAGAAATGAATGTTTGATTAACTTTGTGTGTATCTGTTAATTGTTACGTCAAGATGGAAAATTAAGATTATGGTAATCTTTTTTCTCGTTTTTCTTTGCTCTTTACTAATTGTTTCATGTTAATTGTTGTTGTATTCTGATGGATTAAATTGTTGGTCATTAATTTGAATCATGATTCTTTTAATCACAATGAAAGTTACTTTTTTATGATGTTGATTTAATTTTTTCTTTGTTATAATATTTTAAATCGTGAGTTTTTTGTTAATAGTAAAATCTAAAGGTAACTTAAGGTGTTTATATTATGGGATTTTCTGATTGTTGGATAAATTGTTTGATTGTTTTTTAATTGTGTTCATGTTAATTTACTTTACAATCAGTTTGACAATTTAAATTAAGTCAATTTCGTGAATTTAGTTTTGTTGTTGTTGTAGCTTCTGTTAATTGTTGGTTGTAGTTGAAGGTGGACAAGGATGACAATTATGATTTAGTTTGATGATTAGTTTATAACTTTTGATGATGATTTAGTTGATTAACATCATTGATTTGGAATGATAATGATTAGTTAATTAGTTAACCAAAAATGGTGCAGATTTTGCAATGATTTAGTTGTTTTTGATTAGATTAAGGTGGAGTGAGGAAGGATGATGAAGAAAGAGAAAGATGATAAAAAGAAAGGGAATAAGATGAGAAGAGGAAATTTCGTTGGGAAGAAAATGTTTGTTTATCTTTTTTATTCGTTGGAACGATTTGTCCTTTTCTTTTCTTCTTTTCTTCTTCTTCTTCTTCCTATTTCTCTTTCTTTTTAAACTTGTTCTTTGATTTAATGAAGAATGATGATGAAGATGAAGATAAAAAGGTGGAAGAGAGAGAGAGAAAATGAAAGAGAGAAAGTGAAGAGGATGATTGGGAGGAGTGAGAATTTGTTCCATCCTGGATGAGAATGATTGGGAGAAGGGAAGAAACTTGTCCATCAAGAAAAGAAAATGATCTTGACCTGGAATATGAAATGAAAGAGAAAAAATGGAAGATAAAAGAAAGAAGAAGAAAATTAAGTTCGTTCTTTATCATCATCATCTTCTCTTACTTTTCTTCTCTCTCCACCTTTCGTTTTTCTCTTATTTTCACTTTCATTTATTCACTTTCTCTTCCTTCATCATCTCCATCTCTCTCTCTCTCTTTCACGATCATGTACAAAGAAACAAACAAAGAGAATGAAAGAAAGAGAGATGATGATGAGAAGGAGGTGGTTTTCTCTTTCTTTTCTCGAGAAAGAAAGAGAAAGATAAAAAACAAAATGGTCTGTACCTGAGAGAGAAAAGGACGGAGTTGACCTTGTAGGATAAACAACGAGTGGACATTGGGCGTGACTCAGGCCAACAGTATATAAGGTAGCGTTCGTTATGTAGTCAGGCCATTCGGGTTATCCAAAGTAAAGCAAACACAAAAAAAAACTTTAAAACTTTTCATCTTAACGAGAAATCAACAAACACAAAACTCAATCAACATGCAATCAATGGTAAATTGAAACAATTAACTTGTAGTTTTTCTTAATTGTTAAAATTTTATCTTAATTTTGTGTTTAATTTGTTTAAATTTGTTTTCTCTCTCTTTCTTAGATCGTTTTCGCTGTTCTCTTCTCAGTTGCCTCCGCTGGTGTTATCCACGCTCCAGCCGCCGCCATCGTTGCTTCAGCTCCAGTTTTCACCAAAACTATTCACCATCAACCCGCTCTTGCTCCAGTACAAACTGTTGAACGAACTGTTCAAGCTGTTGCCCACCCATCAGTCACCACCCTTCACCAAGCTCCAACCACCGTCCTCGCTAAGGCCCCACAAATCTCAGGATACTCATACACGTAAGTGTTTAATTAACATCGTTAATCAAGTCAATTGGATTTAATCATCAAACTTTTTCTTTTTTTTCCCTTCGTGACTTCTTTGTGTATCCAAACAGATCTGATGTCCGACACGACGCTACCGTCGCTGCTGCTCCAGTTGCCGTTGCCGCACCAGTTGTTCACGCTGCACCAGTCGTTCACTCTGCTCCAGTCGTTCACTCTGCTCCCCTTGTTCACTCTGCACCTCTTGTCCACCCAGCTCCAGTCGCCGTAGCTGCACCAGTTGCCCATGCTGTTCCCGCTCCAATCGTCAGGTAAAAATTATCCTTCTATTTTCACTCCCCGTTCCTGTAAAGTTAAAGTCTTTAGTCTAACATTTCGTGTCCTCTTTTTTTGACCTTTAGTGCCCCAACTGTCCATGCTTCACCCGCTCTCGTTGCTGAGACCCCAGTCGTTAACTCATACTCAGTCGAGACTGGCCGAACTCACGTTGCCACCCAACAACATTACGGAGTCGCTCATGTTCCCGGTGTTGTCAATGTCCCATTCGCCAAGGCCGTCCCAGCAGCCCCAGTCTTAGCTGCCCCTGCTTACTGGTAAATCCAATCAAAATCAAATAACTTGAGCTAAACACAGAATTGAAATGAATTGATTCAATTTAAATCATTTCAATGCTTAATCACTGTCACTTTTCACTCGCCATAAGACCAAACCATGATGCGAATCATACACACACACTCAAGATTAATTAACTTTTTTATATTAAAACCAGTGATCACAATTTTCGATCAATAGTAAACCTCAAACCTCAAACCTGTTCCCCTCTCACTCCAAACCCACTTCCCACTCCCTACTTTGCCTCTTCCCTCTTCCAATCGTTTTGTAAAAAAAATGTCCAAACAAATTTAGGCTTTATTTTTGTCACAATTGAACAAAAATAAAATCACTTTTAATTATCTGAATCAAACTACTGATTGTGTCTCTCATCATTTATTTCAATGAAAACAAAATCAAAGGACTCCAACAACAACAAACAAAAAACATCCCATGAAAAATAATAAGGATGAAACAAATCAACAACTCAATAGGTTAATTGAAACAATCAATGAATACATAATTAATTAATCAATTAATTAACCATAGGAATAGTTAAATAGTTACAAAGATAAGGCAAAGTTGTAACATAATAATAATAAAATGATGATGATAACATAAAGTAAAATTAATTCTGAGGAGGAAAGAAAACAAAAACAATTAGCTAATTATCATTGATTGAAAAGGTAAACCCTAGTAATAGATAAGTTTTCACTCACGTTTAAAGATTGTCAATGATCGTAAATCCATCTAATCCAATTAAGTCAATCATCAGGGATTAAGAATAAGATACAGGTCGATTAAACATGGATGGATCAATGATTGAGCTTTTTCGACGATCATAAGGTGAGGATAGTTTCCTTTTAACCTTAGTTATCTTCTTAACCTGCTCGAAAACCAGGTTAACACGGTAGGTGATCATCGATTCTGTCAGGTAACCTCGATACAATTTACTCTTGGTCAGATACTTTTCGCAATCTTCGTAACGTTCAATTTTACGAAATAAATAACCAAGTTCATAGTACGATTGGGGAATTATGTGTTTCTCCGTGGTTAATTTAGAATCCCTAGGAAAGCAAAGAAAGAAAGAATACAAAAAAAAGATACAAATAATTAGTTAATTAGCCGAATAAATCAAATAAAAGATGAAAATTATTCTCGAATCATATTGATTGTTTTCTCTGCAACAATTACTCGTAAAAGAATTTATTCTGATTGAAAATCTTTCTCAATATTTCATCTGAAAATTCTGAACATTCGGGATAAAGTAAACACATATAAATATTCAAAACTCATGGTTATTCATGATTAGTATTTTTTCTCATCCTACTCATTGTTATCTCTCTCTCTCTCTCTCTCTCTCTCTCTCTCTCTCTCTCTCTCTCTCTCTCTCTCTCTCTCTCTGAGGATTTCTGACTTCTCTCCATGTGATGTTCCCTCAAAACAGCTCATGTTACTTTTGATCATTATCATCAAAAGGAATCAACAGTAATAACCTTGTAAATTATTCTGATTGATTCATTGTAAGAGTTACAGAGAAACTAGAAAATTAACTTTGATGAATTGGAATCAATTTTGTTCATCATCATCATTATCATCTTTCTCTTTGTCTTCCTTTCTTTCCTTTCTCTCTTTTTTTTCAATAGAAATAATAACAATCTCCATCATCGGAATGATGCGATAACAATAATCAATTGATGAAAAAATATATTGATCTTGTGATCACTTAAATGATGATCCTTTCAATTTGCCTGTGAATTTGATTGTTGATCATTTCTTGATGATAATATATGTTAATTACCATTCTAATACTTGATGATAATAATCAATTGCTTCATAAGGGTTACCAAGTAGATCCGTTAGATGTGCCTTGTAAAATATGAGAGTCGCATATTGATCAGGATTATCGTGAGCTTTTTGGTTGGATTGATTGTTATCTTCACCATTTAAATTATACTCTGACAATTTAGCATCCACAATGTCCATGTAACGATTTAGACACGAAGTAGATGATCGTGACATCCGAAATAGATTCCAAATGTAACTAATTTCAAATGTTGGTAAGAAAAGTGATTTATCCATTGAATTTCCATTGAATTTTATGCTACGTTCATAAACCAGTTTCTCATGAAAAGGTTTCCTTCCTCCAAGGGTTTTCTTCAGACTTGGGATTATCCTTTTAAATGATTAAAGTTGATTAATAATCATCATTATCGTCGTCACAATAAAGATAAGTAAAGATAAAGAAAAATATTCCAATTAATATTCTGCTGGAAAATTAGCATAGATTTTACATATCCATGAATTCTCATCAATCAACTAAGATTATCTTCTTGATTTTTACAGACAAGAATTAAGATTAAATATCGTGAATCTTATTGGAAGATTTTCAAATTTTCAACTCATTTCTTTCTCTATGTTTCATTGTAACAATTTCATATATAAATTGTAATCATTTGTTTCTTTTCAATTGTTAACAATTAAGGATACATATAATTAAATAGGTGTGGGAGATAATAATTGAAAAGTTGATTAACATGATGCAAACAAAAAAGGCAACAATTTAGGTAATAATTTGTTTCCATTTTTCTATTAATTGTTATTATAATTAAATCAAATTGACCTTATCAATTGTTTTGATTATTTGATTTCTTAATAAGTAAATAAATACGATATTTAATTGATTAATGGGTAGGAAAGATGTTGCATTTCAATCAACAGCAAAGTTAATCATTGATTGTAAATATAATTAACATCAACACAATCAAAATAACCAAAAAGCAAACAAATTAAAATATGTAAGCCTTAAAGATACGATAATGTATACAAGTATTAAGTTCAAAATCCCAATAGCAAGTTGATTAACTAAATTGTTTATAATCAGTAATCTTTTTCGAGGTAACTGTAAATTTAAATTGTTGATGGTTAACCTTAAACAAGATGATGATGTTGTTAATCATCATCAACAATTTTCATCAACATAATCATCGTTATCAATGTAAACCAGGTAAAAGATTGATTTTGATTGTAGCAAAAACAATTTGCTTGATTGTTGGTTGATGAATTTAATTTGATTGATGGTTACAACCTTGTTAACTTGCTAATCATAATCAGGCTTTAGTTAGTTAATTGTAAAAAATGTTAACGACAACTTTTAACCAAATTTTTTTACTTATTTTGTTTTTCAGTAACAATATTTGGTTAATCATTTCCCTTAATAAAATTTAATTTTCCTCATGATTAGTAAATTGTGATTCCAATTTAATTGGGAATCAATATGATTAATTATTATTATTATTATTATTATATATGTACTATCTTATTCATAATGTCATCATGTTGATTGTTAACTGATTAAATTTACGGAAGTGTACTCACTAATTGTGATTGTGTTAATTGATTAATTTTAAATACGTCACAATCGTTAATATTGATTAAGATGACATGTTAAATCAAATTTTCCTCGACAATCAAGTCAAATTAATCAAATAAACTTTTTGATTGATTCAATCCGATTAATTGTTTAAGATTATTGATAAAAATAATCAATGTTATATTGTGATTAACGCCAACAAATTGTATCTCTGTTTGATTAACCTGTTTGAAACGGGCTAATTAATTAAAACCTTGAAGAAAATTTCACAACAATTAAAATTAACGGCTGATTGTTGTTTGCTAGTTTTCTGATTATTTGAAACATTAATACGCTAACCTTGATAACAGAATTTATTAATTTGATTAGTTTGATTGAAGAAAAAAAAATTAAACAATTAATGATACATAAATTAATAGAACCACTGATTTGATTTTAATAACAATCAAATGTTAATTGTTGCGATTTAGTTAAAGGTTAATGGTTAACAAACGGACAATTGTAACCTTGATTAAGAAAAATTTTCGTCTATCATTGGACGTTAATAATTTACTAATTGTTTTGATTAACTAAAATTTGTTAGCCTACAAAAACCATTTGATCACAATTAAACTCAAATCATGATTAACAATCAATTTTAACTGTTATCTTGATTAGAATCAACAAGAAAAACAAATTATTGATCAGATTGATTAATTTGATTTTAAGAGGTAAGTTTTTTAGTTATTAGATTTGATTATCAACGATCAGAAAAGTGGAAACAAAATTAACCAAATTAACAATCAGGTCAAATTGTATTACTTTTGATTAATACAAAATAATTAACAATCATGTTAATTTTCAATGTTATATTAAACCAGGAAAATGATTAATTTTAATAATTGATGAACCTCAACTAATGATCCTCGTTGTGTAGCAATTAGTTGATTGTGATCATGTTGATTAAGATGATGGTCTAAACTTTTAAGTGGTGGGTATTAAATTGTTGTTAATCCACCAAGTTAATCATTATCATTAAAATTAAGCATTGTTATTAAACTGTTAAAGGTTAATCAGAAAGTAGAATAGATTAATTAATGGATAATCTTTTGCAGAGAAAGTTAATTGTTAACAATTAATTCATCGGTTTTAAATTTTTGGTGGTGTTTATGTGGAAAAAAAATGATCATCATTTTGAAGGCTTTCATTTTGTTGATTAAATTTCAACAATTAAAGTTGTTAATTGTTGTGGTTTGTTTTGTTTTTCTTACTTTCTCAACAAGTGGATTTAGTTGAGAGCAGTTAATTTAAATACTAATCCACCTTCACATCATAATCATCATCATGGTCAAGTAATTTACGGGAATATCATTAATATGTAATTTAGTTTCAATTTTCATTGTTTTTTTGTTAGTGAGAGTTAATTGTGATTAACTTGATTAGAGATACAAATTTGAAACGGTTAAACCTTAATTTTCATATTTGTAAAAATAATTAATTGTAGGAGTAAATCAACAGATTAGGCGATCGATTTAATAACGTCAGTCTAAAATTGATTACTAAGTAATTAAAATTATTCCAATCAGATTAATTAGACATGACATTGACTGATTAATGGCTTAACAATTAAACAATTGTTCTGATTCTTAGCTGGAATCACAATTGGATTGACTTTCAATGTCTCAATGAAGACATCTAATAAACATTGAGAATTAATTGTAATCACAATTTGCTTATTTGATAATTAATTACATCAAGAAGCAAAAGAAATCCAATTCAAGTGTATTGATAATCAAAATCGATCAATTAACTTTGCTAATTGTAACAATCAACAAGAAACGCTAAGTTTGAGGTTAAGTTTGATACGATTCGATTAAGATGACCAGAGTTATTGATTACTTCCAGTAAGATCCAAATATATCAAGTTAATCATTATCATCTATAGTGAAAATAAATTGATTAACTTACTTCATTAAATCAATTATTTGATTGGCGTGTTTCTTTTCACCATTTAAATCATATTCCATATAAAGCAAAATAGCGTAAAAGTAGGTCGTTGTAGCGGGTGAAATTTTATCTCCGGCTAATATTTTCATCATATTTGCCGCTTCGGACCATTGGCATAACTGAATCTTGGATAAGGCCATAAAAAAGTAGGACATCTTATAAAGATTTGGTGAAATCGCTGGTAAAGTGAACGATTGTGTTAACGTTGTACAAGCTTCTTCGAACTGTGAATGTGTCATTGCTCCCATTCCTTTTATCAAATAGTAATAGTAAGTTTTTCCATATTTAATACCCCAATCGGTAACTATGGTATCCACCATGTTAAGGTCACTTTCACCTAGACTGAAAAAGTAATCGAGGAAAGCAAAGTAAGCAATGATGAAAGCCGATGAAACCGAGTAACGAAGTGTATGTTTACATGTGATACACTTTTTAAGAATGTCCAGTCCAGCGTAACGATTATTGAAAAGGCCAAAATATTCGAGGAGAGAAGTAAATTTAGCTGGTAGAAGGGAAAAGAAAAGACCGAAAATGCCATAAATCATACGAACTCCCGTTTGAAATTCTTCGCATGATAGTTCATCTTGAAATGGTTTCTTTCGATACATTGCCAGGCAACCCTTGAATCCAGTGTAAGATGATTTCAATCGGAAGGCTGAACTTAGAAAACCTTTGAAACTTTTATCAGCCATCGGCTTGAGAAAGGCCAACATTGCGTTAAGTTCAGTGAAACATAAGGCTGCATGAGCTTGTTCATCGGTAATCTCTTGATAATTTGGATTACTAAATAATCCACCTGATTTGTCTTTACGTTTATCCAGAAAATCAACAATTTTACTCAATTCATTGATTGCATGATTAATTACATTGGGTTCCATTGAAAAGAAAGCCTGAAAATGAGAGGAGAATGAAATGTTTACAATTTAATTAGTAATCAGAGTTTAAATCTTAATATTAAGTTGACTAAATGATTATAACAATGTAATTAAATTGAGTTAATCTTTCATAAGTTCAATTGAATTATCATTAAATGAGCAACAATCAAGGTGATATACTTATTGTTATTCTTGTTTATATGTAATATTTTAAATCGTGATTAAAGTTTTACTTTTTTTTTTGCTTCTTTGATGGATTAATTCAACTCGATTGTCAAAAATGAAATGATGATAATGAATAATAATAAGTAAACTAATTTTCTTGTGTTATAATAACAATAAATAAAAAGTTATTAAAGATTTAGACAAAATTATGTCAGTTAATGTTTTGTTGATTCTTTTGTTATCATCATGCAGAGCAGAAGCAATTTAATTGTAATTAACTAATTAACTATAATCAAGATATCCCATGGATTGAGGGATTCTCACTATCCTTGAAACAGATTAAGGTAAATCTGGTATTAAGAATTGTATTAAGTTACAGTTAAATTTGATTAATTGTTGATTAACTTACATTTACACCAATCATTACACCGATTCCATATCGATGGTAAATACTATTCGATGCTTTCGCTTCACATAATGATAAACACTCATCAAGCCGATTCTCAACAAACAAATCAAATGTTTGAGCTGCTTCTTTGATTGATTGTGCGAAATTAGCTCTACTTTTATCATCATCAATTTGTTGATCGTTTTCATTTGCATCATCTGTGAACTGTAATTAATGAGAGAGAAGAAAAAAAAAATATATAAGATTAAGCAATTAAGATGAGGGTTAAGGTTAAATCTTGAAATTGGTGATACTAATCAATGGTCAATGATCAAGATAATTCAAGGTGATTCTCCAAGTTATTGTTATGAAAATTTGTTAAAATTAATCTTATTTTCCTGTTTTCTTTCTCTAACAATCAGTAAATTCAATCATCATCATCATAATATAAATTGGCTTGATTAAAGGTAATCACATAATCTAAACAATCAATAAATCTAAAGGTAAATAAAGAAAGAGAAATGATTCTCTTGTAATTGTACCACCATCATCATCTTTCATGTTAATTGTTGGTGACCATTCAACTTATTATAGAAATTAAATTGTATCTTTTCAATTAGAGAAATTGATAATGGATAAATCAAGGATAATTAATGAAAAAGAATTAAAATATAATTCAAGGTTTGATTGTGTATAATTTGAAATTCTATTGAATAACAAAATATTAATACACATACTGACCATCATCTCCAACTAACCTTATAAACAGAATAGATAATTTTTTACCTTTGTTATGAAGGAAAGTTGATCTTTTTTTCTGGTCATTAAATCAACAATTCAAATAGAGAATATTAAAATAATATTCATTTGATTGTTTCTAAGGACAACAAATCAAAATGGAGATCAAAAATTGCAACAAGGTCTCTTCACTCAAGACTCTTGACTAAGTTAAGTAGACAAAATGGATTAGTCAAAGGTTATTGGGTAAAGAGAATAGAATTTTTTTTTGTTCTTTTCTATTTCTTTTTTTTGTTCTATTCTCTTTTGTTTCCTTTTGTTTTCCCCCTTCAAAATGGAGGATATCATTTATATTAAATTGTCCAAGTTAATTAATTAACGTAATTAAATTGTTCTTACCTTAAATTCTTCCTGGTTAAATAGTAGTCTAACTAATCTAGGCTGATCTTGATTAACTTCCATCCATGGCTTTGGATATTGTTGACCAGAGAGGGAAAGTTGATCGCTCATTTTGTCAAATTGTTGTTACCAAGGGAATAATAAACGATAATTGTTGAGATTTGAATTACACTAATTAACGGTTTTTACTGATTTACTCCTTTTTGTTGTTTTGCTCACATTGGCTATTAAGATTGGTTTAAATTATGGTTAAATTAATCAGTGAATAATAATTTAAATGAAAAACAAAATACCTTGAGATGGATTATTGAGACAAATAGTAATCGTCCTATGGCTTTTGTTAGAGGGGGAATGTGACAAAATTGATTTAAATCAATCGAAGGTTTCAAAATTGATTGTTGTGAGAGAATAATTGTCATCTTGTTTTTTTTCCTTGTAACAATCAAATTTACACTTACAATGAATGACAATGGGTTAATTTAATCCTTTTCTCTGTCTCCATTTTTGACTTTTCTTCTCATCAATAACCATAATCATCGCCATGTTTTACTTTCAAATTTATATTGATTATCAAATATAATTTTGACCATTATTTAGGTTATTTCCCATTTCCTTTCAATATTTCGGACACTGGCTAGTAAATTAATCATCCTTGTGAATTAACCATAAATTGCGAGTCGATAAATTCAATTGAAGAAATCCAATTGAAATGGTGAACATAATCCAAACGGTAAAACCAATAATCTATTCTCATTGTGAAGAAAACATGGAGAAACCATAGAGAAGATCAAGACAACAACAGGTAATCATTTGTAGTCTATTAAATTAACATAAAATTGTCACTAGAAAAATTAAAATTACATATAACAATTAAGAAAAAGAATCAAAATTAATCACAATTAAAGGAGAAATGGTCGCCATCTATTACACAAGAAATCCAACTCTAAACAACACAGACAGAAAATAGAATAGAAAAAAAACAAAAGAACATTTGTTTTTTTATTCTTTTCACTGGTAACACTTCACATTCACATTCGTCTAATTAATTATCACCAAAAAAAACCAATTGATTAAAAATTAGATGAAACAATCAACAGATGAACAAAAGATCAATTTGGTTACATGAGAAAAGAACATCAAATTTTACCGCTTTGGAAAATTTAAAATTCTTTTTATTATCCAATAGGAACTCGCCAAGTGGAGTTACATCAACACTTCACTTTGGTGACTCTTCATAAGGAACAACTTTTGTTTATCATTTTCTCTTAATTAGTTGTGGATTTAATTTAATTTTCTGTTAATTGTTAACTTTTTTTCTTTCTTTTAAATTAACTTTAATTACTCACCTTTCCGGTGATTCCATTGAAATAAGATGACATCTTTTAATTGTTATAATTTTTTCACTTTTTCTATTCTCTTTCTCTCCTGTTTGGTTTCATTTGGTTTCTCTTTGTATTCACCATCTTCTTCTGTAGTTGATTTGACACCTTCCACTTTTGATGAGAAAGTTTTAGATTCTAAGACTGTTTGGATTGTTGAATTTTATGCTCCATGGTGTGGACATTGTAAATCGTTTGCTGTTGAGTATCAAAAGGCTGCCGATGCATTGAAAGGTATTGTTAAAGTTGGTGCGGTTGATGCTGATGCTCATGGTTCTTTGGGATCTAAATTTGGTATAAGAGGTTTTCCTACGGTGAAAATATTTGTTCCTGGTAAATCATCACCTATCGATTATCAGGGCCCTAGAACTGCCAAGGGTGTTGTTGATGCAGCTTTTCGTGAGTTACGTAAAATTGTCGATGATCGTGTTGATGGTAGAGAAGGTAAATCTAAATCGTCTGGTGGAAAAAACAATGTTATTGAGGTAACTGATTCCAATTTCAAAGAGACAGTTCTCCAAAGTAAGGAACCTTTCTTGTTGGAATTTTTTGCTCCTTGGTGTGGTCATTGTAAAAATTTGGAACCAATTTGGAAACAAGTTGCCGATGAATTGGCTGAAGATGAAGCTCCCGTTAAAATTGGTGCACTTGATGCTACCGTTCACACAATAAGTGCCAATGAATATGGAATCAAAGGTTTTCCAACCATTAAATTATTTATCGATGGTCAAGTAGAAGATTATGAAGGTGGTAGAAGTCGAACCGATATTCTTGATTATATTAAATCTAAAATAGCTGATCGAGTACCTCCACCAGAGATTAAACAAATTACCAGTGAGAAAACACTTACTGACAGTTGTGGTAAAGCTCAACTTTGTGTTATCAGTTTCTTACCTCACATTTTAGATTGTGACTCTAAATGTAGAAATGATTATCTTGAAGTATTGAAACAAATCTCAGAGAAGCATAAAAAATATGGTTACCTTTGGGCTGAATCAGTGGCACAACCTAAATTGGAGGAATCACTTGGTGTTGGTGGTTTTGGTTATCCAGCAATGGTCGCGCTTAACATTCGTAAAATGAAATACTCTACCCTCAGGGGATCTTTCTCAGTTGAAGGTGTTCATGAATTTTTAAGAGACCTTAGCTATGGAAAAGGATCTTCAGTGCCCGTTCCAGGAGCCAAATTACCAACTATTGATACAACCGACCCATGGGATGGTAAAGACGGTGAACTACCAACAATTTCACCATCAGATGAGCTTTAATAAGATATTACATCTTTCCCCTTGCTAATCTAATGATTTAGCAAATTAAACGAAATCTTCCTCTTCCTCTGAAAACTTTTACCCTAAACACTTAATTGTAAACTAACTAGAATCTTTTTCTATATAATTGTTCATTGTACACAATCCACTTTTGTCTAATCCGTTTAAACTAATCATCTGTTAAACTATTTATAATCAAGGTGATGGTAAGAGAGCGAAAACCAATCGATATAAAAAGGAAACTCAATCAAAATCGTCAACTAATTAACTTTCAACTCTAAAACATTGTCACTTCTCCACCAGTTAAAATCAACCAACTAATTGTTCAATCTTTTCCTTTTCAAACTCTCTCTCTTCTTTCCAGAGAAATCTCTCCCTCCCTCTCTTACATATTTAATTAACTCTCATAAAAAGAACAAAAAAATGTACAAACAATTAACACCTTCAATCTTTATTATTACAATTCTGATTGTTTCTTCATCAATTTCATCAGCAGAAATCGATGAACAAACGGAAAGACAACTCAAAGCTTCACTTTACAGGTAAGAATTTATTATTATTATTGTGCGAATTTCATTTTAATTATTTTCTTTTTTTTTCTTTCATTTCAGTAATCGACTTGATATCAAGACATTCATGAAGGTCCTTCGAACTTACCTTCCCGATAGAAGGACATTTAGAACATTTAATTTACTCGTTAATCAACATTGTTCATGTGGAGGAGATGATGGAAAGGATAAGAAGAACAAGAAGAACAAGAAAACCAAATTGTCCGCTGAAGGAAAATCGAAACGTTTCTACAAATCTCCTTATATCGAATCGAAATCATCTAATCTATTTAAAGAGCACATTTTGCTTACACAACAACGATAATCGAAATTGTAATTAAATTTAGAAATTGGTAGAAATTAACTTTCTATCAAATGGTCAGTTTAATTATCCATAATCTTCTTCATCATCAAGTCAATCTTCTTGTCTTTCAAAAGAAGAGATTTTCTATTTATTAATTTTTATGGATTAACTGATTTCTTGATTATATTTAAAATAAATTTTTTATTTAAATTAACAGATTCGACTAATTGTTTGGAACAATTTGTTTCAATTAAATTTAATAAATCCTTTTATTTGAATTAACCGCCAATCGAATCCTTCATTTCTATTGGTTAATCGGTTCGAGTGATTAAAAGTCAATCAGCTGTTGAAGTTTTCTGATCAACAAAATTAATTTAATTTAATCTTTATGTTTACTGTTAATCTCTCATGTGATTAATTAATATATTGATTAGAATTATAAAATGATGATTATGTGATAATCTATTTTGTTTTAAATCGTTGGTAAGCTCATCTTGTTAATTGATTTTCTTTTCTCTAACATTTATCACTTCCGATTTCCAGATTAATTTATATTCTAATTGTTTACTGATTTTCTTTAGGTCCATGAAATTGGCTTTAATTATCGGGAACAGTTAACAAAATCTTTCAACATGGATACTGATCTTATCAAGAAAACGCGTAAAAGTAAGTTGATCCAAGTGAGACTTATAGAAAGCTTAATGTAACCAAATTAGATTAAGATTCTGTCAAAATTAATCCCTAGAATTTGATTTCTTCATTAAGGTTTGATCTTTGTTTTTCTTTTAGCTTGTGAAAAAAACTCTGAGAGCTTATATATGATCGCCAATGAACCAACACTGGCCTGTTTCCGAATAGCTGAACATGTTTACAAAAGTGGCCCTCACATTCAGGAAAGAGGAGTAAGTATTAGTAATTACAACAATTGATTTAATTATTTTACCAAGAACTTAATCTCTATTCTATTATATGCATCAGGTTGAAATGAAAAAATTAGAAAATCAATTGAAAGGAGCTTGTTATGACTTGGATTATACTGTTAAAGCAATCAAATCAATGGAGAAAAGTAAAAACAACTTCAGCAAAATCAAAGATCTTTTAAAAGATGCTTTTTTCTATAAGCAGCAAATTGATTATGATAATAACGTTCGCTATCGAGTGGCCAATCGAGGAAATGACCAGCACCACAAAAGACAAGCAAATCAAAGATTCTCCGGTTCTTTTGACATTCCATCATTCATATCATCTCATTTACCTTCATCACCATCGACCTCAATGATGTCTTCAGGTTCCTTGGTTCGATCAGATTCTGTTCCTCCAACAAAATCCAAACCATCATCACCTAAAAGCGAAAACAATCAGCCAAATAAACCATCAGAACAATCGAATTAAAACTTAATATTCTTTTAAGATTGTCCATCATCATGTCAGCATCCGGAATGAAATGATCTTCATGGTTACCATTTCAATCCCAATTCAGGGTCAAGTGACATCGAGAAAGAGAGAGAGAGAGATGAAGATCTTGATAAATTTCAAAGGAAGAGAAATCTTGATGGCGCGAAAATAGATGAAACAAATATCGATTTCTCTCCAAGAAGATGATCAGAGGATCAACAAGGAACCACTCCCAAAAAAAGATGATGACACAGAACTGAAGTCAACTCCCAACACGATGAATACCATTGGATTTTCCCACCTTCTCATCTTCCTTTAGATTTTTTTCTTCCTCGAATCAATTTATCGAATCAAGAACAATCATCAGTCGCTTTACAGTATCACGAATCAAAGATTAGCATAATCATCTCTGAGTCGTCGTCATCATTAATCCAGTTGTAAAAACAGATTATCGATTCGCTGATTATGTTGGACCATGAAAGAAATGACTCATTTAAATTACAATCAAACACTTAAATTGTTTCCTATTGGAAATGTTATCAACCTTTGTAATATTATCTTTTTTTGTGTTGATTTAAGGAGAGTCTCTATCTCTCTCTCTCAGACTAACATTTAATTGTAATAATTAACCGGAAGACTTAATCAACCTGTTAATTACTTATAATCTCCAATGATTTAAATCTTAATTTCTTTGAAAATTTCACCAACTGTGATCATCGGAATATCAATTGCCCAAAAACTATCATAACTGTTAAATGATTAACTAATCTTTTCATTCATATTCAATGCAATTTATTAATCATCAAAATTTTCTACATTTTTTTCAGCAACTTGATCACAATTGAAGTTACAATTAACTCCCAAATTGAACATGTTTATCTAGTTTTAATTAAATTACAAATTCGTGATTAAACTAATCACAAATAGAGCATGAAGGGCCCAAGTTAATTCACCAAACGATCGGACAATTAACTAACTAACAACAATAAATTAACTGAAAAAAAGTTTCAAAATTGTCTCGATTAACAATAATAACAATTATAATTCACAGATTTGTTTATTTAATCATCAACTAATCATTTGTTATCCTCACTTACAATTAGACATTTACACAAGACAAATTATCACACAATTTAGGTTAAAATTGCAAATTAAAATAACAATTAGCCTTAAATCAAATTAATAATTAATTAGACGAGTTAATCAATAATCAATTTATAAACTGCATCAATATTCAAGGGCCACAATTGATTGTCATTCAAACAGTTAACCTTTAAAGGTTAATTGTTGATAGAAAAAGATATTAACCTGATTGTTAAATTGTTGCAAATTATGTTCAATGTCATTTACCTTTAACTGCAACAATTAACAGATAATTAAACTAACCAATGTTAACCTATTCTTAGTTGATATCGGACATTGGCTTTAATTGAATCTACAAGTTCATCACATTAAAAAACGTTAATTGTTACCCTTAGGTACCAAATCACAATCAATTGAATTGTTAATTGTTACATGAGAGACCAGAAAATATAATAATAATAATTAAAATTATGTCTCTTTTTTTCCGGAAAAAGATGAAAAAATAAATAATTAAATTGTGACCGCGACAAAATTGTAACAATCAAAATTAATTATAACAAAAAAAAGATACGTTAACATCATCATCTCATAGGTAACATGATAATCACAATGACGGATGTAAATTGTTAACAATTTGAATTAAATTTGTAATAACAATCAACAAAATGAAAATGGTTAAATAATAATCTCAATGATGAGAAGTGAATTAAAATATTAAATTGTCAACTCTTCCTAGTCCAAAGTTGGTGTTGTTTGGGTTAATTTAAATGTTTCTCTTTCTTTTAGGTTTATCATCATTTCTCATCCTATTTAATTGTTCATCATCATCATCATCATGAGAATCAACAATGAACATGGGATGAGGATGATAAATATACATATAGAAAGAGAACTCACTTAACCATATCATCCTCATCACCTTTTTCTCATCTCCCTCACAATTTATCATCTCCCATTTATCCTCATCTCGATTCTTACAAACTTTTAATTCATTTGATTCGTAATTAAATCACCAACAATCAATTTCTAATCCTTAATCGTTTTAATCGTTCAATCATCGTTTCGACTAATTGATGTTTACAAGATTAATTGTGCTAATTGTTTCAGTTTTGGTGATATGCTTTGTGATTAGTGGTTCAAATTAAAGTTAATTACAATTTTCCACTGGTTGATTAACCATCGATCATGAACAATTTGCTAATCATGGTTCCATTGGTTTCGTTTCTTGCCGCTCTCCGAATATTATCTGAAGGTGAGTAATCAGCCCTTGTTGCCCTAATTGTGTCCATCAATTTACTTAATTGTTATTCATTATTTAATAAAGGTTTGAATTGAAAACAGCTTAACTCATTAGAGCTAAGGTCTAAATAGTTAAACGAAAAGAGCTAAAGTGAATTTGAATCCGTTGAATATTTGACGGAGTGAATTTGGATGAATTCTGACTCTCTGAGTCTTATTCAACCATTCAAAAATCATCTAAATTTGCCTTAAATTAAACAAACAAATATGTATCGTGACATCTAAATTGTCTTCTCTAATTTAGCTGTTTCGATCTTAGCTCTTAATAGTTAGCTGTTTAGAACCTTTACCGTTTTCATCGATTGATTAGAACTTCAATTTCATTCTGATTAAGTCTTTGGTTCCGTCTAAAACATATCATCAGCTAATCAGTGATTACAATTAAATTTTAAAGTTGATGACCGTCAAGGCTGGAAATTGATTAGTTACAATTAACAAAAAGGATTTAATTGTTTAAGGCTGACCTTTTACTATTAATAAACAAACAAGAAGGGAACAAACAATTTAAACAATTAATCAAAACAATGAAAATTCAATGATAATAGAAATTTCCAATTCTAATTATATTATTCTGGACTAATTATCATTTAAATGGGACATTTCCGTCCGTCATTTAATTAATTTCAAGGTTCATTATTGTCTCTCCCTATGTACTTTTAATTGTAACAATCAAAACTGACCAATAGTTTGAACCATTGAACATAACAAAGTCCATATTAAAGTTACTGACCATGATAATTTAAATCATCTAAGGTTAGATAATCAAGATAATCAGCAACAGAATTGAAAATGATTCCTGAAACAATTTAGCTTAATTGTTGTTAATTGTTTCTTTCTGTTACAATTCAGCAACAAGTTGTAATAATGGGCTAGGGAAATTGGCATTCGAAAAAATTTCGGACCACCGTTTAAGTGGATCTTCAAATACAAATTTTGGAAATAAAGGTGAAAGAGAGTTGGTGAGTATTGGAATCAATTGATTTGCTTAATTGTTACAATGGTTTGGTTTTTAATTTTTTTCTATTGTTACAATTATCAGATCACTAGAAGTGAAGCTCCAATTAAGGTGCTCGAAGAGTGTCTTCGTCGGTGCCAAGAAGATAAAGTTTCGGTCATCGAAAATTGTTTGTCCTTTGACTTTGCCCCCGGGGCTCGTCGATCGTCACCTTTTCATTCAAATGACCAAAACGGATTAAATCATGTAAGTGACCTCATTCCTCTGATCATCCAATCTACAGATTGATTAATTCTGTCTTCGATTAATTTTCCAGCCTGGATCAGGTCGATTGTCGGCTGAATATGAGGAATCACAATGTATCCTCTATGGAGATCGTGCTAGTCCTGATGGAGGTGAATCGCTAGTCAAACAAGACAACGCTTGGCACTTTAACGAAGTCTGTCTTAATTGTGAGTAGTTTTAAGGCCACTTTCGATTCAGTTGCTAATTGTGTCAAGTTTTTCTCGTTCGTAGCTCAAAAATTAAATGGCGACTGTTCCAATCGTTTGTATACATTTGAACGAATCCCTGGATTTAAATTTGAAGGAACCAAAGATAAAGAAATTTTCACTTCTAATCGAACTGAATGTTCAGATCGTTGTTTAGATGAGGCCGAATTCCCGTGTAGATCAGCTTCCTACGATCGAACCAATTCAAAGTGTCGCTTAAGTCGAGAAACTCGATCATCAAATTCCAGAGCATTTACAATTGATTCTAATTCTGATTATATGGAAAATATGTGTCTCAAAGGTAATTAAATTGTTCCAACTAATCAACTAATTTCCAACTGTTCAAAGTGATCAATCTAATCGTTTACCTTGATTGTTTAGGGTCGGAAATTTGCTCGTCAACTGTTTCCATCATTGAACCAGGTAAGGAATTGGAAGGTCAATTTGAACGGGATTTACTTACGGCCAACGATCTGAACGAATGTTCAAATTTATGTAAACGGGCACTTGAGGAAAAGGGTTTCATGTGCCGGTCATTTAACTACGATGATCAAGGTAAAACTTGTATTCTTTACGATGAAGATCCAGCTCTTCAATCAGAATTAAATGGTGACCTGAACCCGTCGTCGAATCAAATTAATCGTCGACCATTGAAACAATCAGCTGGTAATTACTACAGAGTTTTATGTGTCGACTCAGAGAGAGGTAAATATTTATTAGCTCGAGTTAATTGTTAATTGTCTTCTTTAATTGATGACGATCAACTAATGGAATTAATTTCAATCTAATAGACGCTGCAATGTCCAATACGACACTTGAATGTTATCGTCGTAAACGATTAGATGGTCCACATGAGGTCGAAATTACTGCCTATTCTTTTTATAATTGTCTCGAAGAGTGTACCCGTCGGTACTCTCGAAATTGTAAATCGGTTGAATATTCATCTTCGACGAAATCGTGTCGATTTAGTTCCGGAGAAATGGCGGATATGTGGCATTCGAACCTTGTTGATGATCCATCTTACGATTATTACAAATTCTTATGGCGTAAGTATAATAATTTCATCGATTGTGAGTTAATTGTTGAAATGGAAGTTTAAATTTAACTTGTTTGAACATTTTATAGACCGTACAATGGATGAGAATCAAATTTTCTCAGGTCAACATCAAATCGTTCAAGCACAAATGTCTCCCTATGGATATAATTTCCCTGCCCCTGGTTTACCTGGTTTCTCACCTGAGCATCATGGTCCACCTCAGATTCCTGGGTCACCTCTTCATCCTGGTCAACCCATGAGACCAATGGGAGTTTCACCGATAGCACCAGCGGGTGCACCAGGTTGGCCTCAAACACCACAATCTTTATGGAGAGGTGATGATCATCATCGCGGTGGTTATGGGTTTGAAAGGAATCATCCGAGTTTCACCTTTAATCCAAATCAACATGATTTCCGGATTAAACAGGCACAATTTCCGGTTAATCCTTACAATAGTTTTGGTAAGAAAAACTTTTTTTTTTACTTCATCAATTGTCTCATTCATTTAATCACAATTAACAATTAAATTGGATTTTCAGCTCATCGTAACTATCCACCTATGCAATCAGGATCTCCACAAGGTTATCCTTTCGGCCTTCCCCCTGGTCATCCCAATCAACATGGACCTTCAAGTGTTTCCTCATCCGTCACAATTAACGGTAATTCTGGTTCACCTTCATCTTCATCATCATCTTCATCATCTTCACAAGGTTCACCTTCCTCAGGCTCTTTATCCCCACCACCAAGTTTAATGGGTCCACCGATACCACCAAGTCACATTATCCCTTATCATTCAATCGGGTTACCTGTTCCTCCTCCGTCAGCACTTCCGGCAGGAATTCATGCCAACAGTATTGTCCCTCCGCCTCCACAACCACAGCCTGCACCTTTTGCTCATCCCCCATTCTTTCAAGATCGTTGTAAATTCAATCCCGCCAATGGTCCTCCCGGTGTAGCGGGTGCTCTTGTTGGTCCACCTGCAAGTGGAATTGGTAATCGATTCAATCGTATTGGCTTTGGAACGCGACTCAGAAGTACTTATATCTTTAAAATAGTTCGAGCCGAGCGATTGGAAGACTGTGAGAGACAGTGTGTTGAATCGCGTGATTATCTTTGTGCATCATTCAATTTCCGTGGTTTCTTTGCTGCCGATAATTGTGAACTCTCACAATACGATTCGAAACAATTTAAACTCGATAATCCGGCTTACTTTGAACAAGCGACACAATTTGATTATTATGAGCGAGATGGTTTCGGTGCTGGTGGCCTAGGTTTTCCCGCTGAGTGTCTCGAAGTGACACAAACTTGTACTCCGGAGGGAATGGAGTTCACACTTAAAACGCCTGAAGGTTTCTTTGGACGTATCTACACTTATGGATTTTACGATTCTTGCTTCTATGATGGTAATGGTGGTTCGGTCTCAGTGCTAAGGATATCACGAGCCAACGGGTTCCCACGATGTGGTACTCAACAGTACGGCGATGCAATGACCAATATCGTGGTTGTACAGTTCAACGATTATGTTCAAACGAGTCGAGATAAAAAGTACAATTTGACTTGTTACTTTTCGGGTCCCGGTGAGGCCGTTGTCACATCAAACTATTTGGACACTAAGACTGACGGGTAAGCATTTAAACAATCATTTCTAAAAGTAAATCAACTAATCAACTCATCGATTTGATTAACTATTCCAGGCGATACCCAACACAAATTGAACATTTACCAGCCCAGAATATTCTGACCTCGAATGTGGTTCTTCGTATTCTTTACCGGGGAACTCCGACCAATACCATCGTTGTCGGTGATCTATTGACCTTTCGATTAGAGGCCCGAGGTCAATGTAAGCGATTAAACTAATTACGAGTACAATTGATTTCTAAACTTTTGTTGTTCTTTGTAAACTATTTTGTTTTAGATCGTTACGATTACTTCAACAGCGACATTTTTGCGACGAATGTGATTGCCAAGGATCCATACACTGGTCGACAAGTACATCTAATTGATTCTCGAGGGTAAATTACCATTTTAATTGTAACAATTTAAACGTTTTAACTGTTGTCATTCAAATTCTTTATTCAGATGTCCAGTTGATCTTTACGTTTTCCCCGAACTCCACAAAACTCCGGACGGAGCATTGGAAGCGGAATTTTATGCATTCAAAATTCCCGATTCAAATTTCCTTGTTTTCCAGGCCACAGTCCGAACATGTAGAGGACCTTGTGAACCGGTAATTAACCTTGTAAATTAGAGTAAACTGTCATTAAAATTTATCGAAATTTTCTCTTTATAACTTTTAGGTGATCTGTTCTGATCGAGGTCGAGGCCCAGGTTCATTTCCTTCATGGGGAAAACGACGACGACGTCGAGGAATCTCAGATTCTGAGAGTATCAATGTAACAACAAATTACCTTCGAGAAGGTGACGAGGCACCAATAGAAAATGATTCCGAGTCCACTAATTCAACGGGCGACGGAGAAGAGGAAGTTCATGAATTGTTACGAGTTTACCTTTCGAGAGCCGATATTCCCTCACCCGAGTCCAAGCCATTGGTGATGGTCGAAGCGCCCAAAATATGTGTCGCATCTTCCGGTTATTATGCTTTAATCACAACGATCACAATTCTGGTTTCCATTATAATCGCAATGTTAATTGCAGCATTTTTAGTCTTCAAACAAAGTAAAAGACTCTCAGTAAGTTGACCATCAACTAATTTTGTTAATTGTCTCTCCTAATTGTCCACTTTCATCTCTCTCTCTCTCTTTCTCTTACAATCAGCTAAATCAATCGGGAGGTTTAAACGGTTCGGCTCAACTTTGTTCAAATTTGTACGTTACACCGATGGCGAAAAACAGTTCCGCCGGAGGCTGTTCTGATTTCGATGATCCTAGTGAACCAATTTACACCGATCCCTCGTTGTTTGAGCGATCTCGAAGCCTACGAAGTGTGACCTTAACTACCTGTGGTAAAGGCGATTCTGGATTCATCGTTGATCACCATTAACGAAAATCAATCAATAATAACTCACCAGAATTTACTAATCTTTCCCTAATCACAATTCAATTTAGTTCATCGTCTTTTCAATCACCACAATTTTCCTAATATTCTGATTAATAACAATTCCAATATTATGTCAACAATTACTGAACATTGAGACTCGATATATTAATTATACACCAATAGAAGTTTAAATTTTTCATTTCAATTTATAAATAAACAATTAAAGACAATTAAAATATTCTCATCCCATTTGGAATAGATTTCCAATCAAATTTAATTGTCGTTTACTAATAACAATCTAGTAGATTGATCAAGGTGAAAATGTGTTGGCTGTTGATTGAAAACGAGAGAGAGAGAGATAATTGATTATTTGATTAATATAACAATTAACGATAATTTTATATATAATATAATATAATTTATCCACTGAAATGAACAACATTACAAAATGATGATTAAGTTACAAATAAATAGATTGATAGATTGATTGTTGATTAACCGATGGCAGGAGAGGAAGAAATAATTTAATAATCCGTTGATCGGTTGATTAACGTGCATTTGGTGGCAAATTAATAAACATGGAAATCAACTAATCCTTTGTCAGGTTTCCATTTCTTACAATTAGCATCACCGTACCACCATTTGATCAGATTAACACCGTTGGTACCTTGACACTGTTTCGGATTAGGACCCGATAATCCTTGATGAATTAGGCAGAAAATATCATGATAACGAGTTGGAATCATTAATTGGACTGAATAATCATGTTTCCAAGTGAAATACTCATTATAAGCTGTCTCATTGTTTGACAAATAATTTAAATAGTTTGCTAATTGTTGAGGTGATTGAAAATCGAGAGCATTGATGAATGAATGTTCCGGTAAAACGGTTGAATAAGATGCACCACCGAAAACAATTGGGATAATATCAAGGTCCAGGATGTTGACCACTTTCTCGGTGAAATAATCACGACAAATTGAATTCTCAAAGGAGAGATAAAATTTGTACTCATTGGCCATTTTTTGCCAACACTTTTGCGATCGAAAGTCGGAAGGAAGTGAACATTTCAATTTACCGCAAGCACCATAAATATCAACTTGCATGAACTTTGATAATTGTCGGACAAAATCATCGCGACCTGAAGGTGCTTTACAATTGGAGACCATCCAAGCGATTGATTTAGGTTTAGACGCTAATCTGATCGTCTTTTGGTTCAATTTTTTGGTCTCATTGGTAGTTCGAGGTAATATCCGACCATAGGGAATATAAAAATCAGAGTCTTGTCGATAAGAGGCCCAACAATCAAATTTACTCTGTAAACTGGACATTATATTTGACCTCCAGGTATGATGAGGTGACTCTGAATGATACCAGATCCATTTTTGATCAGGTAATTTGGGTGGTAAATCAGTAACTTCAAGATTCCTCCAGTGGAAGATGATTATCTTAGCTTCGGCTAAATATTTCCTCTGTCGGGTAATATAAACACCACAAGGGGCCAATTTTTCAACACTATTTTCCCAAGTTCCGTCCTGGTAAAGTCCAGTCCAAAGAAGGACTTTAGGTGCTTCTTCAATGGTGATCGGATGAAGATGTGAAGATGAATAAAGTGATCGATTAGATTTCAATGAGCTATTTTCCAATGGTGGGGTTAGGTAATCGACGAAACCACTGGCCTTGTGATAATCGTACGTTGATTTTGGTCCAATTTCATTGATTGTCAGGTAGAAGAGGAAAAAGATGATACAAATTAGACCAAAGTAAACAAATCGTCGAGAATTGTTTGAATGGTTACCAGAAAAGTAACCAGAAACACTCATTGATGAACCAGAAAAATACAACAGTAATTCAGTTAATCATGAAGATGAATATTAAACCAGAAAGATTAATTAACCTTCGAGATTATGGTTAATTGTGTTCCAAATTGTTGGCACTAATTTTGATCAATTAAAAGACACTAAGGTCAAATGGAAAGTTTAATTTACACAGCAATTAATTAACAAATGATTAACATCATTTCTGTCAGATTAACTTGATGACATTTAAAACTGTTGATTTGTAAATTGTTTGAAAATATTGTTCAAAAGACAATCAACAAATTTAAATCCATTCAGTTTCAATTGTTGTTTGAGGCGATTGATTTCAATGAATTCTCGTTGATTGTTTGGTTAACATCAGGTAAAGTTAATTGTTCAATTGTTAATCATCACAATATCTCAAGATAATCATTATGAGTCTTCAGTTGATGTATTAATTAGTTAATCAACATTTTCCATCATTACAATTATAATCACAACCTCCACAAGCACTTACAAATCGGCTGCCAAGTAACTATCACCAGAGAAAGATTAACTGATTGTTACAATCAATTTCCATGGGATCGTTTAAACTAATTGTTATTATGATGAAGATGATTCGGAAAACAGTTAGATTAGAATGAAGAAAAAAATAAACTTGATTAACTGTAAGATTAAATTGTTAATTTAACACTCGATGTGAAACAATTATGTTAACCCATTTGAAGAAACAATTGATTAATATAAGTCAATGAGTAGATGTAAATGTTTCTCAGTTAATTGCGTCAATTAAAATATTTTGATGGTTAATTAACAGTTGGATGATTTTGTCACCTTGTTAATTGTCGCAGGCAAACAATTAACACAATTGATACTCACATGAAGCAACTACAATCAAGATGAAATGGTTAACATGTAAATGACCATCAACTAGAAATTTAAAACAATTCAATTTACAATAAGTTTTTTTGTTCACAATCCATTGGTTAATTATCAAGGTTAATTGTTAACAATTAGTCTCAATAAAATGTGAAAAATTGTTTCACTTGGTATCCAAATTAACTAATTACTTACAATAGACAATCAAATTGTTTCCTCATCGAGTGAAAATCATTTCTATTCAATGAAATATGAGCAATTGGTTGATTTACTTACCTGATTAATTGAAAGGTTAATCATTGGGAGTTAATCATCACAGTAAAACACAGAATTGAATTAAAATATATTCCGTCCTGAGAATCACAAAGAAATCAAATTGTCACAACAATTTAAATCACTGGTTAGCAAAATGGAAAACAATATTATCAAAGTAAATTGCAATTGGTTTGAAGAGAGACGATTAATCATCAATTTACAATTGGAAAGATAATTTAAACTCTAAACATATTAATTGCTCCATTGTTGATCCAATTAGGAGAGAGCAAACAATTAATCTGTAGCAATTAACATACATTGTAGATTATCAATGGTTACAATCGGTTACACTAATCAAGGATTTGAAAGGAGTTCATGTTAATCCTAAAAATGAGTTGAAAATGTTTCCACTTTCAAATTGTGTTAATTGTTACAAGATTTGATTTAATTGTGTAATGTTAATACAAAATGTTGTTGTTGATCAATTGATCTTTGGGATTACATTGAAATCACAATTGGACAAAGTGTAAGTAAATTGAAAATTGGTGAAAATGAATTGTAATCTGATTGGGTTAATGATTAAGAGAAAGCGATTCAATCATATGATATGATGATTGTTACTGGCGGTTAATTGTTTCCTTTTTAATTGTTGTTGTTGATTTGCTCTCACCACTAAATTTGCTTTTGGATTACGTTTATTTCTTTGGCAATCAACTTGGCTCATTAATCGTGTTCATTTTTTATATCATTGAAATAGTATTTAACCAGGAAAAACGATGACATTGCTGTTAGAATCCTGGAAATTAATCCGATCAGCAAAAGTGTAATCTCAGCGTAAACGAATCCCCAATAACCTTTGTAATTTAGATCATGACAGGTCCATCCTGACCCATCATCGAAATAAGTGTCACCAACATTACAGAATCGTTTCCAACGAACGGTTAAGATAATCATGATTATTATGTTTGCCAAATTAACAAGGAAATCAATGGCTGATGCAATGGTAAATGAGAGTAGAAGACATTGATTAATTTGACAAGAAATCGCGAAACCATAAATTGTCACCACAAGAGTTATAATTGATGAGAGATATTCATGCCAACGATCAGAATCTATGGTGAAACAAATTATGGAAACAAAAAGACAAACCAAATTTGCCAGGAAAAGAATACTTTTCATGAATAATGGATAATCCATATTGGTGGATTAACGATGATGGATTAACGATTATAACAGATGAAAGATATTCCTCCTTGGATATTTGTTTTCTCTCTCTCTCTCTCTCTCCCTCTCCGATTTAATTGGGCAATTTGGTCCTTTTTTTGCGGTCGAAATCCTCGAAACTGGACAATCTATTCTGGACACTTTGATAATCGAATGAAACAATTAACTTGATTTGATTTTGCAATTTCAAATTTCACAGTTTTACAATTTTCCAATACAAGAGCAACTTTTAATTACTTATTCGGAGCCACACCAATGTTTTAATAAGATGTTTTTATTATTATTACCTTTAGCAATCAGTAAATCACCATTGGTGATTATCTTTAATTGTTTGATTCATTTTTTTCCATCTCACAAACTGAATCAACATTGATTGCCCCTGATTCAGTTTTCTTCGTGTTTTTATCACTCGGATCCTCTTGAGTGGAATCAGATTAGTTATTAGATTACCTGGAATGGAGTAATTAAGGGAAAGCAATTTAAAGATTTAATGTAAACATTGATTGATTAGCATCTATTACTAATACACTGATTGTTGTGATTGAAAAGTCAATCGAACTACTTATTTTTTCTGATCGAATTGATCTGAAATCTATCGAAAAGTTTGTATAGTTACTTTTATGAGAAAGAAACGATTCTAAAAGTTTCAATTGTCTCATCATCAACTCTGCGAATCATTTGTAGAGAAACTTTTTCACCAATTTGACGAAGTTTTTTCTTATGAAATTCCGTCAATTAATGATAATCGATTTCAAGTAATTAGAAAATATCGAAAAAGGCTCACCTTAATTCCATAGAGAATTCAAATAACCAAATCCATTGAGTTTCAATCGGTCGGACTTTTGAAAGTCTTTACCATTCCTTAATCACCTTTGATTTAAACAGGGAAAATTCATCATTGTGTTGTACAAATTAACATTAATCATCCCAAAGAAACACAACAATTGACCATATAAATGGTTATGAGACTTGTATCGATAGATTGAATTACCAAGTTTGTTACCATGACCATTGATTGTTTTTCTCATGATTTACAGGAGGAAAAAGATAATCAGTTGAATTTAAAATTAGTCGATTGTTAACAGCTGATTCATTGGAATTGGTAAACAATAGAAGGAAATGGTTAATTTAAATAGTTGATTCTAAAAAAAGAAAGAAGAAAAAAAAGCAAATCACCATCAATAATATAGAAACTGAAGAAAAGAAACATTTACATTGATGTACTAGGAGAAGAGAAGGAAAAATTACCATAACAGAGAGAAGAAAATCCAACAACAAGTAAAATCAAAAAAGAGAACAAAAACAAAAGAACAAACAGGAAAACAATTAAAAGAGAAAACCAGATGATCAGAAAATTAATCAGTTACCAAGGTTAAGAAATTAAATGTAAAGATGATCAACAATTAAAATCGCATCAAAATAGACAAAAAAAGGTAAAGTGATGGAAGGTGAAAAGAGAAAAGAGAAAACCAAGAAAAAAGAATAGAACAAAATGAACACAGAAGATGTGAAAATCTATTGATGACCAAGTGATCAAGTTAATTGTTGTGATTTTCTCCAAGTGTAACAATTAACTGGTGATAGACAAACATTTAAATTGAAACAATTAAATTAATTATTGGTGAGAATAAGAGAAAGGGGAGAGTCGCAATGGAAAAGCAAAGATGGCGTAGCTGTTCAGCCTCCCCCTTGCTCATAACAACAACAACTGAACTTGTTTGGGGTTTGGTCTCATCAAAATACTTCACTTTTATTTGTACCAAAAACTGATCACTTGTTTTCATCATTTCTCCACAAACAACATTAAATTAAATTTAGTTAACAGCTATTCAGTTAATTACTTGACTTTCTCTTTTCACCTAATAACTGAATTAACTGTTAATTTACTTGTTTAAATCCAAAACATCTTCAGTCCAATTGGAAATTCTCTTTCTCTCTTCTGTCTACTCATATTTTTCTTCTGTGTTTCTTTTTAAATTGAGTCATACTTTTTGTCTTATCTGAGAATTTCTCTTCTCTCTTTTTTTTCTCTATTCTCTCTCTCTCTTTTTCTCTCAAAATTTCCTTATAATATTTGTTTTTCTCTCTTTTTCTCCTTCTCTCCCTGATTCTTATAAATCTACTCTCTGTTTCTCTCTCTCTCTCTCTCTCTCTCTCTTACGTTTTTCTTCTTGATATTATTTTTCTTCTCTTGGGTTTTCCTTTTCATCTTTCTCTCATTCTCACTGGTCTCCATTTTCTTTTCTCTTTCCCTTTGGTAACAAATTCTATTTCAATTTCATCTTTCAACATGTCCAATTTAATTGATTCTAGTTTACCTGAAGAAGATTCCAATTGGTCTGATCAACCTGAGCAACAACAATCGTCACCTTTGTCAAATATTGGTAACATTTCTACTGGTTTTGGTGGATCTCCTTTCGATGATTATGCTGTTCGAGATATGGACCTAACAAATGAACCCTTTGGATCTGTAACCTCAACCGTACCAGTATCTTCATCTATTCCCTCTTCTGGATCACCAACACCGTTTACACCATCAGCTCTTGAAGGAGATCTTCTTAATATGAGTACCGATGAGGTTAAATCATCACCTTCACCCTTACCACCTCCATCTTTTCACCAAAGCGCTCCAACTCCTTCACCACCTCCACCACCCTCACCAATTACCCAAACAGTATTGTCACAAGTTGAATCAACCTTCAATCAACAACCAGAATTACCAACAACAACCACATCACCAATTCCATCAACCATCCAAGCGGAGGTTAAACCAGCCGTTGATATTAAACCCGAAGAACCCAAACAACAACAACAACAACAACCACCACCACCTCAACCACAACAACCCAAACCTGAAGCCAAAGAAGTTAAAAAACAAGCTGAAAAGAAAGAGTCAAAAAAACCAACAATTGATGATTCATTACCTTCATCAAGTTCCCAATGTTGCTCCTTTTTGACAAGATATCCTCATAGTAAGTTCACATTACTCAGATAATTTAAATAACTTCATCTCTCTCTCCCATTCTCACTGAATAACTAATTACAAGCAATCAACCGAAATATGTCCTCAGATTGACATATTACCTGTTGAAAACAAAAAGAAGAATAGAAATGAGCAGAAATGACTCAATCTCTCTCTCTCTTTCTCTCTCTTTCAAGTATAATTACTTTATTATGTGTAGAAAGTTGAAGTTGATTGTGAGAAAAAAACACCGTTGATTGATACTTGTGATTAATTGGTGATTTATTTATATAAATTAATCAGTCAATAACAGAAGCGTGATTATTTCATGATCAACTTAATTCTCCCTTTAAATGTGTTACTCGATTTATTGGAAGATTAGAAGATGGAGAAAAAAATCGACATCGAATTGTACGAACGTCAATCGCTGATAAAAATAAGAAGCAAAAAAAAGTTGATTATTTTTTTCGTTTCCTTCGAAAAAAAAGAATACAATTATCTCTCTTTCTCTTCTACTTTCATGATGATGATAATGATGCTCCCGCTACTTTGTGTGAATGATTTAAGATGATGATGAAGATGATGAAGATGCTGATGTAACTGAAATTTTCTTCAACAGTTCCAGTTATTTACACTACAACGTCCTGGTAACATCAATTATCATACGTGTTAACGTTTCTGAGCATCAATAAGACCAGATTCATCTCACTCTCTTTTCTCTTTCTTTTTTTAATTCTCTTTCTACGTCTCTCTTTTTTCTGCTGTGTCTCTCTCTCTCAGTGGCTCTCCCTATTCTCTCTCTCTCTCTCTCTCTCATTTTGTTGGAAAAAGAAAGACTAGTATTTCTATTTTATACTCACTTTTGTTCTACTTGGTTGATTATTTATTATATATTTTTGGTGTTTTGATTCTGATTTTATATTCACCAAGTACTCATTTTTTTCTCTCTCTCTTTCTCTTCTAATTGTTTTCTATTTAATTTATCTATTAGTTTTTTTCTTAAATTGTTATTTTATTTTATTTTGTGATTTCTATTTGTTATTAAAAAACCAATACTATCTTAAAATGGCAAGAGATAGATCATCAAATGCTGCAGCAGCTTCATCACCACCCAAAGATTGTGACTCAGGTTCTTATATAATTGTTTATCTTTTACCCCGTTGGCATCGCAACTAATTATTCATCTTTGATTTATCAATTTCTTTTAATTCCATCAGTTTTTTTATTATCGTTTTTCTCTGTCCACTTGCGAAATTGACCAATTTTAGAATAGAATTTCTATTTGTTCATCTTGTGACATTTTTCTCTGTCTTCTTCTTGATTTCTTGTATCAAATTAGAAGAGAGAGAGAAATAAAGACACGGATTGAGTTCTCTTTCTTCTTACTTTTTTCCCCTTTTGTGTATCTTCTTATCTTCTTGTCTTCTTTCTCTCTCTCTCTCTCTCTCTTGTTCTGATTAAAAGAAAGAGATTCACCAGAAAAGTGCTGTCGTAGTGAAGAAAAGTGTGTGGTAACTTTTCTGAAAGAAAGAGATGAATTAAGTAGACAGAAGAATAGAAAGAGTAAAAAGAATAATTTAAAAAGACATTGATAAGAAAAATTCATATTCTATTCTTGATTTTTCATCGTTTCTCTGAGTTTCACCTTGCTGATAATTAGAAAGGTGATAATGATTATCTGAAACGTGGTGTTAATATTGTTCAATATCATGTAATGATACTGAGCTTTAATCATGATAATCTTCATTCAATTGGAATGATTGATTGTTAAAGATACGAAAACTGATTTGTTCATTTTTTTCACCCAAATTTAATCTCAACTTAATCCATCCTCTCTCTCTCCATCACTTGATTAATATTCATACTGTTACTAATTGATTGTTTTCATCTCTCAACAGTTACCGATCTCCTCTATTGGCGTGATTTGAAAAAAAGTGGAGTAGTTTTCGTTGGTGGACTTTTACTACTCCTCTCGTTGGCATGTTGTTCAATTATCTCTGTCATCGCGAATGGATCGCTCTTGATTCTTGGATCAACCCTTGCCTATCGAATCTACAGCAACATCATGCAAGCAGTCCAAAAGACCGACGAAGGACATCCTTTCAAGTAAATTGTCTTCTTCCATCGTTTTCATCATCTTATTCCCCTTTTATACTATTTTTTTATTACCTATTTACTTGTTTTCCTCTTCAGATGATAAAATTCTGAACTGCATGATTGCTCCGATAGTTGTTCTAATGTCATGTTTTTATAATCTTGTCTTTTTCTCTCTTTCTCTTTTTCTTACCAATTTGTCGTTTTTGTCTGGCTCATCATCGTCATGACGCATCTTCTTCTGGCATTGGTCTTTAAAACACCTCAATCAACACAATCCTTTCAGGCAATATATTGAAATGGATATTATCCCATCTGAGGAAAAGGTTCATGAGTTAGTTGACAAAACTCTTAAGCATCTCAACGTCATCTTATTAAAGTTGAAAAGTATCTTCCTCGTTGAGGATATTGTCGATTCCATCAAGGTACTCATCATGATTTTCTGAACTCTCTATGTCTATTTATTCACCTGAATCATCTTCTTTTTCTTTGTCGTCACTTCCTTTTCCATCATCTTCTACTTCCCCTATTCTCTCTCTCTCTCTCTCTCTCACCTCAATCGCTTGAAAGATTGGTTTCTTTTTGATGTATCGATACTAATTGAAGATGAGAAAATGTTCAACGTGGTGTATGTTTTCAATTGGAATCAAGGTCATCACTAATACAACTACCATTATATAATTAGTAATGAGTTTAATCGTGTAGTTAAGAGTCTTTATGCTCACTCACACACTCGCATACTCACTTACCCTTCATTAAGCTCACTCACTGATAAACTTAATTATCTTATATTCTATTTCATTAATCTATATTTACTCATCTTACTCAGCCATTTTTTCAAGTACTATCAGTACCCATTCTTAGATTGTTGTTTTTTTACTTCTTGAGGCTATTGTATTGATACAGAAAAAAAGGAACCATCCTAAAGCACTTGAAGTTACAATGCCCTCAAATTGTTGATTTTAATTGTAATCATTATCCTTAATTTCCTCTCTCTCTCTCTCTCTCTAGTACTTTATCGCTTTCTGGTGTTTGACGTATGTTGGTGCCTGGTTCAATGGAATGACTTTGGTTACCATGATGTATCTTGGCCTCTTCTCCGTTCCAAAGGTCTACGAGATGAACAAGACAGTTATCGATGGTCATCTTGGAACCATTTGCGCCCAAATGGAGGGTGTTTGCTCCCAGTGAGTATATTTCTCTTTACGAATGATACATTTCGTTTCAATTGATGCAATATTTACATTTCATTCTAACATTGTCACCATGATGCAAGCTTTTCTTTTCTATTTCAAATTTTATTCCATCCTTGGTTCCTATCTAAATAGAGAAGAGAATTTCATCAAAAAGCAATAATGCCCCTCCCAGAATTACAATGGAAGAGATTCATGTCCCTTCTCTCTCTCTCTCTCTCTCTCTCTCTCCTTTCTAAATCCGTCTTTATCAAAGACTATCTTCTCTCTTTCATTAGTTATAATACTTTGTTTTTTTATCGATTATGATATTCTCAGGTTTCATGTATGTAGAAAAAGTTTTCAATTTTTCATCGTCAAGTGAATTCGAACCAAGCGGCCATCGACCTTGACAATTAACTGACTTTCTTTTTCTCTTTCCACCTCTCTTTCTTTTCTTTACCCTCTTGTTTATTTGATATACACAAAACCCCAGAGAAAGGGAAAAAGTAAGAGGTAGTTAAGGTTATCAAAAAGATAACACAAAGTTTCAATAGTAATGAATGAAATGATCAATCCCGTTATATGTTTTAGGAAATTGTGTTCATTTTGAATACTTTGGTTTCTCTGGTGATTTCAATTTACCTTCTAATCTTTTGACAAACAATTACATCTCCATGTAAAATTATCTTGCTTTCATTGTACAGTAAATTCAATGTACAGTTAATGATGATGATAATGTTTGATATAGAGGATTTTCATATATGCGCAGATACATTACATCAATTACATCACTTGAATTACATGCACTAAATTTGGTAACAAAGTTTACCATGATTGACCCACCCTGGTTACCTTTATGTGTATTTATACAGATACATTTTCACTATTTAATCTTTAATTATCCTCTCACACTAAGCGTATCTCATTATACATTTACTATATGACCTTTCATTTACCTTTTTGTCTCCAACAATTGGAAATTAATTGTAGATTGTTATTCATATTATCAAGCGAGATGATGATTATTATCATATTCATAGTGGTGAATTTTAAATAGACTTTGATTGCATTGTACTTTGTTCAACAAGTTGCATGCGTCACCAATTATAAACACCATGAATGTACTGAATAATTCACTGTTCATGTTGTCATAATTGACTGATTATTTAGTCTAATTTGATTATTTGATTAGTTGGAAATTAAGTTTTCGTTTTGTTTCATTTACAATCATGACTATTTTATTTACTCTGGAAATGATTAATCAGTCACAATTTAGCTATTCCAGTTAACAATATTGGATCAGCTTTTCATCATCATCATTTTAATTGTGGTGATGATGAAAACACCAACCAATATCCTTTGTGATTTAATTTCTCTAGAATTAAATTGATCAGGAAGACAATTAACCATTTAATTGTGAAATTGAGATGAATAGATTGACAGAAACAAAAAACATAACCTTTAATCACTATTATTTTGGTTTAAACAGTAACAACAATTTAAACTGCAATTGATTTTTCCTTTTCCCTCAAAATGCATCAATTGAAATTCTCTCTTCTCATTAATTAACCTAATTCTAATTCTAATTGTGATTGTTTTTATTTCTTCTTTGATTACAGAGTTAAAACAAAATTACCATTCCTTGCATCCAAAAAGGACAAAGCCCAATAGAGTAAAACTCAACATATTCAAATCAATGATTGTATGGAAACGTTTATATAAAAAGAAACACTTACACCAAACTTAACCAAATAAGATCTACATTCATCTTCATATAATATTTATCCTCCATTCACTTTGAATACAAAACATGAGACTCAAAAATCGAGATCGGAATCAGAATGAAATCGCAAAAGCAGTTAATTGAATTCGCAACCAGAAATCATCTCCAATTCCCTTTTCTCTCTCTCTCTCATTCTTTAAATACACAATCTGATCACTTTAATTATCACCGCTGCTTCTTGATTGTTTAGACCATTTTGTTTATACAATTAAGTATTTAGATCTCTCCATGAAATGCTAATACGTTTGATGGAAAGTAAACTTAAGTTATCAATAGAAATTCGGGTTTTTTTTCGTTAATTGTTCTCTTAATTTCTCTTAATTGTTCCATTTTTTTGGAATTCAATCCATTCATCATTTTTAATCATCTTCTTCATCACTGTCGTACTAATTATCATTCTGATAATATTTGATTTCTCATCAACATTTAAAATTATTTTTATTCTTTGGTCAAAGTAATACAACAATTAGACTTAATTTTAATTTCTTTGATTAAGTTTTAATTGTTTCAACTCTGATCATAAACACTCAATGGGCAACGTTACTTAAGTTGATCACAATTAAGAGATTAATTGTGATAATCATCATTTACAAATGATTGACAAAATTTGTAGCAATTAACTTTGATAATATTGCCTTAATTATCAACTTTAATTCATTCTGTTTTGTAACAATTTAATTTCTCGTTAATTGCAAAAGTCTAAATGATTCAACAATCTGAGACACTCAACGATTTAAACTATTATTTTAATTATACTGATTTATTGGTGGATTAGATTGAACAATTAGTAAAACAATTAACTCTTTAATGGTAACAATTTAACCTTTGATTTTTGTCTATTGACAATTATCATTATTTACTCATGAATCAATTAATTAGTTAATCTAATCGTTACTTAAAACCAAAAAAAAAATTAACTTAATTATCAATCATCAGTTTTTTTCATTTAATTTAATCATGAACGTCTTTAAATTAATCGTAATCATTAATCAAACGTGACTGATTTTGATTAATTATACAAAATGATTAACAAAAAAAGTCTTGATTGTGATTTAATTGGATTCATTTCTTAACTACTACATTTTGATAACAATTAAAAATGATTATTTCCTTCAAATGATATTTTATAATACACTTAATTAACTTGGCTGATTAACAGCAATCAGTTAATCATATAACTAAATTTGCGACACTTTAAATATTAATTGTTTCTGTTTCTTATTATAAACCAATTGCTTATTGATTATTAACCTAATTTAATCAATGTAATTAAAGTAAATAAATGATTAACAATTAAATTAATTGTGTTTACTTAAAATTTGATCAACTCTTAACAATTTAATCACGATGAGTAAATATTAAGAGACATTAGATTTTACAAGAAATTAATGGAAACAATTAAATCAATTTTATAAGTTTAAATTATGTTAATTGTGATTGGAAAGACAAAAATTGATTTAAAATTAAATTTAATTGTTGAAAGTTTGATCTCTTGATGATGAATAAAATTAAATTCAATTGACAGTTAATTACAAAATAAAGAGATGAGAAATAATTTACTTGATTGTGTTGATGAAATTAAGTTGATTGTTACAATTTACCAAATCGTAAATGAAGTTTATCAAAAGTTAATTGTATAATTGATGAGACAAATTTAGATGTTGTTGTAATTAAGATGATATAAAACAGTAACAATGAGATAATTAGTGTAACTATCAAAGCAATTAAGCAAACAATTAACAGGGAAATCAAGATAATCATTGTAATTAACCAAAACCAGCAATCAACCAGAAATGTTGTTAAATTGTTCCAATCACTAATTGTTGAGATGATCAAGTTAATTGTCCGATGGGTTGAAGACCAAGGCGGGTTGATTGTTACTAATTGCTGCCCATGATTAAGGTTGATTAATAAATAACTGGTCACAAATATGATTAACAATAACATAGAGAGTCTTGAATTAATTGTTGATTTGATAATTAACGAAGTTGATTTATAATTAACTGGACACACAATTAGATGGTTACAATTAAGTCCAACATGACAGTTTCTATTGTAATTAATTAATTGTCCTCGGAAACTAATTGTAAACATTGTATTGATCATCAATTGACAATTTAATCAACTGTCTCTGGTCAAGAGTTAAAAGTAATTGTGGTCAAGAATCAAATTAGAAACGATAATTAGTGATTAAGATTCATTTCCATTGGTTTGATTTAAATTATAATCTAATACTTAAAATCTTGTTAATCAATAAAGTGATTAACTGAAGTTTTAATCGCGATTAAGGATTTAAGATTAATTGTTAATCTAACCACTTGGACAATTAAAGTGTAAAGAGTTAATTTTTTGTAAATGGTTTAATTGTTTTCAATTTAAATTCAATAATTTTCCCAGAAATAAACAAATTGTTACAATATTTATCCTTCAAGTTGATTGTCCAGTTTAAAGAAAAACTGACCATCGTAGTTTTGATTTGAAACAATTTAGAGATACATTTTAATTTAATTACAATTATAAGCTCTGTAATTATGATTAGACTTTCAAAAAAAACTGTAACAATTAATCACACAATTAATACGATTCACGTTTTTTGATGCAAACATTGAGAAAGAACCTGATGTGCTACAGAGACACGATTATTCAAGCTTTTCAAATTCCGCACCAACAAAAATAGAACGATTGTTGTAAGGTCGATCAAAAGTTATAATTTTTCAAATTTTCTCTTTCTTTTGACTTTGCTTCTTTTCGTATCCTTCAAATATTAGTATTGTTTAACAGTTGCATTGTTGTTAAAATGATTTTAAAGAAAGAGAGAGAGAGAGAGAGAGAGAGAAATAGTAAACGTCCACGAAACGACCTGGTCTGCGACATACGATCGTATGGAACCAGGAACGCATTCGTGAAGTTTAGTTAGCAAATTAACTTGCATATACGAAGCTAACAATATTGTATAAGCTTAGCGATCATGTTGATCGCTCGCTCCCTTGTATCCTTTGATTGTTTCTATTCAGGTTTCTTGGTTTTGTATTGACGATAATTAATTTAATTAGATGAGCAATTTGTTTTTCTTTGAATTTTGTTTTTTTTTTCATCACGATAATTGTGAATCAATTGAAATTTTTAATTCTTAATCGCTACAATTAATTAATCATTAAATCTAAATTTCTATTCAACAAATGATGAAGATAAATTGTTCGTTAAAGGAGACTAGATTTTTTCGATTGTTTAGAATCAATTGATTGACATATAATCGCTCCAGATATTCACCATAAATGGCTAATTAGATATCATTTGTATAAATTGATTAATATATTGATTGGATCATTTGAATGTTAATTCAATTGTTAGAATTTGATTGTTTAATCTGTTGCCAAGATCTAATGTAACATCGTTCACCTTACCTCTCATTAACGCATTTGCAACGGGCTCGTAGTTTTTTGATAACCTTGAAGGGAATCATATCTCATAAATCACTCGCACTTAATAATAACATCTATTTATAGAATAATCAAGAGAGTTGAGTTCAAATTCGCGGATATTTTGTTGAGGAAACGGAAAACACATCTTTCGTTTTTTTTAACGATGATACATGTATAAGGATGACAATATCTATCCGAACGGAGTATTTGCTAACAATGAACTGGATCTATCGGAAATTAAGGTTTACGGTTTCGATTAAGATTATAGTTTGGCTGTTTATAAAAAATCTCTTCATTATTTAATCTACAATTTAGGACGTGATGTGTTAATTAACAAATACAATTGATATATTTTTTATAATCCTAACTAATTTAACTTTCGAGAAATAAGAAATCAAAATTTGAGTCCAACCTTTTTTCCGAATAGGTTACGATAATAGTGAATTAATTTTTGAGTTCTAATATTAGACACCGAAGTCGATCGATTAATACGAATTTTTTTTGTAAATGGTTTAATTGTTTTCAATTTAAATTCAATTATTTTCCCAGAAATAAAACAAATTGTTACAATATTTTTCCTTCAAGTTGATTGTCCAGTTTAAAGTGAAAACTGACCATCGTAGTTTTGATTTGAAACAATTTAGAGATACATTTTAATTTAATTACAATTATAAGCTCTGTAATTATGATTAGACTTTCAAATAGAAACTGTAACAATTAATATCCTTTGATTGTTTCTATTCAGGTTTCTTGGTTTTGTATTGACGATAATTAATTTAATTAGATGAGCAATTTGTTTTTCTTTGAATTTTGTTTTTTTTCATCACGATAATTGTGAATCAATTGAGATTTATTAAATCAGGATTAATTAGTCATGTAAATTGTTTAGAGAGCTAAGCCAAAGAAATTGAGATTCCTTTTTAATTCTTAATCGCTACAATTAATTAATCATTAAATCTAAATGTCTATTCAACAAATGATAAAGATAAATTGTTGGTTAAAGATTGGAGCGGTTAATTACTGTGATTAATTAAATGACTGATCTAGATGATTCTGTCCAAATTGGTTGTTGAGCTGCAAGTGAACAATTAACTCTGATTTAGATCTCAATTGATTCCATAGTCATGATTGAGTTGATTTTCATGCTTCTTTTTAATTTCCATAATCTTGATTTCTAATCATCAGCAATTAGTAAACCACAGGGTTTTCCTTGCCGATTAATATTGAATTTCCCGAACTTTGATAACTGGGGACATCTTTTCATGGGGCAATGATCCCCTTCGAGGGCAGAAAATGTGATTAACTGAATAGTTCAGCAAGTTCGTAATATGTGACATATAAATGTCACTGTAACGGAAAAGTCGACGGGAAAAGTAGGACGGATTATGATGTGTCCTAAATATGCTTCCGAATTGTGGGTTGAATAAACTTTTCGATTTCAATCTGAGAACTTCTCGATCTCGAAATAAATATTGTAACAAATCTTCGGCATGGAGAGGCGACTTTAAGATGCATGTGTCTCTTTGACGTTCATCGATCAGCAATTGGATTGCTTGTAATTCACTGATTGCCTCTGAAAACTCCTCAGAATTCAGAATATTAATCTCATTCTATTAGGAGAGGAAAAAGAATAAAGAAATTAGTTAATCATGAGAGTCGAGTAGATTATCATTTAGATTGATACCTCAAGTTCACCAATTACAGCTCCGGTTCTCCAACCATGGAAAAGAGTTAAATCAGCTAAATCAGCGTAAATTTGATCACCAAAATAAAGGATATTATTACCATGCCAACCGGTCAGTTCGAGTAACTTTTTCACTGTCCCTTCCATGTAAACTTTACCCTTTTCAAAACGAGTCACCTCTTCCCATGTATGTGAATCAGTATCAGGTTGATAACTTCTGAAAGGTCTGAAAGATTAAGAGAGAGATTTAAATTAGTTGAATAAAAAAGAAATTACAACAATCAAATGAGTGAATAAAATGATTACCTATGAGCTTGATTGAAAAACTTTGGCTTTCGAGCTCGAACAATAATAATGTCAAATAAATCTGTCCAATTGTTACCAATCATAAATCTCATGCCACAGTCTCTGAAAATTGAAAATTAGACAATTAAATTAATCTGGAATTGATTGATTTCTGTTATGTTGATATAAAGTGAATTATATATACACCGAGACTTACACAAAATCGAAAGGACTGTTTGTGATTAGGAACATTTTCTTTTTGGCAACTCGAAGTCGAGTAAGAAATTCTGTAAGTTCAGGTCGCTTTTCTAAATAATCACCGATTCTATCACGATCAAGCATTTGATGCATCACAGGGTGAATACTTTGCACAGCCGATTGAACATCATAGAAAAGTATCTCTGGACAATAGGGAATATTATTCCTGATAAAATATTCAGTTACATTTGCAAGTAAACAAATTTCTGGCACAGAGAAGAGATCATTTAATTGTTTCATCTTTGGATGATCATCTTCAGGTTTAATCAATGACTGGGAGATGTAACAACCACCATATATTTGGGTCACTTCTTCATCGGATAAAGGGCTGAATCCTCTGTATACACATCCAAGTTGAATTTGATGAAACGAGTCGATCTTAGTCAAAAGTCCCTATGAAATTGATATAAACAAAATAATATTGGGTAAACAAAATAGTAAACATTTCAATAGATTTTTTTTCTTACGTGTTCAATATCATAATGAAGGCCTCGAATTGCAAAATCGGGAATATAATTAAACGATTTGATTCCTTTGGATACTTTAAGATGAAGATAAGTAAACAAAATTAGCAAAAATTCAATGAAACAATAAGAGAAGAAACTTAATGAAAGTTCTCACTTTGTATTTGCTAATTAACACATCACGTCCTAAATTGTAGATTAAATAATGAAGAGATTCTTTATAAACAGCCAAAGTATAATCATAATCGAAACCGTAAACCTTAATTTCCGATAGATCCAGTTCATTGTTAGCAAATACTCCGTTCGGATCGATATTGTTTTCTTTGATTTTATCTGAGGGAAAACAAAAGGAAGTAAAATTAAATTTAGAATAGAAAATTTTGAGAATAGAATATTTTTTGTTCTATTCTATTTAGAATCTGTTTTACTTACTCTTAAAGTGTCTCTTGTAACTGATATAACGATTGGTAAGATCTGGCGAAACTGCTAAACTAGACAATTGAGTAATTTCTTCATCAGAACTTAAATCGTTCATCGGAATATTGATTGTAGACACTGACCGGTGACAATTATAGTTGGATATTGGTGAGAATGATGAAGATGGGAAGATAATGAAACTTGTGATGGTAAAGTTAAAGATGGCGATGATGATATTTTAGATGAACAACAAGGTGGTGATTGTTGTTGTTGTGATGAGGATGATGAAGAAAATGATAATGATGATGGAGAAGATGTAATAATTGATGGTGAGATCTTTCTTGGAGACAATAGATTACCCAAATTAATGGTTAACCGCAATTTACCGAGATATTTAATTGAAGACATTGTTATGTTTACCAATCAGTGTAACTCAATCAGATGATGTCCGGGATGTCAGCTAGTAATTAGAATCAATTATAGTTAATTGTAAATTAGACAATTAGTTAAATAAACAGAAAAAGAACAAAAAAATCACAAAGGAAAAAAAAATACAAATACAAACCTTCAAGGTTGTAAATAAATAGGAAAACATATGATGTTTATCATCGGTTGATTTGCTTTTTCTTAATTTCTTACCATTAATTTGTGATTGTCAATTACTGGAAGATTGATATTACTCTATACTTGAATGGAATTAAATAAATTAGAAACAATTTAAGTGAAACAATTAAGAGACCAAGGGAAAGGAAAACACAATTGGTGATGTTTTGGTTTCAGTTGAAAGAAAAACGTAGACAGTAAATTAGACAGAGAAATAGAAAGAGAAAATTAAAAGAAAGAGAAACAAATGTGTTGATAGTCACGGAGATTAATTTGTTTATGTTTTCGTTACCTACTCTCTTTGGGTCACCCTTGCAATTAATTATCTTTTTTAATTCTATCAATCAACTTAAGTAGATTTCTATTGATTGTTAAGTGTTAATAAATGGTACTTGTACTATGGTAATTAGTTAATTGTTCAATTTAATTTGATTCTGTTTCCTTTGTTTACTTTGTTTATTTCCCTTCGTTTGCTGATCATTTTGGTGTTTTGGTCTATATTTTCATCTCTTTCTTTATTAATTGTTCCTCGAAAAGATTTAATTGTGATTAGAGATGACCGATTATTTGATTGTCCACGACAATCAAGGTGGGACACTAAGATTGGAGAGACAATCGGTTTGAATTTAATTTCTTTACTGTGACTTACCGGTTACCTATAAGGTTGGTTGTTTTTTTTATTTCTCTTATTAGTTGTGATTAAATTAACTAATTTTCGATTACTTTCTTTATTTCCAGGTTGAGTTCTGAGTAATCTGTTCATTGGTCCTGGTGAATTGGTCCTTAGATGATGAAGGACAATCAAGGTGAAGGATTTGATGGTCAAATTTATGAGTTTCTTTCAATTGGAGTTTCAATTTTCCTCTTAGTCATTTGCTCATATTGATCATGATAAATTGGTGAATTTCGTTCTTCATTTGTTCACCTCAGAGAAAATGGTGTCCAATTTGAAAGCATTGGGAAGATTGCGGAAGAAAATTAAGGAAAGAATTGAGAACATTAAAAAAATGAATGTTCGAAGAAACATTTTAACCAGAAGAGGGAAGAACAAGGAAAAGCCGTAAGACATGATTAATATCGAGTTAATCGAATGATAAGTTCTGATTGAGTCAAACGATTTGAGGTCAAGGACAGATAACCAAAAGACCTGAACAACTCGAATTGAAGAGAATGATAAAGAGTCACCATGAGCTATTAAATTTTGGGACAATCAATTGGAATCAAAAGGAAGACGAAAGATTAACGTTCCATTAAACGTCCAAGATCAAACTCTACTAATTAACCTTAACCCTGGAATCAGCATGAAAACGAAATCAACTGATAAAGAAAAACTGTCACCATCATAACGACAATTACATTTGAAATCAACAAATTGTCAATCAAAGTCTCAGAAAGTCAACAATTAACCCAATCACTTTTTCAATTACCTCATTGTATAACCTTTGTTTAAGAAATTCCCAGACTCTGAAATGGTGAAAGTGTTTCCATCCCCTGAAGACAAATCATGAAGAGGATAAAGCTGAAGGTCTTTGGAACAAAATTGAAAACAACATTATTATCATGATAATCGCTCCTCTCTCTCTCTTCTCTGATATTTTTCACCATCGAAAGCTGAATTGTTCTGGTAGAAAACAAGTAGAAAAGAAACAAAATGGAGAAAATTTCGTGTTTTCTTTTCTTCTAAATGATAACCAGTTAGGAGTGTCAAAGAACCAAGGTCAACAAGAAGACTAATCAGAGAAGATGAAAACAAGAATTTTCAGCCATTCCGCTGGTTAGAACTTTCTCTCTAACTCTTTCTCTTTCTTTCAGTTCTCCATGAAGCAAAAAGTTCACTTTCGCTGTCAGTAGTTTACATCACAATTTCAAATAATCTACGTATTCATGTAAAAAGAGAGAAAGAGACTGAACAAGATTCAGCAAATTCATTCAACACCAACAATCCAAGGTCTTCCTCTTTTCTTCATCTTGGTAAAGGTTGAAAAGTAACACTCATGATTCCGCTTTTTTCCACCACAACTTTGACTATTCTCGAACCAACCAAAGGCCTTGAAAAGGATATAACGGATTCTAAAGTGTTATCAATGAAAACGCTCAATTTTTAAGCGCGAACTCAACGGAATTGGAAGAACCGAAAGAGTAAAATCTGATACAACAATCGAAAGAATTTTCTATCTATTCGAAGTTCTGATTAATTGATGTTTCATCTTATTCATGGAATTTTCAATTAGATGACTAATTTAAACTGTCATCAATTCTAATTACGATTAACCAACTTTTATCATCGAAAAAAAATAAAACTGAACAATCGAAAATTATTTCATTCCAATGAATTTGATTTCGTAATAACTGAAACTAGTTGATTCAATTTCATGTCCAATATTTAATTCGATAAGGTAAACATGTAATCGAAATGTTCAGCGCAAGTTCATTCATACCTCGAATTGAAATCAATAAACTATTCTTATCGTTACCATGGTAGTAACCGAATACCCTAAGGTAAAGTTCATCTTTCTACTCATATATCACATATTTTACTAGAGAAAAGTGATAAGAATTCATTGTAACATATTGAAGAATAAATTTTTATCCTAATAAGTTATTATAATTTAAATTCTAAGTCTAAACAATTAACTTAAATTGAAGTAAGAAACAAATAAAAAGTTTGATTTATAAGACAAATTGAATTGGTTTCCAAAAGGATCAAAGTGAAAACAATCAACAATAACCTCCAATTAATCAGTGTGTTTATCAATAGAGTTAATTAGCTGATTATGGTTAATCAAATTGGAAGCCAGTTAATCATTTTTATTTGCTGGCTGATTGTAAATCTAATCAAACCCGGAAATGGAGCTTATTATGAATTCAATCAGAATCCACAAGCTCTGATTGATAATGAGGATCTTATTGCTGGTTATGAACCAGGAATATTATCACAAAAATCCTTACAGGTAAATCTTTGATTTAATATTGATCATGATGATTAGATGATTTAATTGTTTTCTCCGATTCTTGTTTTTGGACAAAAACAAAGCAATTCGGTGACATGAGAGATGAAGATTCGGGTTGGGAGATTGATTATCCAAGAATCACCGAAGATACTGATTGGCCTAAAAGCGATTTTCTCAGTAAATTGGGTCAAATTGCTGGAATTGCAAGTCACAAGAACAATTCGATTTACATATTTCACCGAGGTGACCATGTTTGGGATCACAGGTAATTTATCACCTTAAGGTCAATTCCATTTCAAACTAATCAATCTAATTGACTTTCAGATCATTTGACATATCGGAACATTATAAGAAGATCAATAAAGGACCAATAGCCAATGATACGATCTTCGTTGTCGATGGTACAACCGGAAAAGTGATCAAATCATGGGGAGCGAATAAGTAAGTGATTAGAATTGTGTTCAAAATTTTCTCGATTAAATTAAGCTAATTGCTATGAATCATATTCCTCTGAACATGTTAGATTTTATATGCCCCATGGAATCAGTTTGGATCGGGAAGGTAATATTTGGTTAACTGATGTCGCTCTTCAACAGGTATTCAGGTTCAAACGGGACGATCTCGAAAAACCCGACCTGGTCTTGGGTGAACCTTTTCAACCAGGACGTGATTGGAATCACTTTTGTCTTCCTACCGATGTTGTTGTCGCTTCAACTGGATTAGTTTATATTAGCGATGGTTATTGTAATTCGAGGATATTAATTTTATCACCTTCGGGAAAAGTTCTGTCCGAAATTGGAATAAAAGGTTTTCTATCTTTTGTTTTTCTCTTTCGAATTTCAATTTCCCATTTTTTCTCACAATTATCGTCTTTTTATTTTCCCCACAGATAATATGGTGATACCTCATAGTTTAGTTCTATTGGAGGAAGAGAATCTGATCTGTGTTGCCGATCGGGAAAAACGAAGGATTTTATGTTACACTGCGGGTCTTGATCGAACTCAACCTGGAATTCTGACCTTTAACATTAACCATCCGAGATTTAATCGTATATTTGCCATTGATCACGTCGGTGATTTACTGTTCGCTTTAAGTGTTCCCGAAGACGAATCACAATCAGAAGGAATCATATTCAACTTGGCGACAGAACGTATTGTAAACGCATGGAAACCTCGTTCGGGTTTTCGTCAACCTCATGATTTGACCATCTCGTCCGATCGGAAGAGCATCTTTGTCAGTGACATCGATCCAAAAGGACCTAAAATATTCAAATTCAACATGTGATTGTAAAACGAAAACCAAAAAGAATATAAAATGTCACATTAATTACGAACAAATTAATTTCGAAAAAAATTTTTTCGATCAATATTAATTCTGTTCCAATTATCATCTCATTCCAATTCCAATATTTTATCATCCTGTAAATTCATCGTTAAATGACAACCACTATTATCTCCTTTGTCCAGAGAATATAATTTATTTCCAAAGTTAATTACAACCAATTCGATGATTAAAGCCAATTAAACTAAAATAAATTTCCATCTTTAATCATTAATCATTTTCCAATTTCCTTCTCAATAACTTTCCACCGAAATCCCTTTCAATCTTAAAATAACCTTCTTCTTGTAGAGCATAAAAAAATCTATCGATTTCAATCATAATCGCCTAACTATCAACTAATTTTCATGGAAATATTTTAATTGCGATTAATTAATAGCCAAAAATTAAGAAATCGAAAATTATTTCAGATACTCAACTACTCTATCGATATCTACTTTTACATTTCTTTTCTACGCAAGAACAGATACCGATAGAATACTCGAATATCTTTTCGAATTCAAAATTTCGCATATTCTATTCGGTAATTACCATCTGTTCGATGGACAAATTTTTCTGTTGACTTTGTTTGTTACAATTTCTTTTGATTATTTTTTAATTAATTTCCTTTCATTTTACTAATTAATTGATTCAATTGATTTAATTACTTTACTTTAGTGTTAAAGGGCAAATTTGTTTGTGTCAAAGAGTAAAGGTGAACATCCAACATTTGGGTTACTTTGAGTTTTAACCTTTCGCTTGAAATTATTGAATTGAATTTGTTTCAATTGATTTTCCTTTTCGTAACTAGAGACAAGGTAATTTCATTTAATTGTGTTTCTTTTTTTGTTTACTTAATTGTTGTTCTTATTTTTCTATTCTTACTGTTGTATAAACAGGTAACACTCTAGTGACCACAATTAACTGTGATAATCTGTTTGAAAGCTAAAATCTCTGACATTTTGGAAAATTTTGTCATAAGCTTGTCAACAACAAACGACAATCTTGAAAATCAATCTTGATCAATTGTGGTTTTTTTTTGGTGTTTTGGTTAATCAATCTCACGGAATTAAATCATTTACTTGAAAGGTAAGATGAAGGTTATGATTGTAATTGTTTGTTGATTTATGAGTACCAAGAATAATCAAGAAAAGATGGAATCGATTTAGAAAACAAAAACAGATAGAAAAATGTTCTGATGAAATATTGTAATTCTATTTCTTCAATTAATTTCTCAATCATTTCAATCAATAATCTCTCATTATTCCGGTTACATGTTATTCACTCAACAACAATTTACCTTTTTCCCTTTTAAAATTAACCTTTCATTGTATTGATTAACTAATTTCAATCAATTCTCTCCATCATCATCATCATCAATATACTTATTCAATAAGTTGAACTGTTTATATTGCTTTTGATTTCCTTGAGATTGATCAAGATTATTAATATGATACACGATTAACTTAATTGTTACTGTTTGATTTTTAACCTTAACGGTGTAATGATTATATTTGATTTTCTGGTCAGTGTCAATCTTAATGACACACTGATTGTTTAATTGTGATAATCATTTCACCCAAAACCGAAAACTGGACTTGATAGATGATCCGAGAAAACAGAAATTATGAATTTCTCTTTCTCTCTCTCTCCATCAAGAACATTCAGTTTACTTTAATTAACCATTTGAAATTATCTAAATTTTATCATTTACCATTTTAATTGTTGAAACAATTCAAGGATCAACAATCATATAATCAACTTCGTCACTTATCAAACACTAATCGTAAACGGGGTCAGGGTTAAATGTTAAACATTCACTTTCCATGTTTATCTTTAATATTCTGAATCTTTTTCTCATTCAAATCTCTCTTTTTAGTTGATTGTTAATTGTTTATCGAGAGAGAGAAACGATTAACCTGAACTTGAACTTGATCGCTAAGGAAGCTAAATCTAATCACGATTAAGATGATTAGTAAATTGCGGAATATAATTTGTGATTTCAATTTACTAACAATAAACAGAAAAAAAACTATTCCTTCCTATTGGTAAATACAAACGAGAAGTGGAAACCATTGAATATCTTGATAACCTTCAACTTTTTTTTTCTACTTCTCATCTTAATTGTGATAGTTAATTCTTGTTTCCATGATCGCATGATCAATTGTGTGTATGATCTCATTCATTGATTAACTGACCAGGTAACTTTAATTAGAAGATAAACAAAACCGAAAATGAACCAGTTTTCCATCTATGATAATTTCTTGCTAACTTTTTGCTTCCTTATTTCATCATTTTCTCAATTTCTGTAACACACATAATCTCAACAATTTACTAATCAATTTCCTATCTTCTTCTAACAGTAATAACCAATTTCTTAAATTCTAAAATAATTAATTACTTCACCTTGAGTTCGATTTTCTTTTCTAACCAAATTTCCATTCATTAGGCCTAACGGAATCTCTTTTAGCTTTTGTCTCATCATCTTCTCTTTTTATATTAATATCATTTTCTCATTGTAAACTCTATTCCCAAACTGATTGACCTAAATTGTTGACAATTAACTGAAAGTGATTCCCTGAGGTCACACCCAAAATTTTCAATTCTAATAATCTTATTTCATCTCTCTCTCTCTCTCTCAGAATTACATGTAATCCATATAATATTTATATTCCTGATTTGTGGTCAACCTTCAATCAACTTGGACACTTAATCAATCAACTAAACCAATACAACAATTAACACAATAAATTGTCTCTCATACAATCTTAGTCAATTAATCATTTGTAAGTAAATCTATCAATTAATTAGTAGTATATTAATATGATTGTTTATCATCACCTTGTAACCTTTTTGATTTGCCTTAGCAACATGACGCAACTTAACCCTAACCTTTTATGCTTAAAATAACAACACAGTTTAAATTTGTATCAGTCGCCATTTTGTTTCAACCCAATACTCTAGTAGTTGCTAGTTTATTATATTCACTGATTGTGTTTATAATAATATTAATTGTTAGATAATTGTTTCCCTAAATTATAAATACTAATTGTTTTAACTGAAAAACAATCATTTAACCTTCAAATGTTAATGTAAAAGTGAGAAACCATCATCATCATTATCATTTCAGTTTCCCTCTTTCATTTTTTTTTATATATAAAATCCCATCAAGTATATGGTCATAAGTTACAATGTAAAAATCAAATTGAATCAAATAGTTGATTGATAATTGTTAATTTCTCCATCTAACTAATCAATTATCGCCATTTTTTCATTGTTGTAAATATTAGTTTCAAATTGTTGTTAAAAGGTTGGTAACTTTTACTTACCAGCAAACATTATTTACGGTTTACCTTGAATCCTTTTCGAGTAGCCTTCCCGTTAGCCTAGTTAATTAACCAGTAACATAACAGTTAACCATTTAGTGTTGACTCTCACCCACTTTTTTATAACTCACTCACTCACTCTCTCTCTCTCTCTCTCTCTCTCTCTCACTCACTATCTCTCTTTCACTCCCTCATCATCATCGTTATTATTACCTTTTTTGACACAACAACAAGTCTAACATTTGAAATAATTTTCTTTTCTTTTTTTTATTCGATTTCATGATTTTCTGTTAATAACAATATCTACAGGAACTATTATTCATTTGTGTTCTAGTTCCGTGTATGTGTGAGTGTATTTATGTGAAAGTAACATTTATATTCCACCACCACCACCATCATTACCTCTGAATTCACCAGAACAAGGAATTGATTGTACAATAGTTTCTCTCAATTGAAACTCTTTGAATCATCTTCTCGTTTGGATATTTTTTCATTTTGGAAAAGAATTTTTTTTTATTCTTTCCTTTCTCTCTCTTTCTCTTTCAATCTCTCTTTCAGTGTTGTAACATGTTGTTTTTTTCTTCTTTGGCCTGAGAGACCTTGAGATTCAGTGAGAGGGGATAAGTAGACAAACAACAACACTGCAAAGGGAAAGTGTGTGTGTGTGGAATAAGAGTAAAAAAAAAGAAAGAGAGAGTTGAAACTGTTGCTAACTCGTCTACTACCTTCTTGTAACACTCCCAAATTATATCTTCTATCATCACACTCACACACATCTCTCATCATCATTACAACCTCATCATCATCTCACCAGTAACACAACAATTACAATTTACCCTTTAGACAATAAACAATCAGAAAGAAAAAAAAATAATAACATGAATCACTCATGAAATATGAAAAATTGTTTACTAACCTCAAGGATTTTCACTTTATAGTTTTCGGTGCTTCAATGATATGTCACATTAGTGAATAATATTATTTTCGATCACAATTTATAACAAAGATAATCATCATCATAGAAAACAATATAAACTCAACGTTGATTTTTGCTCTCTCTCACTCTGACTCTCCTAAGTGTTTCTCTCTCTCTCTCTCTCTAATCAACCCAATTATTAACTCGACTTATATGTTTATTTTTTCATCTTCTTCCTTCTACTGTTGACATTTTTGTGACTCTCTTCTTATATATTCTTGTCTCTTTTTCTCTCTCTCTCTCATCATTTCTGTTTCCTTGTTCTCTTTTTTCTGTATATGATCTGTGATAAAATCATCTTCATCTTTAATTATTTTCACCATGATGCCTAAAATTAACCCTAACCAGCAGTTG